TGCTCTGAATCATGGGTATTTAGAGGATGAATATTCAGCAAAGGGTATTGAGTGCAGGCACACTGATATTTCTACATATCTTTAATCAATATTGCAGCAATGGAAAATTACAAAAGAAAATTGAATTATGTTTCTATATTCATGTCTTCACATCAAACCCAAAGACTCAATATCAGACATGTAGTTCTGACACAACGTCTTATACATGCCACATTTCTTCACATTCGATGGGACAGGCAGTGCAAGGAGACATTTCAAAGAGGAATAAAGCTAAAATTGTATTTTCTTTGTTTATAATTCATTATCTGCACAGATTTCTTTTATTATTCCCACATATTTCTGTGCTTAAAATATCTCATTGCTTAATGCAAAGATAGCTCTCCATATAGACAGGGCACCAGTGGCTGAATACTCGAGTGCCTGGTTTGGTGTGTGTTTTGTGTTTAAATAAAATTTTGCATTTCCTGATTGGTTACTTGCATATACTACAGATGACTCATAGCATTTTCAGATCTCCAAAAGTTTCATGTTTTCATGTATCTTTAAATTAAATATCACTGCTTTGGAATCAATCCCCCAATTATTCAAAGCCCCAACCTCAACAATCTTAATCAATAATTCAGCATAAAAACAGGATTAACCTATTTATTATTAATTAGGCTCTTATGCATTTGAAAGTCTTCTGTTCCAATCACAGACCACTGTGGTACCAACAACAACACTGAGAGAGGGAACTTGTGCAGAACTGGAACTTTGTGTCTTCTATCAGCTACTATGTAGCATCTGTTTCCAAGCCTATGTTGATCTTCTGTTCTTTTGTGGCTCAGGTTTGTAGATCCTGAAATCTTTGAAGTATCTCAATTTTTGGGAAACTGTTAATATACCGAGTCAGGAAAATGTCCAAGCTATTTTATTAGTGTATTTAAACTGAATATTTATAAGTATCAACAGTAAAATATGAAAATGGCTAAACTTTTTCTGTGTGACCTTTTCTTCTCTGCAAACAACAAACATACAATGGAAGATTTAAACATGACACATTATTCTCCTGGGTAGAACATCTGTAGTTTTTGGTGACCTTTGTGGACAAATTAGTGACACTGATCTCTTTGCTGATTTTGTCTTGACATGATTTTTAACAAAAGTTCTATCTGCTTTCTTTTAACCAGAACACCTTTTGAAAATCTTTGCCATAGAAGGTGTTAAATACAGGTACATGCTGTTAAGTCATTTATGTGACACTTATACAACAGCAATGGTTGAAGACAGTCAACCCAACCCAAGCAGTGACCTCCCATGTTGAAGTATGAAGCCAGTGCAAAGGTGATGAATCAGAGCTCCTGGATTGTCCACTTGAGATGGGCTCCAAAACCCTTGGCCACAGAAAAGGAAATCTTCATAGCAAGAATAAACCTGTTTAGAGCCTCTTTTAAAAAAATGTTTTGGTCTGAGTTTCTCATTTCTCTATCCACACACACTGTACTGAGGGTATATGCTTCTTTTCTTTTCTTTGTAACTGGTTTTTGAAGATATCAGTGTGAGTTTTGCATTATTAGAGGAACAGCTGACTTGTCTTACTGGTGGGCACCATACACTGTATATAGTATATAGACAACAGGGCTCCACCTCCCGACAATGTATGAATTTGAAGCCAAATTGCTCTCGGTATTATTGGGATTTTCTCCATTTCTCGAAACTGCCACTTGTGCAGTAGCGTACTGTCAGAGAGTCACTGTGATGACGCTCAGCTCGAACAGCGTATCCCCCAGGGGAGCTACGCAATCTTTGTCCTCCCATAGGTTGTATCAAGTGTCAATCATAGAAAACATGAACCCCCTGATGACTTTTAAAAATGGCACTGCACAGAAAAAAAGAGGACTTGAGCACAAACCTGTCTTACAGTAACTACATGTCAACATCACAAGCAGGGGGGAGAAAAATATATATTCTGTGTAATTAATTTCTAAAGTTTGTCCACAGCTCCATAGGGGTTGCTGGAGGAGGCAGGATTTATGACATATACTGCAGCCCGTCACCAGATGGTGCTGTTCTTGCGGAGGCTTCACCCAGTGAGAAGGCAGATGACGTCCATTCTATATACAATCTATGATGGGCACACTGTAGCTGATATAGTTAGGGAAAGAAAGACAGTTTGGTTGAGTCAGCACTGCGAAAAAATGGCAGCTTCAAAACTCTGCTTCAGAAACCAATGGATGGTATAACTTTGACATTAGTCATGTTTACATGGGCAAAATTTCTTGATCTGATTAAAAATTTGAGGGATCAGATAATCTGATTCCACTGTTTATATGGGTGCAAAGTCAAATAATTCGATCATGATGTGCGTATACATGCACCAAGCTTTCTTCAGATTAGAAGAATTTGGACATGCACAGAGTTGTCTGATTTTGTTAAAATAACTACAGAAGAAGAAGAGTTGATTTACACCTGTGCTGTCAATAAACCAACAAACTCAGTAGTGGCTCACTCCATCCAATTCAGGATTTTCCTCCATGTTAAATGTTCTCACTAGATGGCGCCCTTGCTCACTTACTTTATTGTTCTGTCAAAGGTTACACTGTGCGTGCAGATGTGCCATCATTATGCTGTATGTACGCCTTGTTATGTTACTGGAGGAGCAGACACGGCACCCGAAGTTGTGTGTTATACCGGTGTTGATAATGAAACCTCCTGTACTGACTTCAATAAACAAGCCAAAGGCTAAAGAGTGAAGACCGAGTCAGGTAAGAGAGTCACAATCGGACTGAGTGTTTACGTGGACGTGTTTCAGAATACAATTTCTTTCAGATTGCTGAATTGGATCAGAATTTTCTGATCAACATGTTTACATGATGCTTTTTTATTCCGATCGGGCATTTATTCCAACTATTTGTGCCCATGTAAGCGTAGCTACTGTCCATTTCTAATGCCATCTACTGTATAAAGAAATTGTGAATATTGTTTTAAAAAAAAACTGTTTGCTTTTGTAGTTGTAAAGCATAGATAATTGTTTATGTCACTTTTTATATCCACCAAAAATATTATTTTGATGGCAGGATGAACTGAAAGGAAAAATGAGAGAGAGTTGAATGAATACTGGCCCTAGATTAGAGCACAGTTAAAAATCACAAATCAGCAGAAACTAATGCCACTTTTGTGTCCATTGTGTTTTTTGTTGTAGTTGGCTTGTTGTTCACTTTTAACTTAAGAACTCTAAACTACAGTTGTAAGCTCTTACCCCCCATTTCCGCCACACCCGGAACGGCTACGAAAAGGCCGTATCCGCCAATCGTAGCTGATCGTAATCATTCAAGTTAATGTTTCAATTTCCACCAGCTTCTTTCTTTTCCGCTGCGGATCGCCGGACTCCGCAGCTGATCTATTTTTCTATTTCTGGACACTGGAGCATGCCAGATAAATTCAGCATAGATTAACCTGTGCTGGAAAGGGCACAGACACAAAATAAAACATCCAGCTTCTTTTCAAAATAAAACACTCCATGTTTCAGGCGGATCGTATTTCACACCATGGAAACGGGCTGAGACGAACAAGTGAAAGGTTTTTAGACAGTATTTCACCCCAATGACACCATGGATGAGAGGATGCTGATTTTATAAGTATAGAAGTAGATTTCCTCCTCTAGAAGGACACAATGTACTGCTTATGAGGTTAGCCTATGTGGCTAGAGACAACTTGTAATCGCGTGATTGCACGTGAATCCAGGGGTTCTCAAAATTCACCTCACAAACGGATTCGGTAGGAATTGGTGGACGGCAAAAATTGCTGCTGTTCTAGATCGGAGCCGTTCTGGACACGGTGGAAATTGGGGGTTACAGTGGAGTGACTTTTTATAAATATGTGGAGTTATAAAATGTTAACAACTTTGTAAAGTGACCTATTTAGAAATTTACTGAGTTTGTAGGTGAGTTTTTATTGAAGTTCTTAGAGAAATTTTTTTGCACCTTTCTTTAATCGAGACAAAATACACTGTGGTCTTAGCCTCATTCTATTTGAATGAACAGGGGAGAAGGGACGGTGATTCTCATCTTGGGAGTAAAGACACTGAGGAGGTAGACTCAAAAAAAATAATGACCACAAGATGATGATCATCTTGGAATGACTCATAACAGCAGTAGTTTGATAGTATGTCAGAGAACTGAGTAAGATTTAGTGATTTAGCCTCTGCTGTAGTGATGGTAAAAATTAATGATGCAATAAGTAAAAGGGGGAAAAAAGAGATAAATTTTAACAATAACATTTTCGTGAAAGGTTTTCTTGACTCAAAATATTACCCCTTTAATTTTTTGATACATATAAATAAAAAAAATAAAATAGAGGAATTTTTCAGGGGAGGACCCCCACTCTTGCTTGTGCCCCCATATATATGTTCCTATACCTTACCTGACAGCTAACAGCTGGCCTTTAATAAAACAAAGAACGAGGAAAGAGTGAGATGTGAGTGTGTTCTTTTCTGAATATATGCTGAAAGTGATGGTTAAAGGTGAGTAAAGGAAGGTTCCTTATAGCTGCTCTATAAAACCAGCTCACAATTCAACTTACAAATCTTCACACTTATGGCTGTTGTTTTTTCATTCATTGTTAAATTAAACTTGATATGAAGCAATCATAAAATATTAAAATGAAATTTGTAGTGTATAAATTTGATAAGTTCAATCTCAGATGATCATAACCATGCTTCTTCTGAACCTTCAAGTCAGTGTGTGTAGAAGAAGTCTATTAATAACAGAGACGTCCCATAAATGTCATTGGGTAAGAGAAACAGATGGCATATCTACTAAAACCAAATTGTTTCCACTAAATCTCATGATGTTATGAGTAAGGATATAACTAATTAATTGTGTTTTCATGAAAGTGATGAAAAATATTGTGTGGTGCACCTAATCATTATTAAATTTACAATGTTTGAAGCCTCATTCAGTCGGTCTCCTCACATAGCTGTATGCCTGCATCTACTAAATTCTACATTGACCTCAAAGCTGTGGGTCTTTGGGGAGCTCAGGCATTTCCCTGAGTGTCTGCTTCTCTGCTGAACTTGGAGCTTGACATCATGAAACATGTATGAGGTGGCACTCTCTGAGCACCGCGAACATCAATCCCAGTAATGCTGCTGTTTACTCTGCCACAGTCTCATAAAAGCCTTCATTTGCATTCACACACATAGACAGACGTGCACATATTTGTAATTTATGTCACTGTTTCCCAACAAGGAACTGAAACAGAAGTAGATGATAAGTGTGATTCATGATTTCTGAGGCGTTAACGATGTTGGGGGCAAAGCATTCAGAGTAATGGATTTACAGTAATCTCATTATAAAAGGTGGATGTCTTCTCACATCATGCAGATTAATCTCAAATACCAAGATAGCATTAAATTACTGTAATGTTTTCATTTTTATGCCCATAAGATATTTATGAGATCATTATTTTTCTTCCTTGTAACCTCATTTCTGATGTGCAATGTTTATGTAAATTGTGCTGTTTTGATAGATTTAGATGAATATTTAACTTTTAAAATGATTCACAGAATCTGTCCTCCATTATTAGATTACATTTTGAGGTGTTAGACATGACTCATGGTTAAGGTCTTTACCCCTGTCTCAACATTGAATACTACAAGAGCTGAAACATTGGATATTAGACCTGATTGTAAAATGTGCTCGTACAAGACATGAGAAAAGACAACTTTGTTTAGATCACAGGTGATGAAATGGAGAAATCTCACCCCTTCAAGCAACGCAGAAGTCTGTCTCACAGGACAGAGCGAGCAACAAACTCTGGGTTCTCTACTTGTTGCAGCAGTAAGTGTGCGCAGCTGCTCTGGTGCCCTTTCATGACTGAATTTGCCATCTCCATGGTGTATTGTCTTTTGAGTGACTTCAGAGACATTTCAGAGAAATCAGATTTGAGCTGCCAGACTGAGATGCATCTTTGGTAATAATATTAAAAATCTTATTTCAAACTACGCAAACTACTTGATTCAAGTGTTGCCTAAATCTGATGAACAAAGATTACATTTCATGTACTTTTTTTCCCCTTTCCTGACTGAAGGAACAACAGGCAGCAGTTCGAACAAGAAAAGATCAAGAGCTTTGAAGAGACTTTGAGACTTGGTTTTGACATGTCAGCTATTTTGACACCTGACTTGAGACATAACTCTGTAAATGTTGCAAGTTTCCTGTTTTCAGAAGTCCCTTTTACCCTTTTAGTTTTCCACACGGTATCATTCTGATGTGAGAGTTGTTTGAACTGTTTCTTACTTGTTTGGACAAAGCTTGTACTTGAAAACAGACTCACTTGGGATGCAGTCTAAGACTTGAGACTGACATTGGACCTGGTGTCAGGTCCAGTGTCAGGTGGACTTGATTCTTAGCTAGAAACCTCCTTGGAAAATTGTTCAGAGCTTATACTGTGACTTAAATGAGCAATGTGTAGAAATGGGAACATTGAGTGATATCTGAAGGTCAGATTCTAGATTGAAATGCTCCCTTGCTCACCCATCCTGTGGGTGAAACCATGGTGGCTTTTCAGGACAAAAAGCTGCATGATAGTATGATCCTCCCTTTGTCAAGTTTTTTTTATTTTTTTATTTTTTTTTTTTAATCAAAAATACCAATCAAACTAAAGTCTATAGCACATAACAACCACTCTGCTCTTCTCTGTCTTTCAAATTATAATCCTTTTCTGCCAAGTCTGTTTGGGCCATAGCCACTAATATTACATACTGAATCTTTCATTAAGTCTTCCTCTGAAAGAACCTTAAAGCAGCTCTGCTAAAAGGTTTCCACAAAAAAAATTTACAGAATATTGACACAAGTCAATCTACTATCTGTCTATCTTGCTCATTACCTGACTGTATTTTATTTTTGGTTCTGATTGGTCAAAACCCCCAGACAAAGTAACGAGAACTGAGTTTAGTTTAGGATGAAACAGCCCTGTCTGTAAGAACACTGTCGTAAGACGAAACTGAGGGACCTTTAAGGTGTCATTTTGTAATCAATTTAATCATTTTAAATTGATACCTGATGTCAGCTTATCTGTACATTTCATTGATGACTGGTTTATAAGAGGGATATGATATAATTAGCTGGTGATATTACATTATATGTTGAGTTAGCTGTTGGGTATGCCACATAGAGTCCCCTCATGTTGGGGTCCTATTTCCCCTGAAAGGACTCCATGAGGCATTTTAATCAGCTAATTGAGCATAACCCTTCGCATAATGTCACCACTTTGGTTTTTAAGCCTCATGTAAGAGTCTGAATGCACAGGTTTAAATCACTAAATGTTTTTTTTTTTTAAAATCAGAAAAGAAGCAGAGACAAAAGGGAGAATTGCAACCATAAATGGTGCAGTTTTTCCAGTGTAGTAGTTCAGCTAAGCTTGGGGCAGATGTTGGGGTCCTCACAGTCTCTAAGGATACACTAATTATCACCTCCAGGTAACGTCCTGCACTCTTCTTGGCCAGCTGAAAAGGCGCTCTCTTTCTCTCAGTTCCACTACTCCACTGTTATTGTCATCTCTGCTGAACCCAACTCTTCCTCCTCAGTCCGACCTCTTCCTCAACTCTACGTTATTTTGTTGTTGTTGTTGCTGTTGTTTTTTACAATGCCCCCACTCCACACACATGCACTCACGAACAAACACCACTATGTCCCTTTGTTTGATAGATACCATTATAAAGAGGGTGCATTTATACTTAGGGAGAATTCATCCTTTTACACAGTGTGTTTTAAAATTATTTTGTGATGCATGAATACACAAAGACTAAGACAAAAAAGCTTAGTTTTCTCTCTTAGGCCAAAATAGGTTTCCATGGATGACTTTACCTAAAGGTTGCACCTGTACTTATACTGTTAGGAGGAATACATTATAAACAGGTCATTTTAGACACCCATTAAGTCAAAGATATTGAAACATAACACATTTATTGAGTGGTGAGCATGCACAAAAGCAACTACACACAACTACACCACAGCGCCCACTGCTGGCTGAGTGATCAAAGCCAGTGATATACGTCTAGGTCAATAATAGAAACTGTAACGATGCAGCATCAACCTTTGCTCTTGCCTCATTGGCTCTTACTTCCTTCTGCTGAGCAAATGCGTGTACTGTTGTGTCTGTTAAGTTTTCCTTATTTTTACATTTTTCATGTCTTGTCCTTCCTGTTTTTATTTTAAAGTCATGAACCCTTGTCTCTGTTTCAGATGCGGTTCTGCCTGCCCTGCCCCTGTCTTGTCACAACTGCCTCCTGATTGTCTCTCCCCACCTGTTTCCCATCACCCTCATTACCTCTTCTATTTAACCTCATGTCTTCCATCAGTTGTCTCATCACAAGTTCATTGTACATCACAGTCTTGGTTCCAGCATTTGTTTTACAGTCAGAGTCATAGCTTTTGTTGTATTTTGAATCTTGCATGCTTCTTTGGACCTTGCCTTTTGCCTCTTGTTTTTTGGATTCCTCTGCCAGTTCTAACTGCCTTCCTGTGTCCTGCCATTTTGCTTGTTTTAATAAACCTTTTGATTCTTGGTCTGGTGTCTTGAATTTGTGTCAGCTTGTTCTAAGCCTTGTTTGATAACAGGGACCTAACTATGCTACAGTTCCTTAACACTGTAGCAGGGGTGACCATGGAGGCTAAAACTGATGGAAATGCTTCATTGTTTTTGTTTGTTTGTTTTGTTTGTTTTTTTATTTACAGCAACGTTTTTATCACTCAGAACTGTGGATTATGTTGACTGGAACATAGTGCTTGTGTGGGCCAAATAGAGGGGTGGAAATGGTAAAAAAAAAAATGTAAAAAAGGCAAACCGGGAGATCATGAAGAGAGAGGAGTAAGATAGGGCATGTGAGAGACAGATTAAGGGTCCATGGGAGACTAGAAAAGCAGGAAGAGAATGGAGTCCTAGGGGATCTGATTATCAGATTAAGCAGAAAATGCTACATCATCAAAATCACAGCATGGAAATGAAAGGTTTCCTTGTAGGGAAAAAACTAATCTCCTGTTTCTAATTGGATCAATCCTGGGCTCAGCAAGAAGACTATCGGAAATCAGAATGGAATGACTTTGAATTCCTATTTACATAAAACACGTTCCAATTCCTGAACTGAGGGTGAGGATCCTACTGGCCAGGGAGCTCAAAATTGAATCATATTAACATTTCTATCCTTATTTGGGGTCAGGAATTGACATGTACTTTTTGACACTGTATTTTCTGCCTGTTGAGTTCTGCGGCAGCTACCAAATGCACTATCGAGATAATTCATCCAAACTAAATGATGGTTGATAAAGGTTTTTGCCAGTGAACAAAAAACAAAATTACTGGCCCTTAGTGACCATTTTATCAAATACATGTGAAAGGAGTAATATTTAGCTTGATACGATAGTACTATAAGGAACTTTTGGATTTCTGCTTAGCAACCTGAAATTGCTATTCTATACAATCAGACCAAATTTGAGTGAAAACACAATCCAGGGACTGTTCAAAATTTGACAAAGTGATGGGTGATGACAAAAATGCCTTATTAATCGGAAAAAAAGGCTAATGGTGATATCAGCCTTATTGGGGCTGATAAAGATATCATGCCAATTATGTCAAAATGCTAAAAATCAGCCAGATTAATCTGTCCATCTCTAGTTTAAACCACGTAAATGTTTCAGTGGTACTTCACTGAAGATTATGCAAAACATACTGAATACTGTCCAGTTTTACTGCCAGTTCCCTGAGGAAGAAATGTAAAAACAGAAAAAACATCAGACCTAGCCAAGCAGGCAGTGAAAGTCCTGCAGAGTGCATCACTGTTCTTGACGATTGCATCAACAAAAACCAGCACAGCAAACCTGACAAACACAACCTGTAGAGACCCAGGAAGTCTTTACCAATAACTTTTATATTCTTGCTCAGGGTAAACTGCTCTGAACAGGTCAGCAGAGGTGTGAGTTTGATGAAAGTGATGTCAGATATTTCTGTTGAGAGCAGGTTTGACAAGGAATCCTTCAAAAGAAGCAGTGCTGGCTACGAAAAGCCCCACACTTTAGTAACTGCTGAGAGTGGGATGCCTGCACAGCTGCCTTCCAAGCACGGCACTGTCTCCCACTTGCAGTGAACTACAGAGAGGCATGAAAAAAGCTGCAGTGAATTGTGCATCGCTTCCCCGCCTCTGACGATCTTCTATACACAGAAAACACACCATGGATGAAAAATATAACACATAAACAATTTCCAAACTGGGACACAGGAAGCCTCTGCATAGATTCTTGAAATGCTGACGCATGGAGCCAATTCAAGGCAATATTTCTGGATGAAACCAAAAAGCATTCATGTTGATGAAAGAGAGATTATGAGGGATCCTTTCCCCTGCCCAGAAAGCTTAGAAGTTATTAGTGTTGTAACAACCCTGGCAGGGACCCACTAACTCCCCTGCCAAGTCTGAACCTCTTATTGGTCAGGGGGCTGTAGCTTTTTGGATCAAATTTTTTTTTTTAATACAAGTTGGGACATCCTGTCCAATGGCTCGAAACCAGGACCAGTACTGCTACATGGTCAGAGCAATTGCAGCATAGCCTGTGTGCAACAGAGGCCTAAATATATATATATATATATATATATATGTATGTATATATGCGTGTGTGTGTGTGTGTGTGTGTGTGTGTGTGTGTGTGTGTGTGTGTGTGTGTGTGTGTGTATATATATGCGTGTGTGTGTGTATGTGTGTGTGTGTACATATTATACACATATTATATACATTTTATGTAAGGTTGTAACTATGAGTCTTTGAAAACAGGACATAGTCATTTGATCTTTGTACTTAGATATATGTAATTAAGTTCTTTTTTAAGAAGTGGGATATCTAAAAATCTCAGAGTGTCTAAATTAATGCAATATATTCCCTCCATTGGACCAGTTGTGATTACAGTCTGAATAAATATCTGACAACAATCTCCACTGGTACTGTTTGAATGTTTAAACTGTATACTGTAAAATTTAACGTATCATTTTTCCTTTTCTTTTTCTTGAGCAGCACAGATGTTACTTTTATCAGATTCTTAGGAAGTGATAAAAGATAAACAAATGTTAGCTCTACTTTGCCTGCTAATGACTCTGATTTGTCTTGAGTAGTGATGAGTAATGATTATTAACTGTGAGTCAAAAGAATTGCTCCTGCAAATTAGTTTGAGTTATGTAATTAGTTTTCTCATTTATTAGATGATAAGTTCTGTTCTCTCTTAGACATCAACAACAACAATCAGCTAACCACTTAATTCTTTATGTTAGAGTACATTTTGGCCCAAAGACATGCCATCCTCTTTCAGTATTATTTTACTCAGTATTCCATGGGATATTTCAGGTGTGATGGATATCTCTTGTGAGCAGCCAGAAAAAAAGATACACAGCTACAGCACCACACTGGTGTATTCAATGCCTGGCATTAAGGAGGAAAAACTACATTAGCAGGGTTGTCATGTACTGAGCTGTGGGATACATTACAGCCAGAAGCAGTTTTAAAACAAGTTGGGGCCTTGCCAAGAAGTCTCAAAGCAATATCTTCAGCCATATGGATGGGGAAATGCATTCTGCTCTCACTGGCACACTGCTCTACAACAGTATTAAATATTGTATTGATAAAACCCAGTGGGAAATCAAGATCAGTGACTGATGTGAAATCCACAATTAGTTACCCCTCACAGTTTCTCCACATTCAAAAAAAGTTTTTGGAGAACAGTTGGTTTCAGCCAATTTATTTATTATTTTATCATGCACAACACAGGGCTTACCACCACCAAAGTGTGACTGTGTGAGCGAATGAAGGATGTATCCAATGTAAAGTGCTTTGAGGGTCTCTGATAAAGCGCTATATGAAATCTGATGCATTATTATTATTAAAACACCAGGTTAAATCGCACATAGCTCCGATATAATGGCAGGGAGTTATTGTGTTATTTTAATGGTTGAGCTGAATACATCAGTGGTCATTTTAATTAAGAAGCTTTTAATTTTCTTTTTAGCTCGTTTACCTTCAAATCACACAAAACCTGGCGTTGAACAGTCCAACACTGCCACCAGACGTTCAAACGTAGAAACAGCAACGCAGCATCTCTAAAATTTATTACAGCCACGACAAAAATCCCCAACGGTGTATCATGAATATCCTGTAAAAAAGGAAGAAAAAATGGTGCCTTTCGTTGAATGCACATTTTTTAAAAAGAGGGAAATAAAGACAACATCAAGCGGAACTAACGGTAACAAATTTCAACAACAGGAAGGGGACTCGTTTCTCTGCTACATAGCTGTCGCACAAGCGCTTCCTGTTGGGAGTTTGTTGCTCTCACATTTGGACAGATTTGGTCATGTTTCGGAATGTCTTGGGTAGATTGGTGACAGAAACTGTCAGTGTTCACCGCTATGTAAAGGCTTCACCTCTAACACATAGCGCAGCGCCTGTCTGTCTGTCTGTCCGGAGCTTCTCTGGTGTGAAGGACGGGGTGCAGCAGCCTTTTGACGCCTCCCTGCTCGAGTTCCTGGTTTGTCCTCTGTCCAAGAAGCCGCTCAGGTAAGACGACACCAAAAGATCTCATTCAGAATAGGAGTTGTATGGCGAAATGTGCTGAACAAGGGTTGTAAATTCGTGGTTTTACGCGCAGAAACGAAAGGCGTGTGGCGATGACAGAGGAGACTGCTGTAATAGCACCCTGGTACAACCTTTTACTGAATATTTATTCGCCATAATTCCCAGTTTCAGGTGCCTGTGAGATCTTCGAAGTCTACAACAGCTGGATTTTATGGGACCACAACAACCGCAAATACCTACTTCCGTTGTCACTTAAACAGAAACAAAACACATTCCAAACAAAAAAAACATGTTTGGATTCCCAACTTATTTTCTTTCTGAGTGCTTTCTAAGTGTGTCACCTTTCTCTGTCCAGGTATGATGCTGATACCAATGAATTGATAAATGAAGATCTTGGTATTGCCTATCCCATCGTTGACGGCATCCCCAACATGATCCCTCAAGAGGCCAGACTGATACAGAAAGACACAGACCCTTCAACTACACCAAGTCAGGGATAGAATCACAGCACCTTCGACTCACCAGAGAAAAGAGACTGGACGCTTTAATTCTAAAGGGTGGTCAACTGAATAAGACGCTGCTTCTGCACTACTAAATACCTTTCCCAAATTCTTGTTCATTTAAATGTCATAGAGTCCATCTGCAATTATGTTTTCTCTGTCTATGATGGTGGGGCTGGTCCCAATAGTATCTCTCTTTGGTTTGTTCTACTCCGCAGCAGTGGATGAAAACTTCCCACAAGGCTGCACCAGCAGCAACAGTCTGTGTTTCTACAGCCTGCTGCTGCCAGTCACTATCCCTGTCTATGTCTTCTTCCACCTCTGGAGCTGGATGGGGATAAAGCTCTTCAGACATAATTAGCCCCCTTTGACCTGCTCTGTTACAGGCAAAAACCCCTACAGTACACTTAAATATTCTATTTCTGGACCTAGCTGTACTGCTGTAATACATCTCAATTGAAATACAAAGGAAATGAATATATGACTAGATATCTACAAAGAGTAGTCTAATATAGAACACCTCTGTAGCAGTAGATTAATTTTGAGGGTAGCCCTGAGAAAATGTCATGTCATACACATTATCAGTTCTGGTTGTGAAGTTTTTAAAGTTTTCTTTACATATGGGGATGATGGTGTGTGTAAAAATGTGAATAAAGTTATATTTTTTCCTTCCCTTACTTTCTTTTCCTCTGGGTTAAGAGTAAGTACTTAAATATAATAAGGTAGTATATCCCACAGTTTGTACAATAAGCAAACCACCACCTTGCAATATAGTTTAATTATTATAAAGTTTTATTTTTATATATATATATATTTTTTTTTTTTTGTGCAGAACAAACAGGCTTCGATTACAATTTTATTTCTTAACTTCATGCAAACATTTGAAAACTTTCATAAAAACAGGAATTCAGAGAAAGTAAAACAACAAGAGTGCAAACAGCAGAAGAACAAATAAAAAACAAAAGAACGAATAGAATCAGGAGTATTTGATCATCCAGGAGGAATTCATTTTGGGACAGCAACTTCTGAAAGAACTGACTGCTGTGCAACAACAGAGTTTTCAGCTCAAACACTTTGACTTTTCAAGAACAAGGTTCAGATTTAGTTGCAGTAACAACAGTGACACTTCATTTTTTGCTATATTTCTCAAACCAGGCAACCCTTTGACCTAAGCTACATAACAGTGCCAATCATGAAAGTGAAAATCTAGCTGATATAGAAGTCACTGACCCCCTATTTGTGTCGTAGAAACCTCAGCGACTCCTCTTGCTTTTCACCTCTTTCCTGCTCTGAGCAAGTTTCATTAGTGGAGACGCTGGTCTTGGTGAGCACCCCTCGCCCTTTGTCTTGAAAAAGAAGGACTCGTTGAGTCTCATCTGGACTGCTCTAACCTGAAGACAAAAAGACATTTTGTTACAACACATTGAAATGAATTAAAGAGGTATCCTGTTTGCTTTTTGTTCTTACTACAAAAAAAATCACTGCTCAGAATAAACAACAGTTTAAATGATAAAATATAAACATGATATACAGTATATAATAAAAACATGAGTCTTAGAGTTGAACATACTGAACATCAATTTTTGTTTATTTTAAAGCTTTAGTTTTTCACAAGATTATTAATGTACTGTAGGACATACGAACATCCTTTCTGTCAGACTGCTACCTGTTGGGGTCCAATAAATAAGAAACTAGAAATTAGAAAAGAAACTACAGGCCTGCAATCCATGTGAAAGTAAAATAATGTTGCGCTTTTGGATTCAGGTAGTCATTTGCCAGCCACCAACATAGTGTTGTATGTTTCTGTACATATACAAACTTCCATAAATGGGAAATATAAACCTCCTGCATACAATAATTCATATTTAATTACATCTTGCTGTGTCAATATTTTCAAGAGTCATCAATCTTTGGTGCAAGCAGCCATAAAGGACAAAGATACACATAAAACAGCCAAAGACAAAATCTTCATGTTTGACATAAAAACCTTGTAGAGTGTTTTAATTCAAATTCAAGGTGCAGCTTTTTATTCATTGAAGAATGTCATTACTGTGCTAATATTTTATCAGAGTGTATGACTTGAATCTTATAAGTTTATTCAACTTCAGTTTTCTTCCTCTGTAGTTCAGTGAAAATGGTCTGGAGACATAGTCTTTGTCTTATTCTAAATTTCTGCTGATATATTTCCAGTTTGTATTATGTATATAACAATTACAAGGTTCTTTTCTTTGAAAAAACTAAAAGTAGTTTTCTACAGTCCTCCACAAGCTTATGATGACAGAGAGTTGATTGAATACAGAAGCGTATTGCATTCACTTACAAAAAAAGGAAACTTTTTTTTTTTTTTGGCTGTTTTTCTGACAATTTTTTTTCTTCTTTCTGTTTTTTTGTACTCATTTTTTCCCCTTTTTCTGTTCTTCAGACAAATTTTTGTTTTTTTATATTTATATATATTTTCATCTTTCTGTTTTTCTTACTATTTTTTTTTCCTGACTAAACGAGATACTTCGAAATCCTGAATGAATCTCATACAATCAGATACCATTAACCACCACAGCTGCTCCAAATCAGCAGATTTTCCAGCTCCTAGATAACTTCAACTACGGGGTCAATGAGAGTAAAGCATGTTATTAGTTAAGCATGGGGTATGCAAATCCTGAGGTGCCTGCGCAAAGTAGAAAAACGTATGATGATTCCATCTATCTGACTTAAAGAAAGGAGTGGGCCATGTTTGCTTCCAATAAATCAAGCAGAGGGGAATGAAAGCATCTGTTTTTAAATGATCATCATCCCAGAGAATAGGGAAAACAATTAGTCTGAAAAACAAAACAATTATTTAACAAAAAACAGTCTGAAAAACTGAAAAATCAGTCTGAAAAACAAGGGGGAAAAAATCAGAAATCTGAAAACAGGATAGAAAAAAAAATTACTCTGAAAACACAAAAAAAAATTTAGACCGAAGAACAGAACATTAAAAAAAAATACTCTGAAAAACAAAGCTTTTTTTGTGTGAATGCAATACACTTCTGCAATTGAACACTGTGTTTACAGAGCTGCTTAATTCTTCATTGTACAAGACACTACCATTTTGATATATTTGGCGGTTGTGAAGAATGGGTGAGTTTCGCTTTAAACGTTACCTGGGCCAGGTCCTGCTTGCTAATGCGACAAGACTGCTCACCATCCTCACTGGACGTGGTCGTGTCTGCAGACTTGTCCGACTCTGACAGGGAGGTCACAGCTCTTTCACTTTCACTTTGAGCACTCATAGATACATACTGACCAGTAGGCTCTTTCATTACCTCTACAACCTCCATGTCTGACAAACAAGAGGGATGCAGGTTTTTGTGGTTGTAATCTTTGGCCTCTCTTGAAACAGAAGATGTCTCCACTGACAAATAAGTTCCCAGATCTTTCCTGGTCCTGTTCTGCAGGCTCAGGTCCAAAGGTTCCAAGTCCTCCAAGAGTACAGCTTCTCTAATTCTTTGGCGAAATTTGAAGAAAGAGGAGAGTTCAGTGGTGAAGAAGTTTTCTGTCTGAGTAGAAGTGCTCGACATAGTCATTTTAGGAGGCGCTAATGGCTGAAGACACAATGAGGACTGTTGGGTGGAAGACAAGGGATTAGTCTCCAACTTTGGGGCCACTTGGGACAAGGGGACAACAACTGGCTCATCAAGACAGGGACTGACCACTCTGGCCTTTGTGTAGATAGGACATGGTTCTTTTTTCCCTTCAGCATGGTTTGTATGTATCCACATCTGTGACTGAAAAACAGAGCTCTCCCCCCTGAGTTCCCTGTCTTCTTTTTCTTCTTTGGGAAGTCCCTGCACTGTATCTGGGCCCTGTGCATGCTCAGTGGTCTCCCTGCCTTGCACAAAGAAATGTGTGTCCTCTTCATGACACTGCTCCATCTGTCCCACAGCTGTTTTAATGATTTTATCAATGGCTTCATCACCAGAGGCATCACCGTAGGCTGGCACTCTGAATTTCTTCTGGGTGATAAAAAGGTCCTGGCTGTTAATATCATCACTGGTGCATTGAGAATCATTGTTGTATGTTTGACCGTGGCTGTGCTCTGTCACTGTGACCTGTGAACAGCTCTCTCTCTCCCTCACTCTTTTATTCTTTGAGAGGAGGCTCTCTTTTGGAGACTGCTGAGTCAAAGACACAGGTTCGGGGTGTTTTGCTCTGATGTGACCTGAAGACAAGTCAAATGCCACCTTCCTTTTCTTTCTGTCTTTCTTCTTAGAGTTTCCAGTCGGTAGATCAGAGTTTAGCTTGTCACTGCTGAGTGGAGGAAACGTTTCATGCTTCATGGCGGCTTTTGATTGTCCATTACTTCCTTGTGTCACAACAAAACTGTCATCTGGTTTAAAAGCTAATCTGCTTTCCCTGTCCTCCTTCTGTTTTTTCTTTTCTTTATTTTCTTTCATTGCTTCTTTAAATCTAGAGCTTTTCTTTTTCTTCCGTTCCTGGGTAAGTTTGTCCCCTTTCCTGGTTGAGCTTTTTTTGCATTTTGGGCTTCCTCTGTTCTTTTTGGATTTCTTTTTCCTTTTCCCAGACAATATTAACGACTCCCAGAATGAGTCCATGTCTTTACAGTCACTTATGGATCTGTTCAGTGGAGAGACCAAAGTGGATTGTTTAAAAGCACCAGGATAGGATTTAACTTACATCATAGAAACACATGGTAGAAGTGTGTAAGGCTATCTTAAATAGATAGTCTATGACCCATTTCTGTTGTTAAATATTGCTGTTATTACAGAATATGCCCAAGAATCTAAGAAGAACTTTACTGATGCCCAACCATTGGGGAAGTCTTTATTTTCGCAGGTATAGCCTTCATATTTGGAACTCTTTTAATGGACGCACTCACCTAAAGGAACGCAAAACCTAGATAGAATCACTCATGGGCACCACGATACAGAACTCTTTTGTCCTCCTCTTTTTGTGCTTCACTTGTTTATTCAATCTGTATCTTAAATCTATTCCACGCCTCTTAGACTAAAAAGAGACTTAAAATTAGGAATATCACTGAATTTATCACATTCAAGAGACACAGGCCTTAATCCATACAGCTGTTAAATCAGCGACTCAACAAAAGCTAAAACAAAAGGTGTTTAAGAAAAATCTAGAAAAATTTAAGAAAAAATAAAGCCAGATTAATCTTTGACTGTGTACTTCCTTGATTACCACAGACGGTTATGACGGTAAACGGTATACTGCTGCATACACTGAAGGATTTTTCAACATAAAGTCATCATAATATCAGCAAAAGTTGGCCCATTTTGAAATGGAATATTTTATATTGAAGATATTTCAGATAAATTAGGTCTTATCGTTGCAAATTTCCCCACCATGGGATAAATAAAGGTTTATTTAATCTTATTTCATCTACATTTATTCCCCAATCAAAGCATCAACTGGTGACATTTCTAGAAAACAGTTAAGAACTGACATTTCAGTAGAAATATAATCTATCTTAGACAGTCCCTCATCTGACAAGTACATATGATTATGTGAGGTGTTGTGTCTGGAGTTTGACTTCAATACTAATATTGTTGTTTCCCATGTCACTCAAAAGACCTCTACTTATGCTGCTTTGAGCTTGTATTTCCATGCGTTTCCACTAGTTTATTTCTTATCTGACCATAAAGTAATTTTGATATCTGTCCCATTTACTGTCTGATTGTCTGTTCAGCGTCTTCATCATGCTACGTCTATTGTGATGGACCTAAGATATTGCTATGAGTCTGTGTGTGTATAGTACGTGTTCTAGGCATAGTTAAACGCATTTACTTTGTGGATGAGCAGATCTTTGTTGACGATAATAAATACCAGGTTTTAGCGGTGTAAAGCTATCAAAAAAGCAGTTTGGGCCTGCTTTATTACATAGATCTTGTGTATAACTTGTCGAAAATTTAACAGGGTGTCACGTTGGAAGCATAGCTTTACAATATAAGTGAGCAGCCAACTCGATAGGAGTTTATGCTTTGGTTTTTAAAGCTAGGACATTTCTGTGCTGGCATGTGAAAGAGATATCATTACTGGTGACAAAAATTAAGCAGGGCCTGCAACAATGTAACTATATTAGATATGATATACTTCTTGTGTACAGGTGTTAACAAATGTCCGTTATTTGTACGGTTTTAAGAGTTTTTGTGGTAACCTTCTTGCCCAAAACCTAGCTTAAGTGGTCACAATAAAGAAAAAATCAGTCACGCAAAATCCAAGTAAAATCTTCGGTTACATTTTTCGCGGTTAATCTTTTTTTTATACCAACAAGTGGAGCCGTACAATTTTAACGGGTCAATAAATATGTTGTAACGCAAATTTTTTATATATATATATGTAATGATAATTTAACGACGGTCAATGTCTTTGATATAATACTTACTCCAAGTTGCAGATTCAACCCCAGCGAGCAAATTTCAACTTCAAAGAGACCGTCTTTACTGCCAACAGTTCATGTTGCATTCAAGTGCTTTACTATAGCCCGGACTACAGAGCTTTACCTACATGGGCTAGGGTTTATTTGTTTTGAAATACATGTAATAGTCAGTTGAATTACAATATCTTGAAATTTGGTTGTTGTTAATACTTCCAATGACCCTGGCTGAAGTAGAGAACTAAAATGTTTCACCAGGTCTGTTCTCTTGGAAAATTCTGAAATCCGCTATCACGTTTTTTTCCCCTCTGATATTTACAACATCCCGGCTGGCACTAAAGGTAGCATTGGACATTTTCCAGGTTTCTGCGTTGATTTGGCGCCTTTCTCATCTTCTCTTGCGAACAAAGTCGTATCTAACATCAAATGTATTAATTAATGTGGCTGTGTTTTGTTGAAGGTCTCAACTTTTATTTCTTAGGATTCATTTTTTACTAATCGTTCATAATTACACCACTAGATGTCACAATGCACCGTTAGGCAATTGATCATAATTTGACGTTCAAACCGTGTTTATTTGTGACTCATTCATCGTTTATGCGGTCACTTTGCAAACGTCTGCTTTTAACACCATCCATAACACTTCAGAGTAAGTGGTCTGCTCTTATTCTCTCAATGTGTCATTTATTCGTCAGCTGACTTGAATAATTGTATAAGAGTGAGTTGACGGAGAAACCTAATGCATCGTCTTGTTGTAAGTTAGACATATAGTTATGAGTTCCGATGCAAAGGAAATGTACATTGCAGATCTCAATTCATGCAAACCACCCATTTTTGCGGTAATCACTGGAATGTCATGAGATTAAAAAAAACAAGGCATCGTGTAAAAAATGTTTGACAGGATTTTTAAAGAAAAGTTTGTTTTCTCTTATTTCTGTTTTTCTTATTACCACTTTATCTAATATATTTTTGTTGCAATAAAACAGATTTAAAAACCTTTGAGATCTATCTATCTATCTATTAAAGCTGAGATGAGGAGTTTGATGATTTATACCAATCCTCTTTTCAACAGCCACACTAATCTAACTCATCATAATAATCATCTGTCTCCTCGAGTATCTGCACAAAACAGTCATTTCACTTTAGTCAAGGACATTCAGGCAGGAGTGATAGTCCAGTGTGGTGGTCTTTGGTGGCAGTAAAATGATGGTGTGTTGCCATATGAGGTCAGACAGTTCCAGGAAAAGAGGATCGAGCTGTAGAAAAGAACCACCTGCTAGGGCATGAGCTCACTTACAGTCTGAGGTTGACCCTTCACCCTTTACAATAAATCCTGCCAAACACACTGAGCTACAGGGTAGTGCTACTTACTGGCATATAGAAGCAGTGCTAAATATGCTTTGACACGATATATAGTTGTCCTTTTGTGAGACCATTTAACCCTTTCACTAATTGCTTTGATACCCTTGTTTTCACCAAATTTGCCTCTTAACTGCATTCTCACGTACAACATTTTCAGCTTCAGAGTGCCATCATTGTATCTGTACTCTACCTGCACCATGCCAAAAAGTAGGACACAATCAGCCTCTTGTCCTTACAGCTGGTTAGCAGCTTTATGTAACTGTTTAGATAGATTCATAAATGTAAAAATTACACTTTTTCTCAGTCGCTTTGGTGCGTTTCTTACATCCCTATTAACATTAGCACAACAGTTAGTGCATTTCTCAAAATAATTTGTACAAATTACAAAACATAGTTGATAATCTGCAAAAGCATGTCACATGCTCTTAAAGGATAGTTCATCACTTACAAGCAAGTATTCATGTCAATGAAAGTGTCAATGTCATCAAAATGAGAAGTCTGACACCATTGTTTCTTAACAAGATAGTCAAGTGGCTTGATCATGTTTTCATTTTGACGGTTTTCAAATGTAAAAAAAAAAAGTCAGATCATGGTTACACCACCTGAAATGTTTAAGACAGCACTATACACTACTTGCACAGGCATTTAAAACCTCAGTACAGTTACTCATTACTGCATCTAGTGAGGTAACTGAGTACAAGACACTTAATATATGTACACTACAGGCCAAAAGTTTGGAAGCAAGGCCATTACAGGCCGAACAGTTGAGGGTAACTTCAAGTTTTTGTTCACAATGCTTTTTTAAAAATCCAGCATGAGTTTTATGTATTTTGGGATGTATTTATTCCATGATCAGATGTTGCTTTCATGGAAATGCACCATTTTACTCCATTTACCTTTAGATATACATTGATGTTAACAGACCATTGCTAAATATATGTCAGCAAAAGATAATAAGGGCTTCGTTTTAGGGTTGAAAACATTTGCAAGAGTCACAACTTCAGTGCAAAAGCAAAAAAAACAAATCACAGTTGGATTATTCACTTCAACTTTTTGGCTTTTGAGAGTCTGCATACAAAAATCCTAATAAATCTCAGCTGCGTTCAAACTACCGCAAAAATGGCTAGAAAGAAGCAACTGAGTAAAGAAACAAAAGTACAGATTTGTACATTGAGGAAAGAAGGATACACAGAAAGAGAAATTGCAAAACACCTAAAGGTGTTTAACAAAGGAGTCCACTACAATCTAAAGAGACTTGAGGAACCTGTAAGTTATGATGATAGAAAAAGACCTGGATGAAAGAGAGTTACTACAAAAGCAGAGGATAAACATAGCATTATCACCAGTAAGAGAGATCGGCAAAAGACAGCACCAAAAATAAGGGAGGAAATCAACATGACAAGGTCGAAACCCCTATCTCTGAGAACCGTGAAATGACGTTTGAGAAAGGCTGGTCTGAAGGGTTGTGTATCTGCAAAAAAAAACACTACTTAGTCCACAGAACAAGAAAATGAGATATGAGTGGGCAAAAGCTCACAAAAATTTGACTTATGATGACTAGAAACAAGTTTGCACTGTTTGGTTCAAAACGCAGAGTCTATGTCCGCAGACAAACTGGTGAACGTCTGAAAGCACCATGTGTTACACCCACAATTCAGCATGGAGGTGGTAGTTCCATGGTATGGGGATGTTTTGCAGGTGATGGAGTAGGAGATTTGTTTGAAGTAAAGGGTATCATGAAGAAGGAACAGTACCACTCCATCCTCCAGCACCATGCTGTTCCATCTGGACTCAGACTTGTGGCTCATAAGCTTATTTTGCAGCAAGACAATGACCCTAAGCATTCTGCCAAGCTCTGTCAGGGTTACCTAGACAAAAAAGAGGAGGAAGGTGTTCTTCAAAAAATGGGTTGGCCCCCTCAGTCTCCAGACCTTTCACAATTGAGCTTGTGTGGGATAAATTGATCGGTCAGAAAAACGCGCCCCACGAATCAGCAGTCTCTTTTTAATGAACTTAAGAAAGCTTGGGATGCTTGGAACATACCTTAAAAAACTTGTGGCCTGGTATGCCAAGCTGTTGTTAAAGCCAGAGGAGGTTAATTTAAAGAAAGCAAAGTCTAAGCAACAATAACTCAAATACCTAATAATTATACTCAAAATGTCTTCTGATAAGTTACTCTTTACACAATAGTCATGTTTATTGTGTTGCAAATTATATATATGAAACTATGATCTCTTTTGTACAAATCTGATCTTGCTTCCAAACTTTTGGCCTGTAGTGTATGTTTCATATTTTTCCTGCATACGCTCTTTGCTCTTTGTTCACAGCATTGTGCAAAAAGAAAAATACACACTTATTTACAACAAACCCTTTGGGTCGATCTGTGCACAACTGTAACCAATACTGCAGAACATATTACTCAACTCAACTCAACTCAACTTTATTTGTAGAGCACTTTAAAACAACCACAGCTGTACAAAGTGCTGTACATAACAGGACAAAAACAACAAGATAAAAAACAATCAAGAAACAATTAAAACAATGGATAAAATAAAAGCAGAATTAATAATAAAATATAGCTTCAATGTTTTTAAAAACTAATTTAAAAACATAGAAACAAATAACTAAAAACAAACCATAAAACACTAAAACAGAGGGAGGGAGGGTTAAAAGCCAATGAATAAAAATGGGTTTTAAGACGAGTTTTAAAAATGGACAGTGTGGGGGCTTCTCTAATTTGGAGGGGTAGCTTGTTCCATAAAATTGGGGCAGCAACAGAAAAAGATCTATCCCCTCTGAGCTTCCGTTTGGACCTCGGTACCTCCAGGAGCAGCTGATCAGCTGACCTGAGGCACCGAGCTGGGGTGTAGGGGTGGAGAAGCTCAGAGAGGTATGATGGAGCCAGACCATTTAAAGATTTAAAAACAAATAAAAGAATCTTAAAATGAACTCTAAAATGCACAGGTAACCAGTGGAGGGAGGCCAGGATGGGAGTAATGTGCTCCCTCTTACGTACTCCAGTTAAGAGCCGGGCGGCTGCGTTTTGAACTAACTGGAGACGTGAGAGGGAGGACTGGCTGACTCCAAAATAAAGTGCGTTACAGTAATCCAGCCGAGATGTAACAAAGGCATGGATTACTGTTTCAAAGTGCGTTCGTGAAAGGAAAGGCTTTGCCTTCGCCAGCTGCCTAATATGATAAAAACTGGATTTCACTACGGAGCTAATTTGCCTGTCGAATTTAAAATCACTGTCCATCTTAAAACCCAAATATGAGACGGTTGGCTTTAAATAATCTGCTAAAATACCCAAGTTTACAGGAGGGGTTTCACAAGGGCCACTGGGACCAAAGACCATCACTTCCGTTTTTTTCATTGAAGTTTAAGAAATTCAAAGCCATCCAGGCTTTGATGTCTTCAAGACACGCCAGAAGTGGAGTGAGGGAGAAAGCATTTTTTTTGTTAAGTGGCACATATATCTGACTGTCATCAGCGTAACAGTGAAATGAAATGCCATGCTTTCTCAAGATGGATCCCAGGGGCAGCAAATATAAAGAAAAGAGCAGGGGCCCTAAAATCGACCCTTGTGGAACCCCATACGGCAGTGGAGCAGAGCTGGACTCTGTATCTCCAAGGCTCACGCTCATAGTTCTGTCGGTCAAATAGGACTTGAACCACTCTAGTGCAGTACCACGGACACCTATAAGATAGCTTAGCCGAGCCACCAGAGTATTGTGGTCCACTGTGTCGAAGGCTGCAGTTAGATCTAACAGAACAAGAATAACATAATCACCAGAGTCATTTGCCTGGAGGATGTCGTTAAAAACTCTTATTAAAGCAGACTCTGTGCTGTGGCGAGATTTAAATCCAGACTGGAAGACCTCCAAGACACCATGCTCATCCAGAAAGGACTTTAGCTGAACATGAACAACTTTCTCTAAAATCTTTGAAATAAAAGGAAGCTTGGAGATGGGCCTAAAATTGGCCAGCACACTGCAATCAAGGCCTGGTTTTTTAGGGCTTTTAGCGCTGAACATACAAGGATACAAACATACACAGGACTGTTAATCATTCATGCACATCCAGACATTCCTGTCTGTCTGACCACATACATTCATCTACATCACAGTAAATATCATCCCTTACAATGCAGTGAGGAAAGTCTTTCCTTGAGTGGTCTATCCACCCTCTGTAGGACTCTGCTGTGATGTCATCACATGTTGCAAACATGGCTGCTAACAGGGCCATTTGGGTATGTGGGTGTATGTCCTATACCTTCCACCTCCAGGCAGAGAAAAACCCCTCTATTGGATTTAGGAATGGGGAGTAGGGAGGGTGATATTCCACCAGCATCCTTTCATGTGCCGCAAACCACTGTCTGACCAGATCTGAGTGGTGAAAATGCACATTATCCCAAACAACAACATACTTGTTCAGATGGTCTCCAGTTGGACTCCTCTCATTCTCAGGGATTATGTCCCCATAAAGAGGATGTGTGTTGCTTGGCTCAAAACTAGGGATATGGGTAAGGATGCTGTTTTCTGAGATGGCTGCACACATTGCAACAATCCCTCCTTGTTGACTTGGGACATCCATGGTTGCTCTCTGTCCAATGCGATTTCTTCCACACCTTCTACCTTTTTTCCAGATGGAAACCGCCTCATCAAGGCTTATGAATGTGTGCAGCTGTTCTCTGGCCTCCAGCTCCAGTACACACTTTATCCCAGAGGAGAGAGAGAGGAAAACTATGACAATTATTCCTGTGTAACATGATGCATTTTGGACAACATACTGTACAATATGCACTGTGAATACACCTACACAGAACTGTCATGTAAGTGTATTGCATGGAACACGTGTACAGACTAGTGACGATACTCCTTCACTCTGACGCTGTTATGTTCAAATGCTATATTGTGCACTTGCTTCATGTGCATTTCATTTCTCCTGAACACTCTGTCAATTGTAGTGATTGATACAGATTCAATATTCCCAAAGATATTGCTGTCCTCTAGAACAGCACTTTGTATCTCTCTCAACCTTATGGCATTGTTTGCAATCACAGTTGCACAAATGGCTTCCTCTTGTTGTGGAGTAAAAGGGACCCTCTTCCACCTCTGTGAGGTTGTCTTGCAATCCTGGGTGGTGCAGAGTAAAATTACGGTAATGTACAGTAAGCATGAGATATACTGCATTAACTCATATTACTGCAGTGTACAATAACAGTGCTTCCAACTTGTAAAACACTGTAGTACAGTACAGTACTGTACTGTAAATATGGCAAATCTTTACTGTAACAATATTGTACAATACAATACAGTAAATCTGTGCTGCAGTAAAGCTGTAAGTCTAAATGTAAAAAGTCACAAGTTCTTCTCCCACTGTGAGCTTCATGTATAACACAATGACAATTGTGCAGTGCTCATTGTTCAGTGCTGATTTACTGTCCAACAGACACACCTGTTCACCTGAAGAAATGTTTGAATAGTTGAATTTACAGTCTTTCTCACAACATTTAGCTGCACCCTTCGACCAATCTCAGTCATTGTAACATCGTGATTGACAACATGGTCCACAACTGTAGTCCTTGTTTCATCAGGAATCTGCCTATGTACTTGGCCTCTTCTTCCTTTTTCCCGGTTTTGTCCCCTTCCCCTTCCTCAACCCCCTTCTACCACGCTGACCTTACCCTTCTGTGTCACAGTATTGTAGAAATGGTACATGCTATGTCCTGCTTGGTTTATATGAACCAAGTGGGTTCATTGGATAAAATTAGCTGGACAGATTTAAACAACCAGTTTAACATTTTTGTATGCATTGACTTAAGCAATGAAATGAGAACCAGTATTGTATATTTTGATTGGAAAATTATGTTTTAAAACAGCAGAGAATTGTAGGAAAGCAATTGATGCAGGTCTAAGAGCATTTGCAATTTGTTGGAAGGAATGAGAAACTTCTCCATGATGTGTACAAATGACTCAGTGTTGTGGAGGTTTAACTAACAGTAATGATAATTATCATTCTGATCAGAGAAATGCATCGAAGTGTCAGAAAAAAAACTATAATGTTAAGGGTTTCTGACATGTTGAAGCCATGAGTCTGTAATTATGCCAGGTAGCGTCCTCGTCAAGCAGCAACCACTGGTCTTGCAGAAAAGAGGCAATAAAGGAGTCCTAAAGACTGCAGTTCCTTGAATGTCCACTTGAGGCTGGTCCCAAAATCTCTAATGCCACATACACACTCATTCTAAAATAAAATTGTTTATAACCCAAGGGGGAAAAAAACAGTTAGAGGTCATTACTCTGCATACACTGTACAATGGGGGACTTTTTTAAATTATTTGTTCTGAAGGTATGAAGGTCACATGTTTTGCATAGTGGGATACAGCTAACTTAACTGACAGGTGGACAAACTGTAGCTGTTAGCAAGTAGGCTGAATGTCCACCTTAACTCTGCCTCCATGTCTTTGCTAGGTCCATTGAAGGTTAGGTTGTGTCAGCATTTCCAATACTGTATTTTGACCACTGTCACTGGAAACCAATGGTTGATGTTACTATGGCCATGTCCATATTTTAGTCTAAGGTTTTAGCTTGCTCTGATGCCCACAAGTGGACAAATGTGTTTGTAATTGCAGCTGAAGAATTTATATTGAATTAGCCATTTTGTCTTTATTTGTTCAAAGTAAACGTCACAATAAGGCGTGTGTGACATATTTACTATAAGTCTGGGGTGTTTCTCTCATACATTTTGTACAATCTTTCACCAGCCTACAAGTCAAGTACTGCACTCTTGTTGTCTTTGAACTCTCTTTTGAGCAACTTGACATCAGCATCTGTGAAATGTTATTTATCTTCTCTGTCAGCCATCCCAGGACATGCCGTCACCCTCTATAAAGGTCTGAGCCCAACCATAAATAGCAGTGTGCCTTAACTTATTTACTCCACTGTAACTATTCTTAAATCTCAGGGACCTTCTTTCCTAACCATGCACCTGACTAGCAAAAGCTGTGAAGACAAGTTTAATGGAGAAGCTGTGCAACTTGGCAAGTTTTTGGTCAGGCTTTTGGTACTTTGTTTTCTCCCTTTACTTAAAGTCTGCCTTGAAGTATTCCCATGCACCTTTTTGCCTTTGCATGCTAAACATTAAGAGAGCATGAGGTAATGAGGGCGGCATGGTTTAAGTCCTGAGCTAAGTTCAGAGGTCAGTGTGTGCAGCGGGTGTCATCTAAACATGCCGTGGCCACTGTGGTCCGTAATAGTATCATGGGAACGCAAGCACAGGTCAGTGCCTATGAAGGGCCAGCAGTCACTGTTTACCGTAAAACTCATAAAGCAGCTATGTAAACAACTTGAATTGCTGAAAATTCCAGTGTTTGCTTTTGGTGTAATGATGCAACAGCCTTTTATAAATGATGCGATTTGTCCTCTAAGGCTTCAGTATCATGCTGAAAGTTTGTTTCACTCAGAATTTCAGACAACTTTTCTGAAGGGCTTAAGGGCTGTGGGTAAAATTAAACAGATTTAAGAGCCTTAATAAATGAATGAATGAATAACAGTTTGTAGTTGAAATGTGTAAATATCAAATGAATTTCATATATTTACATCCTCTGTCATATGCCTCACCGGGGAAAATAAAAATAACTAACACATTTTTGAGATGCTTAGCATAATGTCATCGTCCGCCTTGTCACCCTATGTGGTCATACTCTTTTTTTACCCATGGGAACAGAGGGTGGAGATCCACGAGGCACAAGAGGATGATGATCAATACATTTAGACCTGTCAGGGACTATCATCACCTTCAGTTTTGCACTTGAGCTATAAAACTTTTAAATCTTTTGATTTTCTTAGATCAATAATACTTCTTCATCACTAGTACTCTTCTTGAACAGATCAATTGCTGGCAGAAGTTTAATTTTTCTCAACACTTAGTTTTGCCACTGACAGAAGAGCTCTGTGGTTTGCCATCTTTATTCCCAGCTTTTGCAACATTTAAAAAACTTACACTTTTATTGTTATTGAACCTTTGGTGTGGGATCAAACTATAGTGAACTGTTGGGTGAGTTGATCTACCCTGGAACACCTGTGGCTGAAATGTGAGGGGGAGGACTTTTGACCCTGTTGCCTAAATGACTGACAGAGAAGGTGTTGGGGAATGTGGAAATTTGAAATTCAATGAATTTAATTACTGGATATTATTTTAAATCAGTGGCTTTTGGTCATAACTGTGTTGAGGACTTTCTAAATATATGAATAACACATAGGTTTGGTGTCTGAGTCACATTATTTGGCTAACACCAAATCCAAAAACTTGTCTTGCTTGAAAAATATATGGCACAGTAATCTTCTTCTTTGTACTTGATACAAGACAAAAGGTCAAAATCAGTAGATAAACTGCCATTACTTTTTTCTTTGCTCCATGTCTTACCAAGCATTGTAGCTACATTAGACATTATTTTCGTCATAGTTCCTCAAATATTCAAAGATTCTCAAGTTGCAACACCGGCAAATGCATGTGCACACACAGACACACAAACTCAACCATAGACTCATGCACACACTGTGACAACGACAGCATCATCCAATGACACAGCACCTCAACTCCCAATCTCTCTTTGATTCAGGAAGTTTTCTTGACGTCAGGTCTGTGTGAATGCTCTTTTTTGGAGGACATACTCTTTAAAACTATGTTAATTCTTTCGTTGAGTGCCTATGTAACCAGGACAACTCTTAAATGGGCAATGACAGTCATAAATCCATCCAAATGTTGCTGCTTTTGTTGTGAGGCAGACAAAAAAAGGGCACAGCTAATCTGGCTACTGTACAGGGGAAGGGAAAACACAAAAAGGAAATGTGGAGGGAAATTCTGCAAGTGTGACACCGAATTTTGTGTTTAGTATTGAAAAACTACTCATGATGATTACAAAAATGATATCATATGGCACCAAATACTTATAAGAAGTAAAAGTTAAAACTCTTACAGTTACACCTTCAAAGGAAAGTTGGACGGGGAATTAGCTTTACATGTGTAGTGGGTGTCAGGGGATTGGGGTTCAACTTGCAAAGCCATTAGTTAGGTCTGGTATGGCAGTGTTGAAAGCCCAAAACTCAAGGGAGGTGTTGTCTTTTCTGCCCTGCCCCCTCTGGGAGCTGGGGGTGTGACATCAACAGCAATAATGAAGTCAGATTATCAATGGCTGAGCCCACCAGCTATAAAAGGAGGTTGGAAGGTCCTTTGCTGATCATAACTTATGGAGGCAATCCTCCAAAGCAGACTAACTTCAATATATGACTCTACTACTTTTAGCAAACAAACAGCAGGTATGAAGACTGTATTTTTTAATCAAGGTTATTATTTCTAATATATATAATTTTTAGTTTGATATTTTAACATTAAATATGAGATAAAGGTAAACAGAAATGTTAAGATATTTTTTCTACAAAATGTACTTAGCACATACTCTCCTGTTGTGTCATTTGCCATTTTTGTCATTTGCCATTCACAAAACCCATCTATGTGTAGAATAACCATTTTTGTTGATATTGTGCTTATTCAGTAAGTCACTGAAAACGTTTTAAATTGGTGACATAACAAAACTTTGATTTTTTTTTCCTGACAGGATATCATGGTAAACATGCAAAATCCGGATTACAAAATAGTAATTATGTCACTCTGCATCGCGCACGTGCTAGTGCTCTGTGAAGGGCGACCCCTAAGGTAATTTACCAGTCCTACCACCTCTCAAAGCACAATAATGATTTTTCTCACCAAGGTGCAATGCTGTATTTTGCCCTTATTATAATTTGTCTGTGCAGCTTCTCGTCAGTGTTAATTTGAAAAATATATGTGTACAGGAAAAGGACAGTGAGCGAGGTCCAGCTAATGCACAACCTCGGGGAGCACAAGCAGGTGCAGGAGCGCCGGGAATGGCTGCAGATGAGACTCCGAGGCATCAATACCGCCCCGGGCCGGAGCAGCAGCGGGGAGGCAGGCCGGCTCAGGTGGAGACTGCGTCCCGCGGAGATAACCGACCTGAGCCACCTGTCACCAGAGGAGATCCAGTACGCCTTGAAGCTCTTGGACAAAATCCTCAAGTCAAAACATTCATAACGTGGACAGGCCCAGAGATATCAGAAACAATATGTCCAACTTCACGATTTGTTTTTTTAATGTTAAAACCTAACTGTGGTATGTCTTCGTTACTGGAACGTATTTTAACAACTTTTACGTTACCGTTTCTTTATTTATTTCTATTTATGGAATTTGTTATTCATGTTTGACAACCGATCATGGGAACGAGGCTAAGACGAAGTTTGGGGAATTTCCACTTGTATTTGGTCTTGTAGCTGATGTAACAGGTGGCGTTGTTAGACTAAGATTTAAGTTAAGACTTGTGCAGTTTCCTGCTTAAACCATGCCGTCTATGGCTTCAACACACTGATATGGAGACTTGGACCAACTATGTTCTACTTTATAATTTTTAGGTTCTATTTTGCACTTTCCTGACATTGTCGGGCATGATATACTTATACTTATTTAATTTAATTTAAATTGAGACTGTATTTTTGTCATAGATGTTTAAAATTTGTCTGTAAACGTTGAGTTACGTTGAGTTACGTTTCGACATAGTACCGTGTATATACACTGCGACGACATAGAAATATGCTATCTTTTCTACTTTTATATTTGTTTATCCAGCCTTGAAACAAAAGACTGATTTCCTTGAAGGCGTGAAACTGTGTTTACATATTTTGTAATAAAATCATGATAGAAGTGTTTTTCTCCCAGGTTTTGCTCATTGACCCTTTATGTCCTCTGAGAAGATTTGTCTCTTAAAATTCAGTTCTATGCGTGTTCAAAGGCAGGTTGGGCAGTCCCACGGAATGTGCGTTTGTCTCGCGATATGTACGCAAACTCCCGTTCCCCCACACCATAACAAAGATTTTAGTGGAGTTCATGTAAGAACGTAAAACTGATCATCTTGTCTTCAACACAATTGTGGCATTTCAGAGAAGGTTGTTTCATTCAGTCGTGGTACCAGAATGTTTCGGAAGACGGTAAGTTTTTCTCGTGTTGAACTCTTTTAATTGCAAAGACAGCTAACGTTAGCCGCTTAACGGTTGGAGTGGAACGTTTAGCTTAGCGTTTACAGCTAACTTACAGCTCACAAAAGTCTAACCCCATTTAAATCCTCCGAAGTCCTTGTAAAGAAAGATTTATAAGGCACCGTGATAATTGGTTGGCTCTCACTCAACGACTACGACAGCAGTAAATTCATAAAGTTTACTCACACTGTGTCATTGTTTAGCACTGATTTCAGATAACGAATGTGGGTCAGTGAATTAATTCAACACTGTTGTGTGCATTTTTAACAACGCTGTTGGGGTCAACATTGATGAATTGTATTCTATCTTTAACCAGTGAACTGCATGTGTGAGACATCATCTGAGCATATCGTAATGTATCATATCTCTGGCTTTACACTTTCTTCAGCACACTTTCCATCCTTCACAAACTAAGAGCATGGAACCCTTGACTCTAACCTCCCGTGTGTCAAAAACCCTATGTGGGGTTTCAACAGTTTCCATCTTATAGTTTTGGGTCCTTGATACAGTTCGGATGAATAATTGATGCATAAAATTCATCCAGTTATTTACTATCTAAAGTCAATTTAGGAGTTGGACCGTAATTTCATCGAGCATCCCCATCAATATATGTGGTAATGCGTCGTTTTGTTTAAAGAAGACGTCCACGGTCCGTGTTGAGAGGATACTGACCGTAAGGTCAAGAGGTTGGTGTTTTAATAGACAGATGCCCTAGCGATTAATCCTCAACCGTGTATGATCTGAAGTAGCTACTGCCATTATCCCTAAAGAGAAAGCCTTCTGAAATGTGTGTGTGTGTGTGGTGGGGTGCTGACCCACTGCCAGGTTGTGTCAGAACTCCGGTCTACATAATGGAATGTAATGTCAAGTGGATACTTCAAGTCAGGTTGACTTACCTATTGTGCATGGTGCATAAAGTCAAATCGACCTAGGTTGTATTGCCTGCTCTCGTCTTTTGCCGGGATGTAGTTGCCAACCAACTTAAGTCTAAAGGTCAAGGAAGTTACTGTTTGTCTGGTATTCTTGTTTTAACATGACACTGTCTTGCACTGCAAAACTAAACTGCTTACAACGGTTTTGCAGACTGTGATGAAGCTCTTTGGGCCTTTGCTTACATGAAAGTTTACGAGAATTAGAAAATCGTTTAGATAATCTACAAAAAGTAGTTGTTAATTTATTGTGCAACCTATTCACACAGGGGCCTTCCTAACAGATGTGAGCTCGCTGGAAAACTGATCTGGCTAATAAATTCTCCCAAATATCTTTTAAATCAAGTGATATTAATGGCTAACGGATGGAACTTTTACATTTACTCATAGAGAGTTATTTCCCCACTGTTCTGAGTTTATTTTCAACACGTTTCGCCATTTTTGTTCTAATTTCCAATGTTACGACCAGAGTGGGGTCGTTGGAGTAAAATATCTGATTTCGGCAAAATACACAATAATTAAAATGTTTGCTATTAATGACATTTAAATACAAACGACGAAAAAATAGTATGTCTGTTGCAATAAACGGGTGACGACTTTGAAGTACACTGCATGCACGCTGGGCATTGAGAAGTGGGAGTTTACGAGTAGTACATGAAGGCAGCATCTCTCTGATTCAGTCAAGCACGCGGCCATTCACAGTTTAAGGTCCCTCCGGTGACTCTGAATGACTAGCCGGTCCGCGTTTCCCCCGCTTCGTAGACACATTGAAAGCTTTGGGTCGGAGCAGTGGATTTTATCAGCGAGTCGAAGTTCGGGTTGAGTTTGTAAAACGATGTGGATGAAGTTGCAAAGTAATGAGCGAGGATGCTGAAGCTGCCGGCAAGCCCGCTTTGTTCGGAGGAGCGCAAGGCTTTTGTGCCGCTGTCATCCCGCAGCTCATCCCCTGCTGCTTTGTCTTCACTTGGCCCTCTGATACCGACCGGTAGGTGCACGTCCGCTTTGAAAGCACCGTTCTTTTAGCTTTTACATTGTCTTCAATTTATCCGTCTCTTTGTATGGGCTGGGCTACTGTTTGGAAAGAGAATTCTAATAGTGCCGAAAGGGGAAAAACACAGACTGGACTAGTCTGCATGGGACTTAGTCTGGCACTTGAAACACAAACAAGAATAATTTTGTTATCAATGCTATATTGCTATATTATTTAGTGATACTATTTGCCTAATCCTGTTACTTTAGCCTACACACCAGTAATAATATAAATAATACAATATATACAATATATCAATGATTGTTAGTCATATCAGCATTTAAAAAAGGTTTATAGGGCTCTGAATTTGTTAGTGTCCTTATCATTTGAAGCGATATCAACCCAGACTGCTGCAGAGCAGATACCCTGCCTTTGCCCGACTGTGTGTCTGTGTCAGCAGCCCCTAAATAATAGATGGGACCCTCACCCCTTGGGGCTCTCACCTCATGCTTTTAATAGACTACCAAGATGCTTTGCGTCTCTGTTTGAGTTATTGTATCTTGAATTGGTTAGTGAGCTTGAGTTGTATTTAACATACTGAACCTGCATATGAGATTTGTGAGTGCTTTAGGCCATCAACCAAGAAAAAAATAAGGGGGGGTCAATGGGAAACTGGACAAGTGAAATGTTAGCCCCCACTTGCTCTTTCTGTCTTTCTGATATCTGGGCTTCTGTAGATTTGCATCGCTGCATGAAAGATGAGAGGAGCTGCCTGCCCTGAGTGAAATATTGCCCCCTCAGTTCCTTTGTTCCCTTACCCGGCTAGTCTGGTCACTGGCTGCCAGCCTATTTGGCTTGAAGTCCTGTTTTTGTTTCTGTTGCCCCGTCTCCTCTGACAAGCAACATCTCATCGGAGATGTATTAGATTTGTCTTTTAACAGGTACATGAGTGGATAAAGACAAAAAACCTACAATCATTCTCATCACATACTGTAACAAGTCTTACAGGTGCTCTGTGTTATTCTACAAATATCCTTAAGATAGCCTTAGTGTTTGTTACGTGTAACATAGACTGCAGAAGGAAGTCCTCTGTTTGACTGATGGCTTACCTGAACACACTGAATCATGAGGGAGAAGGTGTGTATCCACTTCTCTCTCTCTCTTCTCAGCTGCTATGGTGACCCCTGTCTTCAAGGACACCGTCTGATTCTACAGCTGTAGAGTGAAGTGGACATATTTGTACAGAAAAGACATGCTTTTTGTTGCTCATTTTTATTTTTCTTTTTCTTTCAGAGTAGAACTCATTTATAAAAATCAGATTCCTAGTTTGATTTCTATAAATGTAGATAACACATCTACATCTACACATCGTAATCTCAAGCAGACAAGACTGTTAGAGCATCAACCAACCAAGTGAATGTTTGACCTTGACTGGTTGTTAGCCAGGGGTTGGTGAGAGTACCAGGTAAAGTGTAGCTATCACATTTAATTGATGATAACGGTGTCGGTTCACAGGTCTTGCTTTATCTTGGTTTGATCTGTCTGCGACTGCGTCTACCCACCCATACAGTTAACCAATTAGGAACTCAGTAAGTGAGCTCGCCACTCATCCAGATGTCAGCCAGTATGTGGGAAGGCATTTCTCATTACTGGCCTTTGAAGCTATCCTAAAACATACATGGCTTTCCTGTTGGACACTTGGAAATCAAAAACGCTTCTAGATTCTTCTTTAACAATAAATAGCCCTCCTTTAACTGTAAGAGTTGATGACCTATAGTGTATTTTATTTTGTAAAAACAGAAAATTTAGATGCTAAATCCGCTCAAATGAGCTGCTGGTGACTTTAAGCTCCATCTCTTCATGTCTGTCGCAAGCTATGCGGAGGTGAAGGCAGCAGTCTGACTCTCTTTACATCACCAACTCAATTTTTATTAAATGATTAAAAAAAAAAGAAGAAGAAAGAGTATTCAGCTTTTATTTCCCCCCACCTCCTTGCCCCCATTTTCCATCTCCCTGGTTCCATAGCCTACAGTAGATGGTCATATTTCATAGCAGCTCCTCCGAGGAGAGTGGGGCTTGCTTCATTACAGAGACCTGAATGTGTTACTGCCTTACAAGCTTAACATTATGGATCAGATAGCCGGCCACACTGGCACATTGAAAGCGAAATGGATACATTCATTAGCATAATATTCAAATGATAATTCATCACTACACAGCTGGATAATAATCTCATTACTAAAGGTAACGTAACATTTTACAATTTGCCTGTAAAAATATCAGACATCATAGTTTATAGCTTTTCAAAACCATATGTTTTAGCCACACAGTTTTTAGGGCAGTTCTGTGTCGCTTTTGTGTGAAAAGGTCACCAAAGATATGACTTTCTGCAAGTTTAAAAGGTTTATGTTGCTTTTTCTGTAAGGCTTACGTTTTATCTTTAATGCTTAAATATTATTTCATGCAAGACTATTTATCTGCAATCAACCATGTAGTTTTTTCTGCCAGTAGCTAACCAATACTTTCTTCCTAATATCAAACTTTGTTTTGAGTTCTTATTCTCATAATATCTAAAGCTACAATGTAAAGTATTCAGCTCCATTTAGCAGAACAAACCTGATAGAAATGGGATAAAATGTACGTAAGTATTTAAAAATTGGTGTCACATCACCTGGATACAAAACAATGTTTTTATTTTGTTTACTTTGAATGATACATTGAACTACTCAAGGTCCTCTTCCACAGGTCTGCCACCCTGTATTCCCATGTCTTATGCAGCAGCACAGAAAAGACAAACTGGGTCGCAGCTGAAAATGCACTGGTTTGAGGAAGAGCAAGACGAAGAGTGATAGAGTTCTGGTTGTGTTCAAAACAATTTGCATTCATAGACATTTGTAATTTTTAAAACTTGACAAAAGAGAAGCGTATTCATCATTATTACAGCTCCTGCAAGGTCACTGTCACTTTAGGATTTCACCGATGGAAAGGGTTGATCTTGGTAGTGTTTAACCCCAAGTCTGTCTGCTAGATATCACTAAATATACTCAGCTATGCACACTTGTACCTTTAATTTTACTATAATATATAGCTTTTCCTCCAATACAAGGCCTGTGGCCACAACATAAATGATCTGCCTGGTATTTGGGAATCATCAACATTCGCCATTGGCTGATTCGGCAAACAGTTTTTGTAGATTTTAGCCTGTGAGCATAGGGTGTCAAACAATAGTGTGCAATCTTTCTTTGTGCCTTTTGTAATAATGTTTGAAACTTTGGAAAAGAATATACTGTATGTTTAATTCTCTCAGAAGTGTATGATGGTAGAAATGATAGCTGTTCTCTTAAGGCTGCCCATCTGTCCCTAAAAAAAAAAAAATTACAGCAAAGCACTCTTAGAAGCATCAAGGGCTCTGAAGCGAGGCATGTTGTTTGTTACCCAACAGTAAAAATCTCTGATAAAGCAGCTTATGGACCAAGTAAAGGACTAATGCCATTTCTCTTTGTTGTGCTGTTTCTAAGCGAGTTCAGCTCTCTCAGATTGTTTCACATGGATAAACTCTCTAATGGACGCTGAGGCACTGTGTGTGTGCATGTGTAGTTGCGGGCTGGGCTGAGCTTTGGTGGACTGGTGTCGCCCCTGCCTCTGCAGCACTCAGTCCCTGTAAGGGTTCATAGGAGTTGACTGCTAACTTTTTTCAGGCTCTCTTCTTCCACTGCAAAGCACGCAAAAAACAAACCCTTTACCCTCTGAGCAATCTCTGCTGAGTTATGTGTGAGAGCATAGCTGTGCCCAAAGCAGAGAGAAGTAATCTATCTCATTGTTGCATGAATTCATGCACCAGTGCTTTGGTATCTGTGCAATTAACACTTTCATCCTGCTCTGACTTGACATCATGATAATATCAAAGTTTTAAGGTGCTGTAGAATTCAAATTAAACTCCCACTCCCATCGTTTTTTTTTTTGGCTACTATAAGTGTTCTCAGTGTTCTTTAAATTGTGATTATAAAGTTTTTAGCCAAAATCACGTTACCTGTGTCATTGTTAAGGTCTTTTCTTCTGCAAAGTTCCAGAAGCTCATTAGCAATTCACCTGTGAGGCAGAGGCAGCGCTGCTCTGCACACCTCTCCATGCTAGCTTGTAGCCTAACTTTGCCGGTGTAGTAGAGGTGGCAGGTAACAAAGGAGCTATTCAGTTCTCAGACACTAATGTCTTTACGGACATGATTAAAGCTAATATCATAATTAGCTTTCCTAAGAGTATTGCAATCTGCTAACTCACACGCGTCCTCCCTACCTCTCCGAGTCTGGCCTGCATAGCGGGGCTCCGGGGGCAAAGCTTAGATTTGCAACGTAGGAAACCTCGCTGTGCCTGCAGTTTGATCTGCCGGAGATTCACAGCGATTTGAATGCAGAAATACTCAGAAATGTTATTTCGCACTTTATATATATATATGTCTTGTAGTATCAGAAAAATGTCATATGAACATGTAGACAACAAGAAAAACATGATTTTCATCAGAGTGGGTCTTTAAAGTGACACTGATTGTGTCACTGAATATTTCCCCATTACTGGTTCAGTTGCTACGATCTGTCTTTGCAAAATAAGCTGGGAGTTTGTCTGAAAGCACAGATTTTCTCCTCCATGTCAAGCAGTAGTCTTCTAATGTTGAGGGGTTCACATGCTTCCTTCAGTGGGGAGTCAGTCTCCTGTTTTGTTTGCTTGGGACATGACTATTTGTCTGTGACCCTTTCTCAGTAAGAAAAGACACAATGAGCAGTGGCTTGAATTTAGCATCAAAGATATTACAGTGCAGAAATTGCCATCCATTTTATATTTTAGTTCTGACTAGTTTTGTAGCATATAAATCCTACACTGTATTCTGTCAGTGTTCTCTTAAAGGGATATTTCTGTCTTTTTTGAGTACATAAGTGCTGAGTAGTAAGTGAATCACCCACAGAGAATTTGGGTCGGCTCGGCCCCTTTGTTGAGAAACCAGCATAATACTGGCACATTTGATAGGCTGCAAAGTAAGGCAGCACGATATTGGAAAAAACTAACATTGCGATTTTTTTCAACCCTGCGATATATATTGCAATATTAAAAAATACAAGAATTTTCACCAGATGACCTGAATAGCACTTTATGTTGTGCTGCACTGCGGAAATTTTGAGGACCGTTAACCTGCATTGATCTTACCTCTTTTTGTGAATGTTAGTAGAATGGCTTTTGTCTGTCTTAGAGATATTTTTAGCTTTTATTGTGCTGGGACGTTATTGTGGCAACAGATGAACACAGAACACGTGTTTTGGTCGACATCATCCTTCTTTAACCGAAATAATTCCAGATAACTGACTTTCCTTTTTTTTTTGGCAACAAATTTTCATCTTCTGTGGTTTTCTCTGTTTGTTGCTCAGTTTGCGATCGTTGTTGTTGTTGTTACCGGGGTTGAGCTGAGAAACGCATATCCTCTGAGAATTGCCTGCACCTCACAAAACGCGCACTGCTTATAGTAGAGTGGTCCAGGGAAATGTACAATTTAAAACCCATACGGTTCTTATTTGTTGGGCTAAACAGTGATGAGTAATGTTCCGAAAGTAATTCTCAGCGGACACGCGTTTCTCGGCTCAACTCCGGTAGCGCCACCGACTCACTCCATGTGCAGGGGTGGGTTTCCTCCTCTCTGATTTTGATTGACAGCTGGCAGTGTAGTCTGATTGGCAACAGAGTAAGGAACAAAGGTGATTGGTGGATCGCTGCAAAGCACATGTAGAGTCACATGCAGTGTATCTCAGTCGGCTACCCTTGAAATTAGATGAGTTCATTCACCTCTGACATCGCAGGCTCTGCGATGTGACTATTGCACACATGTACATCGCGATGACGATGCTCAAACGATATATCGTGCAGGCCTACTGCAAAGGGGGTCAACAGTACCAGTTCCTGATACACTGTGGTTACGAGTCCCTTATATGACGGCAGTAGCTCTCTTGGTGGGCACGGACTCAATCACAAATGCCACTTAAAGGGATATTCTGGCGTAAAATTAAGTTAGAGTCAAACACACCATAATATCAAGTTAGACCCCCCCCCAAGAGATGAATGTACTGACCGCTTGCTTCTCTAGTTACACTAACTTTACTAATGACCTCATGATAGCAATACACAGCGGTCTACGTCTCCATGTGCAAACCTCAACCAAAAAGCCACTCTATAGCCACAAATAATGCTCAGAACAGCACCTAACTTCATCAACAGGACATATAGGGTCCCAGCCGTAGTACTAGCCACCAAACATCTTTTTAGCTTTGCCTGGTTTCTTTAGCAAAGAGACTAAACACAACTCACCCATTCTCCTCCAGCAGCTGCTTGTTAGTGTTGTTTGTGGGGGGAGCCCTGACGAGTCGATCACCAGCAGAGTTTCACAGCTCAAGGAAGAACATTTATGATTATTACTTCATGGAAATGCAATCAGACTGAGACGCCAAGACAGAAGAACTACCGCGTCTGCAGTGCAAAATGATTATTATGATGATTATTATGTGTTTGACCCTAACTTAATTTTACGCCCGAATATCCCTTAACAGAGTGCACACTTGCTTTGACCGCAGTGTTGGGCTGGACTGTCTGAACATGAGTTAAAGTTTAAGGTAGAACATCCATTGATTACTTAACTTCATCCCAGTTCTCCAGCTGGTTTCTCGACAAAGGGCCAAGCTGACCGACATCCCCTCTGGGTAGTACACGTATATTTGATAAGTGATCCCTTAAAACCTCTTTCAATTACCCAGTAGCAGGATTTTTCATTATATGTCCAGGTTTAATTGAAGGTTCAAAAAAGCATATGTCTTGCTTTTCACAAACCACTCGTGTCAAGTGTATAACCTGTCACAGTCCAGTGCAGCTGCTAGTCTGAGTGGTTTTTTTTTTTTGTGGACTTTGTGCCTGTTTTTGAGTACATATTTTCAACACGCAGTTGGTGTAGCTTGGTCATCCAAGATCTGTTTGACAGCAGACATCTTTATTTAACTTAGTGTCACAGATTAAAATAGGACAACCTTCATATCAGCAACATTACTTTTTCTTTTTCCACATCTGGTTGAAAAGAAAATGAGGAATGAAACAATTAATTTGTTATTTTAAGATGCCATGCTAATTACTTTGACAACACCCTTTCAGCCAGATAGAGAGTCAGACCAAATTCCTTTAATATAGTCCTCCCTGGACAAAGTTTTCACCACAACATTCAGTGAAAAATCTCTGCAGTAAAGAGCAGGTGAAAATAAGACACGTTGATAACTTGGATTTCCTCTGTGTGTGCTCTCCTCTTTCAGTGACCAGCAGTGTGGTTTCTCAGCATTGGACTGTGACCACCAGCAGCAGCAAGCCGGCAGCATGAGTCTCTATGGGTCTGGCGCCAGTGGAGGCGCCTCTGGAGGGGCGAGGGACAGAGGTGGAGTAGAACATTATCGGGAACAACGGCGGCGCTCCGGTGACCGCTCACGAGACTCCTCCCATGAGAGAGCAGAGAGTCAGCTGACGCCGTGCATCAGGAATGTCACTTCTCCCACTCGGCAACATGGTGAGGAGGGGAGATAGTCGGAATACCAACACATACTGCACTAGGTTTCACTAGAAGCTGTCATCATTTATGTTCCTCCTCTCTCACACAGACCGAGACCGTGAACGCGGCGATGGAGGCTCGTCCTCGAGATCTTCCAGTCCACGTCCTCCCAGGGTTTCTCTCCCCTATTCCCATGTTGGTGGGGCTCTGATCAGTGGACACATACCTCGGTCCTTGGGTCCTTCTGGAGTAGAACACCATTCCAAGACACTAAGCCATGGACTGTGTGATATGATCTATGTATATGACCTCAGCAGTAAAGAGGGGCATCGCAGTGGACTGAGACTGGGAGAGAGAGTAACACTTATAGTGGACAACACCCGGTTTGTGGTAGACCCTGCCATCTTCACAGCTCAGCCTAATACCATGCTGGGCAGGTAAGGACGTAGAGATAGATTTCATGTTGATTTAAAAAAAAACTTTCAACTTTGAGTTTTGAACAAGTGGTGACACAGACTCTGAATAACAAGGATGCTTCATTTTGACCAACAAATGCAAACAAGTCCATCATTCTCAACGTGGATCATTTCTGTGTCATCAAATTGGGTTGAGCCTCTGGCACAGCATGGGTGTCAGACGAGAACTTTGGCAGCATGCTGAAAAAAAACTACATTTTCTCACATTTTTAATATCAGACATTTGGATCAAGCGTAAAAGACAGTAGGATGAAACATTTGTCAGAAAACACTGTACGTACAGAACAATATCAACCAAGAGCTAGCAGGTCCATGGAGGGAACCAAAACCTATGCAGTGTGATGAGAGTGAGAGATAGATGTCAATCTGTCTGCCTGTGTAGCCCTGCCATGCTTGAGTGTGAATTAGGGTGGTTGGGGGTGCAAACTTCCCTGTAACTTAGATCCAGGCAAAATAACTGAGTATGCACTGTACAAGAATAATAATTAGATCAAGTAGAAGTCCCTAAATGCAAGCAGGACAGGAATACAAGTATGGAAGCCATTGTGACTCCTATCTCAAATTCAAAAGCATTAGCAGAAATGCTTTTTCATTTCAAAGTCATGGCTGCACTATTTGACTCAAAAATAAAAATAAAAAGCAATATTCCAAAATGCGATTTCATTTTCTTCTTCAAGACTGCTAATTTTGTGACGAAATTAAAAAGAAAAACCAAACTCAGAAATGCTTTTTCGTGCTCGCCCCGCAAAAAGTGTCTCATAATTCAATCTAATTCGCAACCCCAAGTCGCGCCGGAAAGTGACGTCACGGACCCCACTCGTTCTGGTCCCTTCTGGCAGATAGGGGGCAGTGAATCCATGTACCATTGAATGAAATTAAAACCGCGGATCTCGGCTATCTGTTTCAGCGGACTAACGGACTTTATACTCCTCATTGTTCTCATCACTGATCGGTGGATTTGGGATATTTTGCAAATAAAGGGTCATAAACAGTGAGAAACAGACAAAATGGTCATAGAGATGCCTTAAAAATACATGGCTCAGAGGCAGAATCACTGCAGTCTCTGTCCGTGTAAACCTGTGACTGTATGCAGATGTCAGCGGTGTGTCAGGTGTGCTGGTCCTTTTACTCACTCACTTAAAGCATGGAGACGTGGACTCTACACATTTTATCTTCAGTGGACTAGAAATATTTTAATTTCAAAGTCATCTGCAGGCTTCTGTTGCACAATGTATTCAAGTATCCCATCTCAATGAATGAGAATATATTTATTCTTATTTGTTGAGGAGCACCTGTACTGTATGCTGTTAGCTTGCTTCTGTGCAGCTCATAGCTAGAACACTGCAGCAGTATGCCTCGATGTTGAATTTTGTGTATGTTGTTGCAAAGTTTATTTCAGGGGTACAGTATCTGAAACGGTAAGGAAATAAAACAGCAGAGGAGATAAGAGTGTGCAACTTTATTGTTCTTGTTCAAATGATCCTTAGTCGGCACCTTGTCAAACTTGGGTGTGCTCCTCTTGTACAAAGCCTACAGGTACAGTAAGAACCTCATCCAACGTTCACCCCTGTATTAGTGTACAGGTTGTCACAGGTTAGCCCACTGAAGATAAAATGTGTAGAGTCCACATCTCCATGCTGTAAGTGAGTGAGTAAAAGGACCAGCACACCTGACACACCGCTGACATCTGCATACAGACACAGGTTTACACGGACAGAGACTGCAGTGATTCTGCCTCTGAGCCATGTATTTTTAAGGCATCTCTATGACCATTTTGTCTGTTTCTCACTGTTTATGACCCTTTATTTGCAAAATATCCCAAATCCACCGATCAGTGATGAGAACAATGAGGAGTTTAAAGTCCGTTAGTCCGCTGAAACAGATAGCCACAATCCGCGGTTTGAATTCACTCAATGATACACGGATTCACTGCCCCTTATCGGCCAGAAGGGACCAGAACGAGTGGGGTCCGTGACGTCACTTTCCGGCGCCACTTGAGGTCATCTTTGCTGTACCACTCTAGATTGAAACAGATCAGTTTAAAAATGAACAGCAGCAACACTAGTCTACTTGAATGTCCTTGGAATCTGTTGCTCAGTTTGTTTGGTTTCCTTTTGTTGTCATAAAAAGGTCAAGTAGAAACTGTTAACTCTTTTTCTCCTGTTTTCTGTCAGGATGTTTGGTTCTGGGAGGGACAACAACTTCACTCGACCCAACGAAAAAGGAGAATTTGAGGTGGCAGATGGCATCAGCTCCACTGTTTTCAGAGCCATTCTGGTGAGAATCCTAACACTTTAGCTCACATCAGCTCTGTCACTGTTTGTTTGGTCTTCCTACCAATAGTTAGCATTTCATTTTATCACAGTACCTCTAATCTTCTTGTTTGAACTTCTCTGTACAATGCTTTTGCTATTTTTTGCTTCTCTCTTTCCACTGTCTTTTTTCTATTGTCTATTTTCTCCCTTTTTCTTATATCTCTTACTTGACCTTTTTTGTTTCTCTGATCTATTTATTCTCCCTCCTCTCACTTGGGCCTTGCGAGTTCAGTTCAGACCTGACTGCATCTCCCAATGTTTTATTTACTCCCACCCATATTCCTCCATTCTTCAGTCATGCACAAAGTATTTCAGAACATCCATCCATTCCGCACTAACTCTTCGTTTCTCTGTTTCTGTTCCTTTCCGGCTATTCACTTAGTTTCTTATTGCTGCCTGTGCTAAGAGAGATATTTAGCTTAGTCTTTTATGAAAGTCCATCTCTTGATCTTAAAGTTCAGCCAAGTAAGACTTTGATAATGTCTGATTGCATAGTGTTTCAGGTCGAGCTGTAACCCCCATGAACAGATATGGTGCTCAGTGCACTTATTCAAAACTAGAATCGACACCTTTTTTTTCCCCCTCCACAATAATCTTTTTCCAAAATCTCCCAAGTTGTTGGAGTTGATGATCAGTCCTTTTCAGGAAGTAAAGGGAAGATGCTGCAAATTTCAGAACATCAGATGTTTAACCCTTGGTTCCTGGCTCCATCCAGCCGACCTTGTTCTCAAAACTGACATGCAGAAAAGTGTGCATAAAAACATAATTTTTTAACATTTTTTCTAACTTTTTTCTTTTACTCAAATCTCTTAAACAACTTCAGCCATTTAAAAAAAATAATGAACTAAAAATTTGATGTATCACCCTTTTTATGCCAGTTACTTGGACGTCGCGTTTTGACTGTAAAACTGCGCTCACAGCATGCCTGGTTATAAACATGGACACAGGAGCACACAGACTTTTCCTTACACATGTATCCCACTCTTAGACATCTATATCTAGTGGCACTTGAAGTTTCATTCAATTCTGATGATGTTTAGTGGATGAAAAAGCGCTTCAAACACTCTCAGTCCATGAACAAAGACTTTTGTGTGAGGTACAGAAGGGGTTAAAATTATGTGCAGCTGTTTTATCACCGTTGGAAATTTCAATTTAGAGCCCTGATGATCAAGTGACTGTAAATTTAAATGTTGCAATAGTTGTTTTGGTGCCAATAACACACGGTCAAAAAATGTGTTTTTAATGGAAGTCTTTAGTCCATTTTCCGGACAAAGTAGGCTGGATGGAGCTAAACTGCGGCGACAGAGTTCTACAGGCAACAAGTGTTTCTATCTATTTATATTTTTTATGAAGAAAAATAAGAGCTCTCACCAAACTTGATGCCCCAATCTTTAAAAATGTGACTGTCAGCTCAAAATTAAGATGAAAAAAATGACAAATGTCCGCCAAACGGACATAATAGGAACTGAGGGTTAATAATTTTACACAGTTCTGAGAGACATTTGAGATCAGCCTGAAATGTTGTTTTTAATTGCCACACTGAAAAGATACTTTGTTTTTTACACCTCTTTATATGCTTCATTCCTGTCAGCAGAGAGAATAATAAGAATCTTTCATCAAAGCTGTAAACACTATTAGTAACCACTTTTTAGTGTCTTTCTGGGCTTTTGATAGATCTAACTTGCCCTGTGTTTCTCTATAGCAAACATGGCCAAGAGATTCCATTCTCACACTGCATAGTCAGCATAGTCAACAGTTGCTGTCATGGCCATCGTCATACTGCTGCTGGATCTGCAGACAGAGCTGCAGATTTAGGGCCAGTGTCAGGGTCTATTGGTAATCTTTGTCTATCATCCTGATGCTGAATGGCCTTCTGGTGATGAATGTCAGCTTTTTAGTTTCTCAGTGACTCAGGTGTAAGTCAGTGCTTTTAAGCCAAGACTTCCTTTTTGTGCTGCGTTTACATCTGTAAAATACAACAGCTGTCATTTCTTGGTCCATTACTTTTCCTGGGATACTGCCCGTTCACCCTGTGTCAAGTACCAAATTTGTTTCTCTGTTCCTTTTTGAAAACAGAGGTTGGATTGTTTGTCTTTGATACATTCCAGGTAGACATCTTGCCAACGATACGCTTTTACAGCGCAGTGTTGAGCAGTCGCGTGTCTCAAGTTTCTATCAGGAGCAGTTTGTCAGCTGCACTCATATGAAGATATCTGTTCACACATATGAGTAAATCCTCATCAAGACTATTGCTGAAGGGAGCTGGAATGTCTCGCCTGCTTTCTCCCTTCACATCACATACACCAATTCTACTCAGACTATGAATGCACTACAAGTGGAAACTGGAACTAGTTCAAAATCCAGATCTATGTGCACAGATTACATGTTTTTTTTAATTCTGCAGAATCTGTAAACAGGGATCAATTGAGGATCAGTGCTTGATGACGGATTGAGTATGTGCTGGCACCATAGACTGCATATAGAATGGACGTTGTCTGCCTCCTCGCTGGGTGAAGTCACCGCGAGAACAGCACCCTCTGGTGACAGGCTGCAGTATAGGTCATAAATCCCACCTCCTCCAGCAATCCCTATGGAGATGTGGACAAACTTTACAAATTAATTACACAGAATATAAAATTTTCTCCCCCCTGGTTGTGATGTTGACATTAGTTACTGTAAGACTGGTTTGTGCTTAAAACCTCTTTTTTCTGTGCAGCTCCATTTTTAAAAGTTATTAGGGGGTTTATGTTTTCTATGATTGACATTTGATACAGCCTATGGGCATGCGTGGCTCACCCGGAGGATACGCTGTTTGAGCCGAGCGCCATCACAGCAACTCTTGGCGACTCTCCTGCCGAACGCGTACAATGCTACTGCACATGATGTGGTTCCAGAAAGTGGAGAAAAAACTACAGAGAGGCTTTTTGGCTTCAAATCTGTATACTGGCAGAAGGTGGAACCAAGTTGACCATAGTATGTACAGTCTCTGGCTGGCACCTCTTCTAAGTTGCCTTGTTTTCTGCATTTTGTATGCTGTATCAGGGTTTCTACCTGTGGTTGTCCCGTGTCAGCCCCTCGCAACAACCTTCAAATTGATCCGTCAGACTGTTGGGTGGATGTTGAAAAGTTCTGCCTGACTTGACAGCTTTTTCTGTCAACATATTACTTTTTTCAAAAATATTTCAGGCAAGTGTAACACACCCTCGGTCTCGCTCAGCTCTAATGGTAGCTAATAATAATAGCTTGGTTGTAGTTGTGGGATAATGGGTTGTGGCGTGGGAATGTCTTGCATTAAACACAACCTTAGGAGACATGAAAGAGGGAGCAGTACAGAAGAGGAGCTGAGTGCTGCTCGGGTTCTGTGTGTGCATGCAGCGTGTCGTGTTTGAGGAGCAGGACTTGTCGAGGGAAACAGAGGCTGTCGTTGTCTCATCTGACAGGAGCTCGCAGACCGCAGGGGGACGGAAAGTGGAGCAGGGAGGGAAAGTGACGTTTTGAGCTTTTGCTTTCATCACCCTGTGCTCCCCACCCCATCCTCTCTGCCTCTTTCTCTCTCGCTCTCTCCTTCTGATATCTGCTGGTTTTACTTTCATCACTGTTCGCTCTCCATCCCTCCCCTTCCTCTTCCACTTCCATCTCTCCCTCCTCTCCCTCTTTCTGTGCTGCCTGTGCTGTGTGAGCAAAGCAGCATCAATAATGGCGTCTTGTTTTTTCTCCTATGCTTGTGTGTGTATGTGAACACCCGCCATTCTGCCTGTGTCTCTGTGTGTGTCTGTGTGTGTGTGCTGCTGAAAATGGCAGGATTACTACAAGTCAGGGATAATCCGCTGCCCTGACGGCGTTTCTATTCCGGAGCTGAGGGAGGCATGTGACTACCTCTGTATCTCCTTCAACTACAGCACCATCAAGTGCAGAGACCTCAGTGAGTACGCAAGACTGCACATTGACTGTGTGAAGTGTGTGGAGCTGCAGGCTGATGTAGTTTCTGGACTTTGGTGAGTGTGGAGCACAGATTTTTTATTTTTGATGAAATCAGAGAGGAACAGAGGGAGAATACACTTTCCCTGTTGTTTTTCAAAACCATTATCTGGGCACTCTGTTGCCTAACAATTAAAAACTACTCCTATGTAATGCGCTGTTTCTAGATCTAGTAGGGACAGTATTGGTAATTCATGCACAGCATTGACTGAAGCTCCACATGATCTTACTATTAGATTCTAAAGTAGTGGACAAACCAGATATCATGACAGTTTTAGTCAAGTAGTTTGACGCACAAAATCATATTTTACGCACCTGTGACATCAAACTGTTCCACAGACATGTCACTGTGTCAGTGATGCACATCAGTATTTGTGAGAGTGGTCGATCTGTGTTATTATTATGCGCCTGCTGCTGCTGCTGCCTCTTGTCTGTGTCTCTGAGTGTGTGGGAGGAGGAGCTTCAGCTCACAGGCTGCTGCTGCTGCTGAGTGTGTGTGTGTGTGTGTGTGTGTGTGTGTGTATGTGTGTTGTGTTCTAAGTAGGTCATGATTAGCTGTGAGATTTACTTGTTACGTGGACAAATAACCAACTCAGATAAGCAGGTCTGTTTTTCAACCTGCGTGATGTACTTTCAGGGTTTTTTTGGTTTGTAGGTTTAATCTGTTTTGGTAAATTCATGATTGTTTTTAATCCCCCGTACCATTAATGGAACCACCGAAGAAGAAGTGCATCTATACTGTGCATTTCCTCCAGTACATTATTCCTGTAGATTTAATTTGACGACATTTAAGCAGCTCCAAAGACTTCATCTGTAGGTTGTGACTGGTGAGGTACCCACTGGGTCTCATTCACTGTGTTTCAGTTGAGAAGGGACCAGTGCAAATCGCTAAATTCAACTGATTCATTCAATATTGCAAATCTTTCAGAAGGGCACTGAGGTTGACCTCATTTCCACTGTTGCCAACATCACACGCACACTTTAGGCAAAAAAAAAACCCAAATGTATTTAGTCAATCACAGAAACTAAAGAATCTATAAAACCTGGTTCTATATCAAACATGGTGGCTTGCAATCAAGGTCTCAAATTTAGCAAGTGTGGGAACAGATCCTATCTTAGGAGCTTGTATTCAATGAGCTCAGGCATCTAAGGAACGAGTCATGTGGGTTTTATAATTCCTGCGTGACAAGTTTGTAAGATGAGAACATGGAGGACCATCACTCTGCAGCATGCCTATCCACAATCCAAAACAGAAAAACACTCTATGACAATTCTTTACCTACAAGACAACTGAAAACTGAGAACACGCCAAATCTCTGCTGCAACTTGAAGCCAAGAGTGTTTTTCTGTGATGTTTCAATGTAAATTCCTCTTCAAGTCACATCCATCCCCTAAGCAGAAGTTTAGGCTTCACAAAGGATTCATTGAGAGCACAATAAATGAGTTCAAAGTTGTTGAAAACACAGAATCTGTGATAACTAAACGTGTGTGTGTGTGTAGACAAGGCAACCACTCAGTGAGTGAAACAATGTCATTAATGTGAAAAGTAACTTAGATTAGAATTAAATTAAATTAGAATTTCTAAAGCAGTTTTTTCTTCTTTTTTTGTGTGCATCAAAATCAGTCTTTGAATTTCAAAACCATTGAATTTCAAGCACACATTTTTATTTCTGACACTAATTTTTTTCACAATGATGAAATAAATTCAGTGGAAAAGAAAAACGGTTTAAAATATTTATTGAGTACCTCGACTTAAAAAAACAGGGTAAAAGAAAATTTGGTGTCAAAAAACTCTGTAAAATAGACCGACTTAACATCTGGGTAACCAGGGAAAAGCAATCGATTCCTGGCTCAATCATCCATCACCCAGCCAATCAAAAATGCTAGATTGGGCATGTGGCACCTACCCAAGTGGAAAATTTAATCCAATCGATTGCCTCTCCCTGGTTACCCAGATAGGGTTGAGTTGGTCTCTTTTACACAAATATTTGCATGCCTGAAATTCGAGGGTTTTGAAATTCAAAGTCTGATTTTGATGCAAAAAAAATCTGCTTTAAAAATTCGATTTTAAAATCAGATGTCACAGATTTACTTCCATAAATTAAAAGTTAAAAATGACATGTTCAGTGGTTGTCAAACAATCTGAAGATGGTGTGAAGTGTGATGCGTACACAAAATTGATGTTCCTTCCTTCATCACATTGTCCTTTGTGTTTATCTAAAATCTGTCCACTTCATTTCGTTTTTCCACGAAACATTTTGAGGCCAGTTTTTCTCTACAGCTGTGATTTTGATCTTTTTACATGCTGACAATCTTCACCTTTCATTCCCTCAGTGCATTTATGCTTCTGGTTAATCAGCAAATGGCCATCAGCCAACGTGTGAATCAGACACATGCGTGAGATACAATATGGCCCTGAGCCCATGAGAGCATTTAGTTGTCAGTAACACTTGCGTGACCTGTTTTTGCTTTCTCGTGATTATTTCATTTCATTTTTTCATTATTGTCCTTCAAAACATTTTATACAATTCTGTGACATTTATTTGTTTTTTGAAGATTTTATTGTGTTTTTTTAAATATAATTATCAGGTATCAGGTTTTTAATAAGAATCAAAGGATTTTTTCTAACATATAACAAATGTGTCAACCTAATGATGTTTGCCTAACTCCTCCCAGCACTTGAAATAGTCAGTAACCCAGCACAGTGTCCTACATCTTAACCCTCCTCCTCCTTCTCCTCCTCCTCCTCCTCTTCCTCACAGATGTCCCTTTGATTTCCACACAGGTGCCCTGATGCACGAACTGTCCAACGACGGAGCCCGACGTCAGTTTGAGTGTTATCTGGAGGAGATGGTGCTGCCGCTGATGGTGGCCAGCGCTCAGAGTGGAGAGAGAGAGTGCCATGTGGTGGTGCTGACTGATGACGACGTGGTGGACTGGGACGAAGAGTACCCTCCACAGATGGGAGAAGAATACTCTCAGAGTAAGTTATTTTTATTCTAAATGTGTGAACGGACAACAGTTAGGGCTAAAACCCACAGGATCCATAACGGCTGCGCTCCGATCTGGAATGGCAGGTGGATCAAATACGCAAGCATTATAATCAATGTGTGTGATTCCACACAGTCCATCCGCTGTTCGGCTCTGCTGCAGATTGGTTCCGGCAGCTGGATCAGATACGCAAGGCTTCTATTTTTGCTGGACACCGCAGTATGGAGCATTAAGTCAGTGCAGCGCAGCACGAGCAGCAGCGGAGGTTGTATGTGGCTACAAAGTAAAATATCTGGTTGATTTTCAAAATAAAAGAAAGTCAATACTGTTCTCTCGGTAATAGGAGAGGCCAGGGTTGTGGGATGTGGGTGTTTATACACACCGATCAGTGGGTCTCATTAAATGTCTCACAGGAAACATGGGCGCTATATGCTCGCGTATTTGATCCGCCCACTGGTCCTGAGCGGAGCGGAATGGAGCCGTTCTGGATCCTGTAGTAACCCTGGGTTACACCCAGCCAGCCAGGTCCTCTGCTTTAGTGGCATTATGTCAGCCTTTTGGGAGGAGTCAGGTGTTGGTGCCTCAACCTCAACCAAAGAATGAGACATGGTTACAAGTTAGAAAGAGTTGTGTATTTTTTCTCTTGACAATATGAAAACTTTTGAAGGCCATCTTGTTGATTGGTCTACTAAATGTCCTTCTCTTTCTCAACAGTCATCTACAGCACCAAACTGTACCGCTTCTTCAAGTACATCGAGAACAGAGACGTGGCCAAGTCTGTGCTGAAGGACAGAGGACTGAAAAAGATCCGCCTGGGCATAGAAGGTACCGAGCTTCTTCAACATTGAAATCAGAGTCCTGCCTGTATCAACAGCTCTTATCTTTTGTTGTATGTTTTTTTTTTTTTTTTTTTAAGGTGAATCTGACCTCTGGTCCTTGTTTAAAAAAATCAATTTCACGTCATAAGAATTTGCACCAACTTGGGAGCATTGTCAACAAAAAAAATTTAAATTTTTATAGATTTTTACCTCCATTTTTTTTGTCCTTTTTTTTTTTTTTTTTTTTTTACAGCAGATGAAGTGAAGTAAACATCATTTGGGTTAGGGTGTTCTAAGTTTAAGTACTAAAGAACAGAAAAACAAACAGTAATTATCTTTCGTCATGGAGGCTATTTCACTGGCTATAAAGAAATGCTGATGACTTGGCGTCTGGAGTGTGCCAACTGAACACACTGGAGATGATGTCATCATTTCCATCTAACTGCTGTAGTGGCTGAACCAGAGTTTTCACACGACCCAAAAAAGCTTTTAAAACTGTGGGTTTGGATATCATGTTCTTGACAAAACGTCAAGTACTGAAAGTTTTTGCTGATTTACCAACAGTTGTGTCCCGGCCTCGTGGAAGCTAACCCCAATATATATATGGGAAAATCATTTATATGAAATATTATGTGTCATTAAATGAGCATCTGAAATGCTAGACACTGGACATGATATCGATCTTCTTATTTAGCCAGATCAAGAGCAAAAACCATGGACATTTCCAAATGTTTAGATATTTATACAATGCATCTCAAAATTTCTGTAGTTATAATCTCTTCATCTGGTCAAGTATTATTTGATTTTCCCAGGCTACCCGACCTATAAAGAAAAGGTGAAGCGGCGTCCAGGGGGGCGTCCTGAGGTCATCTACAACTATGTCCAGCGCCCTTTCATCCGCATGTCCTGGGAAAAGGAGGAAGGAAAGAGCCGCCATGTGGACTTCCAGTGTGTCAAGTCCAAGTCCATCACCAACCTGGCTGCAGCTGCTGCAGACATCCCCCAGGACCAGCTGGTGGTCATGCATCCTCCAGGGCCACAGGTGGATGAGCTGGACAATCTGTCCCAGCCCACACACAGCGTCAACGACCCCCACCAGCTGGCGTATGGGCAGGCAGCAGAGAACAGTGCGGGCCCCCAGTTAGCTCTGGGCTATGAAGGCCCTGGTCAGCAGGCTCAGGACAGTCAGAGCCAGGCTGCCCGCGGCCAGCAGCAGCTTGGCAGCAGCCACACTCAGGCCACCTACCACTATGAGCCAGACCCAGACACACCATCACCCTCTGCATGAGACTGGCTTCACACTGACCCCTCCCCCCTCTGCTGTGTTCACACAGAGTAACAGGTGATTTTGTTTCCATCACAACACAAGGAAAGCCAACAAATAAAAAACAAATAAACATAACAAAAAAAATCCCTCTGACATGATTGTCCTTTCAACCAAACACCAAACTGTGACACCGCTGCTAGCGATGCCAAGAAGCACAGGAACCTGATTGGCCTTCACCAGCCAATAAGCACACCAAGTTCAACTTTAACAGCTAGAATTCAAGAATCTCATATCACATGTTGCTTTCAGTGTGAATGCAGATTAGATTTCCCCCAGCTCCTGCTCTTCAGTGGCAAAACACCACTTTGCCTTCTGTTGCACCACTGCTGCAGCCTCTCTCAGTCAACACGGTCTGAAGGAGCGCCAACAGGTCGGCAGCCAAGGACGCATGAAGCACATCTGCAGGCCTCCACCCACACCTCCCTCCACCTTTTGTATGAATCTGACCAAAGGAGACTCCAGTTAAACTCTCTATGTGAAAAGACAGAGTGATGTGTACATATAAGGAAGTGTATGTATGTGTGCGTGTGCGCTCCTTATGCTGTACCTCACTTGAAAAGTGGATTTCAGTGCCTCTGTCTGTCTTTTCTGGGGCTAGATTGGAGGTTTTCAGTGGGAATCCAACTTTTCCAGCCAATGTTAAGTTCTTGATAGAAGGGTTTTTGTTTTTTTACTCCACACTTCTTTTAAAGGTCCTGTGAGGAGTTTTTGATAGGTAATAAAACAGACTGAAATGACCAGTGATGCATCTCTGCGATGAAGAAAATCAAATGAGACCGTTAAAGACAGGATTGAAGATTTGTTAAGTGTAACTTTCAATGCCTGTAGCTTCTGTGAGGGGGTAAGCCAGGCTGGAGAGACAGCTTTTGCTACCTTTCTTTAGCAAATATGAACAGTCAAGGCAAGGCAAAATCAGCAACAATACAAAGGTCAACACTTGGTCCGCAGGGGGCGCCAAAATCAATAGAGAAAGTTCCCCACAGGAGCTTTAAGAACAAAGTTCCACTCCTTTTTGTTTTTTTAGCCACTTTATTTGGGCCCTGGTTTACATTGAGAGTTGATGCTTGTACTTGTTTGCCTGTTGCTGACCCACAAGGAAAAACTCTGCACAGTCATCATCACCATTGCTGTGAGCACACAGGGTGACAGATGTCAGATTATATGTTCAACACAAAGTTTTTTTTGTTTTTTAAATTAAACGACTTTCACAACACTTGTCTTCAAAGACTGACTTCCTTATTTGATTAAATAACGAGGGTTGAATACTTTCTTGTAGCGGTTGAGGAACCCTGGAGTTTAAAAATAAACAAATAAACACAATCAAACACAATCCTTTTGATCAAAAATACAGCCGACACGAGCCTGGAACGGACCTGATCATGTGCAGGAAAGAGGATTTTATGAGTGATAGATCATTTGGGTTCAGATGATGTCGACAATGATCTGATCTAAGTGAATCCATTTATCTCTGGCTTTAAATCCAGATCATTTTGACTCAGGCTGCTGCAGCATCACCTGAGCTGTCAGTACATCATGGCAGAAGACAGGACTGTCAGTCAAAAATGGGTCAGCATCAAACAAAACTATGAGTGGATCCATGCATGCAGAAAGGGGGGCTACCCTTAGTCTTGGACAGGAAATATAAGAAAAACTTAAATCCGGTGTTTTGAAGTAGACCTCACCGATGAGACAGAACTGGAGGATGAAATTGTTAGGGTGTAAACTCTGGAGCTAGGATGGGAGGTTTTCTGATGGTTTGGCACCAGATGGAAGGAATGTTCAATAGCTTGTGATGACCTGACTCAGGGAAGGAATGGAGATGAGAAATCAAATATGCATGAGCTGCCTCCACAGTGACTATGATTATTTAATGCATTAGTTCAAAGTAGAAGCTCATGCTTTACAGAACTTTTTTAGGCCACAGAATCAAAGCATACAGGGTTTCAAAGAGGCTAAACCAGCAGAAGTGTTCTCCTTCATAAAAAAGTTGTCTGAACCTTTAAGCATCTGCACACCTTAATGTACATCGCAGAATCACATCAGTCCTGAATCCATACTCACCTGCCTGGTGAAGAAAGAAACAGGTTGAAGCTGGGCCGACTGTTCCTTCAGCCTTTCTTTCTGTGTGTGTGAGTGTGCAGACCCTTCCATCAGCTGGATGGCAACATTATTTAAAAATACCACCAGGCTGCAGTGATTGGTTGCGAGAACAGATCAGGTGTAAGCTAGAGTCATGAGTAAACCCACTGAAGAAAATATCCCATGAAACAGATCTATCGAAGGGACAAACAAGGACACAACGAAGCAGCACAATGCTTTGACAGAAACAAATAATTTTATTTTAAAAATATTTCACTGCTGATACATACAATACACTCATCATACTCATATATATTTGCATAAAGTATACTCTTAACATGATAATATTTAAAGATTTGATACATTATTGTCAGGTGGGGAGGGGTATATCAACAGGGGTACACTTTATTGTAGTGTGAAGCGTTAAAACATTGAAACAGAAAACCACTAAAACTGAGACAGAGGACACCTCACCAGCTGCTGCCTGATTTGAGGAGGACAGAAAAGTGCTGAGTATGAGCTTGGCTAGTTTTGTTATGTCAACAACCCTGATTCAATCCAATTGTGTACACTGACAGAGCTGCATCCCCAATCCGACGCCTAACATTTGGAGATGAATATTTTACAGAGATTTAAAAAAAAAAAACTTTCTGCCCATATGGAAAGAAAATGTGTACACAGTTTTTGTCTTCTCTAAATAAACATTAGATACAGGCCATCAAGATCCGGATGTTTTTTTATTTTAACATATACTGTCTAAAAAGAAGAAGAAAAAAAACAATTTAACAAGTTTCCCAGGTTGCCAATCAGACCTGATCCAATCAATTCTACTGCTTTACTAAAACATAAAAAAACTATGCGTTAATTTTGTCAAACATAAAAATCTCAAATGTTTCTAACAGGTACTGCAGATTTGACTGATTTTTGACATGGGAGCTAGAAAGCTGTGAGCTATGATGAAACACCTCGATGCTGGCATTGACCCTGACATTTCTTATCATATATCAGAACATTGGGATTGTATCAGACTAATCCCTCATGACATTTCTGTGAGAAAAAAAAATCAAGGAGAACACGCTGACCTACTTTTAACCAGCTAGGATAAAAGCAGAAGTTGTCTCAAACTGACCCAAACTTTTAAACTTCACAATTAAATTTGAGAAAATCACAATATTTCTGTCTTTTACTTTACAAACAGGCTGGGAGTCTATGTCTTTTTGGTTGAAACTGATCCTGACACTTCGATCAGTCTGGAAGGCTGTGGAAATACATTCAGAACAACCATGAGTGTGGTTTCACCAGGTTCTTGAGAGCGTTTTTGAGAACTTTTAAAATTAGCTTATATAGAGAGAAACAAGTGTGTTTCATTAGACTCCTCATGTTAAATGAACTAACAAACATATTTCAGGACCTCCTTTAGTGATTACCAAAGGTTGGTCAATTGGAAGAGATATTTATAAATGTATAGCCCTCTTAACATTTTCCCTTCTTTTTCTATATTTTTAGATATTATACAAACATGATCTGTTATACAGTTTATACATATATATATACAAACATATATGTATATGCATACATATACGTATACACATATATCTTGTCTATATATATATATTTTTTTTTTTCACACACAATATAGACATTTTAAATGTTCTTTTCATTGGATAAATTATTTTTACACAAGAATTCCCAGAAATTAAATGAATAGTCAATGAATGTTCCTTCCATACAGGCAGCAGGACTTCTTTAATCGCTCTGACAACACTCAAAAGTTGGTGCGAGGCAGACAGCTGGTGAGGTGAAGAGGTTGTGTTGAGGAGAATTATAATCAAGGAGGAAAAATCGGACATTGAAATGAAAGATTCCATTCATAGCTCCCGGCTGTCCCTCCTGACCCTGTTTACTGTCACATGACATGATAAGAGAAAGTCAACCAGCTCTGTGTCCTGGTCTGCTTGATCACTGTTGCCTATGACATGTATCTGTTTCTATACTCACCCCCTACATAAAAGCCCTCTCTGGTAGTTTGTTTGGACTGTTAGGTGAACAGCTGTTTATAATCAAGTGCTAAACAGACCAAATTGAAGAGAAACTGTAGGTTCAGTTTTAGAAATAAACAACTCTTCATGATATTTTCTTTTCTTAGACTTCATAGAACCCCTTAGTTTCTAAAGGGCTTTCTTTCCGCCTTATTAAATCCAAGCCCAGGTTCTAATGTTAGGTCCATTTTTAAGTATTCATATCACAAAGGCAAAAAAAAAAAAGCTTTCTCAGGACATGTGCTGACCCGGAGTCAGCCTCCCTATTGAGTGACTAGGGTTTGTGGACCAACAGTCCAACTGCATTCTAAGTGCTTCATGTAGCGATTGGCATCAAGGGAAGATGAGCAGGTAGAGACCCTGTGACCCGGACTACCAGGTCTTGTCTTTTAGCCGGCTGATGCTAATTTACCTGCGGACTGTGTTAACTCGTAGAAAGCCCTGTGCAGACCGCAGTTTATTGGCAGTGAGGAACTTGATTTGTCTTTGTTTGAAGTTGAAGAGCTCTCTATAGAGATCGGCATACGTCTACAGAGAGACACTAAGCACACCGTTACAGCCACAAGCACACACCTGCACACTGAGCTACTGCTCCCACCAGATTCAATTAGCCTCCTTTTCCCAATTCAAGTCTGATTCTTGGTTGTTTCAAATGACAGGGTTTCTCTCCACCTCTGCTGAGTGCTAGATAACAGTGCGTAACACACTGGAGAACAAAGCAGTAGAGGTCTTTACTGTTCCAGATGTTTCATATCACTGAAATCATAGTCAGTGTAATGGTGTTGGATGTGCTGCCTTCAGAGGATCTGAGCAGGCTGACTTTCAGACGTGTTCTGACTTCTGAGGGAATTTAACAATCATGGATCTGTAGAGCTTGGAGTTTGCATTTACCCATCCGTCCTTCTGGGGGCTGTAGGCTGTTGCTGCATGAAAAGAATATCTGTATGAAAGCCCCGCTCATCATATCTGCAGCCTTATGAGTGGCAGTTTAAGCTCACAGGTTTCAGAAATCATATTAAAGGACATTTTCACTGAACTTTAGATTCATGGACCATGGCGTTGGCGTCGTATTCAAGATTTTTCTGAAGTGTTCATGTAGGAACAGCTTCAAATGTTCCTCTGTCATAGTGTCCTTCCACCTCATGCATTACTTGCACATAAATTCCATCTGAAGGCAGCACCTCACAGAGCTGAGACCAAAAGAGTTGACCAGTTCCATTTGAATCATACAGCAAAGATACTGTGTGAAGTGTCACGTTCAGTGAAATAATGGTACACTTGTTTTTATGATGTGCTTCCACAGAGCCGCTCACTGTTATTATGGCCACACTACTTTGTAAAAACAAAAAACACTTTTGACAGATTTGTTGCTTTTTTTTCCTCCCAGTAATTTCACTCATTTTAAAACGTGAGCTTCATGTTTTGAAGGAAATCAAATAACCAAAGTGTTCTGAACTGACATGAAACTTGACAATAATTAGGATTGGGAACTTTTTTTTGTCTCAGTGCTGTTTGAAAATCCAAACTTGGTTTGACTTTTTCTTGTCGAAAACTCCTTTCATTTCCTACACCAAGAGTGTGCGTCATCAGCAAGAAATAAAAAATAAATAAAATAGAGTAAAAATTGTGTTTTTTGTGTTCAAATCCGGTTTTGGATTCGTACAATTCTATGAATTATTCACTATCACGCATCACAATTTGAACATTTTCTTGATAAACTGTAATATGGATTGCTTGACTCCTGCAGAAACTCTGGACTTGGACTTGTGAAGATCTTTACTCAAGGGTCATATGAGTCACTGGCTGCAACACTGAGAGCTTTATGGGTATTATTTTTCTGAACAGCTTTAGGCATCACAACTTACAGAATATACTTCAGGCGATTTGACGGAGAGTTCGGCTTGAAAACTGTGTATCACACTCAGGAAAAATACAGACTCATCGCTATTCTTCTGGGAAAATATTTTCTGAGGACGAGCTTTAGAGTGAGTTAGAGAAAGTTTTGAACGTGTATGTTAGTCGATAAAACAGCAGCTAGGTGGCTTTTTGCACAAGAGATTTTCTATTATTTGAAGGTACTGAACTTCAGGTTTTTTTGGAATTGTGTGGCTTGGGAAGTAAGAACTGGTAAGAACCTTACAAGCAGATCTGCAGAGGATAACTGCTGTGTGCTCCTTCCTCCTGTTGAAGATCAGCTGGGGAGAACAGCTGATTCTGAGGAGTGCTCCACAACCGTGTTAGTACTACGGCATTGGCTTCCTATGATGAGACTTGTCTCAAGTTCGAGATGTTAAGAGGTTTGTGGCGGGGGGGGGGGGCAGAAATCACTCCACTCATCAGCCTTCAACCCCGTCTGTGAAAGTCTCTGGAGTCTTGCGTTGGTTTTGTGGGTTGGCTGTTGACCTGGCGATGAATGGGCCCAGAGCCACTGTTAGACAGGGTTCAATTCATCAGCAGGCACATTAGCACCCTGATCCTTGAACTCGCTGGACTATTATTAAAAGTAATGGTCAGTCAGCGTGGCAATGTTAGGGAACATCTTGTCTGCATGCAACTGACACTGCAAAAGAAAAGGTCATCACCTCTGGTGAAGTACTGCTGTTTACCTGGATGACATTTGGGGTCACTTGTCCACCCACAGGGAATGATGAATCAAAAAGCTGGGGTGAATTCCTATCAGCAGGATGAGTCACCAGAACTGAGATCACCAACACCCTTCTTCTGTGGTTCTTATCAGCTATTTCAATTGGACAACTCTTTTGTTGAGGGGGGGGGGGGGGGGGGGATTTTGCAGTGTAGTTGTGTGCAAAGAGCAAGAAACAGCCAGATCCAACCTGACTGAGATATCTGTCCATCAGTGGCTCTGGTGCTCAGAGGCAGTCCTCCTCTGCTTCTTCCCTTCCAGCTTTCTCACAAAGGCCAGGGCAGGTCGCTGAAGTCCACGGGGCCACCCAAGCCAGCGTCGGCCTCCAGCAGGGACATGATGACCGCCATGGCTGCCTCATCATTACTGGGGCTGCTGGAACCAGGCTCATCCATGATGTCTATGCTCAGGTGGGAGTTATCACCTGGACAGAGTTGTGAGGAGAAAAAGGTTTGAAGATAGAAAAGTGCTCATGTTGACTCTAAGTTGTGAATGAGTGTGTGTGCTCTTTGTGTGTTTGTTTGTGTCTGACTCACTCATGATGGACTGGTTGGAGTAGGGGTAGCCTACAGAATCTGGTCCGGGAATGATCCCAGTACTGGGCAGCTCAGGTGTCCCTCCATTCTGAATCTGTGACATGACACACATAAACACAGCTCTCAGTTTACAGTGAACACAGATCAGTTTCTACTTAGAACTTGTTTCAATAAACATATAGGAGGAACACCTCACAGTGTTCGGTGTAAACACATCTCATTTGTCTCTGCCTTTGACTAAACTGGTCCTCGTGTCATCTGGTAGTTTTCAAAAAACTGAACATAGAGGCAGAAACTGCTTAGAATATTAAAAAAAAACCATAACAATTGACTTAAAATGCAGGATGAGACATCAGGTTGTTCAAGGGTTGCCTATTCACCGCCAAAGCCACTTCCTAAAGTTTTAGCTTGTTGCCTGGCAACATCACAGTGAGGACAAGACTCAAGGCTGTCTAAGCACCAGGTCATAAAAATAGTCCAGCACCAAACTCTTAGAAGACATGTTCCTTAATCTCTTTGGCTGTTTATAGAGATGAACTGAAGAAGCTATAGCTTGCTGAGTGAGAGGATCTTGTAGGTGTGTCTTAGTGCTTTTAAACAGAGCGAGGCAGCTCCATCCAGTCTTTTTTTCCACTCTCATTGTTACACTTGACTAAAGAGCTGATGGTTGTACTGACATGTTGCTTATGATACAAGTTTGGTGTGACAAGTCGTCATACCAAACAACTGACAGCACACTGAAGAAACAGCCCTTCTCAAATATTGGGGCACTAATATGATGCTGTTCCACGGTGCAATGTGTAAGTATAAAGGCACTGTAAAGGGGAACCTCTACAGTTAACAGAGGGAGACTAACGATAACATGAAACTACTAAAACTTCAGCCAGATAGAAGGAATTCAGATTGAATGAGTATTGAAGGTAACCCTATGAGGATGAAGGAGTGTGTGTGTGTGTGCACGCATTTTACCTTCTTGCCGCCTGGAGAGCAGGTGTCAGGTGGTGGGGTGCTGGTGATGTTCAGAGGACTGGAGCCACAGCTGGAGGGAGAGGATCCTCGAATCCTGACAAAGAGAGATGAAGGCTTGTCATGACTCAGGAATACATGCGTCCTCAGTCAGTAGCTATAAGTTACTCTTTCATACTGGCTTGGAAAGAGGTTTTAAAAAAAAAAATTTCTGATCCCTTTAATTAATTCATGTACAGAAATTTCTTAGTGTTGCCATGACGATGAGTAGATATTCAATTGCTCTGTGAAGACAATTGGTGTAATTTTGGCACTACAGCAGCAGTCTGAGTCAGTGTTTGCCTGAAGGCTTCAAAACTGAGCCAGAGAGCCTGCCATGGAAACACACTGTCCTTTCATAAACTGTCAACTGCTCATGGGTTTTTTTTTTTTTTCATTTCATTGTCTCATAAAATGATTTAACACAGAAATTCTGAAATGGTAAAAATGTCGAGCCCAGTCCAGTCTAGGATAATTTTTGGGATATAGATACATGGACTTAATCTCAACCAACCTCTGGATTTCCATCACTTCCTCTGCGATCATGCGTCCAATCTTGCCAGCCCCTGCTCTTGTTCCACCAGGGATGCCAGGCACTGTCTGCAGTGCTCGCCTTCCTCCACCTGCCAATCACAACAAAATAAGAACAGGGATCTTGTCAGCTTTTGTCTTAGATAAGCATTATTTAAAAGGAGCAGTGTGCCTACTCACCCTCTGAAGTGAGAACACTGTCCATGCTTTGTGGTGAGGCAGCAGATTGAGGATAATCTGATCCGTCTATCATCGGACACCTGGAGATGAAAACACACACATGTGAAATGCTCTGGCCTTTCAAATCTGAGTGTCATCAGTGTTTCAAGGGTGATGGTCCACAGCAACTTACGACACAACGGTGTTAGTGGAGACGATGTACTCCACCTCCTTGGTCCAGGGGTTCATGAAGCTGAACCATCGACTCCTCAGTGTGATGAAGGAGCCATCTTTGATTTTAAACTTGTAACAGTTGGTGTTAATCTTCTCTCTCATCTGCAGCACTGTGGACCGACACATCAACACAGTGTGTGAAAACACGTACTCATTCACTACTCTTTTGTTGAGTTTAGTCACCACTAACAGTACAACCATAAAAGTAAACAGCTGGGACACACTGTGCTCAATGATTGTGTTCAAATCATCAGTGTTCAAATTTAAACCCTAAAACTAACTGAAGTTAAAGAAAAGAAAACACATGAAATGATAAACAGATTTATGGTGTTTTATGACCAATATATGCTCATTTCAAATTTGATGCCAGTCAACTTTTATGAACAATTAGGATAGAGATGACATAACACTGAAAAAGTTGTATAATGCTAAAAAACACCTGTAAGAACAATTAAGTCTATCTGCCACAGGTTACAAACAGCAGTGGGCGGCAGTAGCTCAGGAGGTCAAGTGGTTGGCCAATAACCGAAAGATTGGCGGGTCGAATCCTGCCCTATCCCTAGTCTGTCCATTGTGTCCTTGGGCAAGACACTTAACCCACCTTTCTCCCACTCTGTGTGCTCCACTGGTGTATGATAGTGAGTGTTATGTGGTGGTGGTCAGAGTGGCCATAGGCGCAAACTGGCAGCCACGTTTCCGTCAGTCTGCCCCAGTGCAGCGGTGAGGTAGTTTACCACCACCAAGGTGTGACTGTGTGAGTGAATGAATGATGTATCCAAAATAAAGCACTCTGAGGTCACTGACGAAAAGTGCTATAAAATCTGATGCATTATTATTTAACACGAATGGGCCTCTGCCCTGTAGCGTCAAATTTTTAAAAGTTGGGGAAATCTCTGTATAAAATAGGTCATGGCTATTATTATTTTTATCATAATGATTATTTATAAATTATGGACATCACCACCTAGCCTGTCATCAGTGCATAGATCAAAAGCCAGCATCAGTGGTGGTATGTGGATGCATAAACGCTCATGGCCTGTTTAATATACACATCTGGAATGGCACCAATAGTGCCAAAAAATATATGCAATGTACGGTATGCTGCCATCCACACCAGATCGAGATTTTAGACCTTAACTGAATAAAGGCTTTATCAGGGAAGACCTTGTGTATTTCTAGCTAGACTATGGTAAAGACTCCTGGTTCTTAACTGACCTGTCTGCAGTCCTGATTTCTAACCTATTCAAAACATTTCATCATCAAAAACAAACAAAAAAAAACTAAACAAAAAAGGAGACCCCAAACTGTTGAGCAGCTAAAATTTTGTATTGGACAAGAATGGAACAGCATTTTACCTCCCCAACTCCAGAACCCCACCACCCCCCCACCTCGGTTCCCCCAGGTGTTCACAAGGTGTTTTTAAAAAATGAGCTGATGCAACACGACGGCAAACATTCCCATCCAGACAAATTTGAAATCTCTAGCTGACAGTGAATAATCAGCAATTTTTTTTCATAGAGCAATATCATTTTCAAAATTAAAGCTGTATATGTTGTCCCAGCATTATTTTTAAAAATAAGATTTACAACATTTTTCAAAACATCCCATTTTTGATTTGGTGTGGTAGTATTGTGTGTCCATCTGTCAGCAAGTACCTTGTCTGTGGCACTCTGCCAGGTGGCCGATGTCGTCCTGGTGGAAATACTCATAGAAGGAGGTTCCCAGCAGCTCCTGGGGCAGGTAGGCGAGAATGGCTGTAGCTCTGGAAGAACACAGAGACAGACAAAGCAAAGTCGTCAAAGCTGCTGGACACTGGATCCACACAAAAAAATAGGTCCTCCATCCACTGATCTGCTTGATCAGTGGAGCTTGATCACCATGCTTAAAGTACTTTTGAAGTATAAAGGAAACGTTGAAAGGGCTCAGGATAAATAGCCTGGAATACTTCACAGGGAAACCAGCAACAAAATTTCAGGGTGCATAGGTAGAAGTTCTTTGTCAACCCTAGGATCCAGGACATGCAGGTATGTCCAAATGATTCTCCCATGAAGCTAAGATCATTCATATTCTGGAAATAGGTGCAAATAGAAATGAAATGTGATGGAAAACTGAGCAAAAATAAGCTATTCTAGCCATTTTTCATATAAATATGGGATAACATACAAATGAAAAAACTCAAAAAAAGCATTTTGCACTATGAGGAAGTAATATTTTACACAAGCAGGCAAGTGGGGCTGACTCCAGATGAGGTCAGGACTGTATAATGTGCCAAATACAGCGATTTTCCACCTAACGTACCACACAATTTGACTGATTACTCAAAAAGTTATGGAATGCCCATCCTGAAACTGATAGTCTTTAGTGTGAATATGAAGAAAATTGAAGGAAGGGCGTTTTTTGCTATTTCCAATTTAAGTTTTTGGTCTTTTATAATTTTTTTCTGGTCGAATTTGGGAAAAAATGTTATGAACAAAAAGATATAACTTGAAGAGAGCTTTGAAATGACACCTGAATCAGCTCTCTAGGTGCCATACTTCCAGAGATATGAACACTTTTGTAACGCATGTCATGCTAATTACCCAAAAATTCGTAAGCTTATTAGATGGCTTTGAACAAAAATATTTGAGCTCTGACAGTTTCTCCTGAAGGCCAATCACTCCACCAAATTTCATCAAAATCTGTGAAGTGAGTGGAGATTCTTGGTTGAATTGACGTGGAATGACCCACTTGTGTTTTTTTTTCTCCACAGCCAGTTCACCTCAGAGAACCTTCTTATTTTCTGCCTTGTATTTAAGTGCTTACGTACACTACAAAGCCAGATCCACTTATGTCAACTCCTGCAGAGATCACTGTGGTCTTTTCTCTTCTGTACTTTATAGTGTTTTGCCCAGAGAACATGTTTACCACACAAATATACACTGCAATTTGGAAATGAAGAACGGAGATACGTCTAGCTGTCTCGGACTTTGAATGTGTTGGGTCTGTATATTGCTTATTATAAGAACAAAAAATCAAAGTTCAGTAGGTCAAAGCTGCTACCCGGTTCCATGCCTGCTCCTCTAGTTTAAGACTCACCTCTGGTCCACGAAGACAAATTTGCCGTCTATGGCGTGCCGGGAGACGTACTCTGTCGGCTTCACCCTGATGTCTGCCAGGCTGGGTTGGGGAACGATGTGTGGATGCAGGCGGCCAATGGCTACCAGGCAGCTCAGGTTGCAGCCTTCGTTATCAGGCTCATTGTCCTCATCAAGACCCATCTTTGTGGGCGGCCAGCTCTTTAGGTAGCCGGTGCTGTGAATGGTGCAGAAGCTCTTACGGTCTGCTGTAAAGACAAAAGGAAAGGAGTGAGTGAGAGGGATCTGTCAGGGCTTATATTGAAGGCTGACTGGAGGCATCTTAGTGGGGTGCTGCTCCCATGCTGTGTGGATAATGGGAAATTTTCACAGCTCAGTACACTGAATCATACAGGTTTCTGCTTCATCATTAGAAAACCAACTATGACTGACCAATAACCAGAGATGGGAGTTGTGAAGTCACCAAGTCATCTCCGTGCCATGTACTTGTTCTGCTCTGTCACTGAACCAGCTTCTTCCAATTAACAGCCAGGAAGGTGAGCTCATTAGTGAAGGCACCTGGTTCATCAACTGAGCAGAACAAATACATGGCATGGAGATGACTTGGTGACTCCACAATTCCCATCTCTGCCAATAACTTTTCTGTTATGCCCAAGGATTTTTGATGTGACTTATTAAATGTGATCACACGTGAAAAACGTTGAAGTGTTAAACTTCAATGTTTGTTGCACATATATCCTGAGAATTTCCCAGTGACTTTAAAAAAACGTTAACTGATTCATTTCTGTCTGTTGCAAGCTAAACGTGTGATTGCTTTAAAATGGAAGGAGATCCAGGGAGGACCTTCCGCGGGCCAATGGATCACAGAGCTGTCATCTAATTTGGTACTGGAAACACTGACACACATGGCAAGAGGAAAAGTTGAGGACTTTAACAGAATGTGGTTGTCTTTCCGAACCTTCATGAATAGCCTGAATGTGCAACCTAGAACTGGACAAGATCTGTTGGCACCACCTTTAGAACCTTAAAATGGCTCAATGGTGTTTCCATGGCTGGAGTATTAGTACCGTGAAGTAGAAATAAAGATAAAGAGGACGACCGAATTATGGACCTATGTTGTACTGGATACATGTTTCTGTGAATATTGATGTTCACTGAAATGTATGCAGGCTAAATATGTAATGCACATTTTAACATTATTCTCAAAACTTCATTTACCCTAGATCTTATTGTGGGTGGGATAAGGGTGGGTTAGAAGGGTTTCTGTTTCCGTTTTTGTTTGTTATATTATTGTTATGTGTATGAATGTATGTTCATTAAAATGGAAAATCAATTAAGAAATTGTGAAAAAAGTGTTAAACTTCAAATAAACTGTGAATTTATTTAAATTCAAATATGACCAAAAGATATATCATGTGACACCTTTGACATTTCTTATATTTAACAAATTACTAAAAAACTGCTCTAAGTGCCCGCAGTTAGATTAGCACACAAAGGGATTCAGGTTATTTCACATGCACAAGCAACCTTTTAAGCTACTATCACTAATCTATCACAGAGAGTGACGACATTCAGCACCAACTCTCAGGTGTCTGCATCACACAACAACAGTGACTCTGCTGGGTCAGTGTTAGTGTCCAAATGGCAGCGTAACTATGATCCTTGTGCGTCTGACTTTCCTGACTCGACCCTTTAAAAGAAATATTCTGGGTGCTACCACCAATTATTAGTCTTTCCTTTACGACACTTCTTGCTCTTTTAGTAGCCAGGACAACCACACTGAAGTCAGACTCCACACTAAATGATCACATCAAGATATCACCACTGGCCTTGGAGAGGTTTAAAAAAAACGACAGTTTTTGTCCCCATTGTGAGAGACAATGTACAAGATCAGGGGGAAAGTTTGTCTGGATAAAATATTAAGCTGAAAGCACTAAAAAATTCAACAGAAATGCTTAAGCAGGCCATCGGTGTTGCGTGGCTGTGCTTGAATGACCTGTAAATGTTCTCCTCACTATAAAGACACTTAGTTTACACTCCAATTCCCCTCCATGAGTGACTAACAGAGCAAAGCAGCCAGCCATATGTTTCATCTGCTCTCAGGCCGGTGCAGGATGTATGACGCAAAGAGCCAAAAAGAAAGAAGATGAGTGCATCAAGACATTCAAAAAAGGCTGAATCCACAATGACGTGTTTCGGCAGCAAAAGCAGACACTGTCTTCGTGATATGCAAACAATGCAGGATGGTGAGATTTGCTACAACAACCAGCACCTCAGAAAAAGTTCAAGAATAGTACAGCAGGATGAAAAAAAGGATCAAATGTATGGTACTAAAGCTGAGCTTCAAGCAGACCTTTTTCAAAAAGTGGGTGAAACTAATGACCACAAATCAACTCTTCTTCTGCTGTCAGATTAAACAACTTCAGATGTTGAACTCACTGCTGTGGCGTGCCAGTGCGAGTGGTATTGCATCAAGAGTCGACTTCTGACAGGCTGCTCTGGTTGGATAAGTAACATAATTTATGCACTTAAAGAGGCAAACTTCCTAGGTTGTGTAACTGACATGCTCTCATGCCTTCTGAGGTGTGATTCCTGCTTTTAAAAAGGATGTGCCTCTAAAAATAGAAACAGAGGAAAATCAGGAAACTGGGGATTTTGCTCGTATGAAAGAGACGCAGGAAAGAGCTGTGAGTACTTGAGGTACAGGCTGATCGTAAAGTTTCTCTTGCTGGCACTAAAAGATGGAAACTGATGTGTTTTGCACAGCACAAAGCTGCTTCTTCATCCACGCTGCTTGTAGAGGCAAAATCAAGATCATAGGTGACTTCTATTGAAAGGGTTTTTTCCTGTTTCAGGGGAGCTGTACCTTTTTTCTTTGAGCATGTGGAAGGAAAGTCTTTATCCTCTACTTTGACAGAGGGCCTGTTACACTTCATCCTGCAGAAAAACGACCGTCTAGCTCCGGAGCACAGCCGAGAAGGACCCGGGGTGATGTCTGTTTTCACTGGAAGACCAGCTGCAAGTACACAAACACAAACACTTAAACACTCAGAGAAAGTCCCAGAAGTAATGTTCAATTGTCTGTTATGTTTAATTTGTGTCCAGTCAGACCCTTTAGAACAATACCAGCAACTAAAAAATGAAACCTCTTAACCCACTAACCCTTTAACATATTTATAACAGCAGCATTTCTCAGTTCAGAAATGTATTTGACTGCTGTGTCCCTACTGTGTCCCTTTTAAACAGGTACAATACAAGAACTTTGTTTGTCCTAGGGCTGGGCAATGTGGAAAAAAGTTAATCACAATATATCTTTTTCATATCAGTCGATATGGATATGTATCACGATATATATAAAAAAAATCCCCTGTCAATCTTAAATGTTTCCTGTTACTCTTAAATAAATTTCAACATGTACTCGACAATAATTTGCAGTGCTCATTACTCTGCTTCATGTCTGACTGCAATAAACCAAAATACCTCCACAACACCAACGTTTTCGTGCCAGTGTTGTCAATGATGTAATAGTCTGTTGAGCCTTCATCTGCATTTCTGTCATGGGTAGCACTCATTTTCTTTTTTTCTCACTAACAGAGCTGTCGGCTTCACGTGTTAAAGTGCTATGGTTGCGTGTAACTGCAGCCTGCTACTACACAGTAGTTTGCTACTTGGTTCTGATTCAGCACGATTGGTTCAGCGAGGCGCGACCCAGGGAAACTTTGACTATCCCAAAGCATATTGACCATGTTTTATACTGATATGGAGTTAAATAATTTTTTTATATATATATCAGCAACGTTTTATCGCCCAGCCCTATTTGTCCCCAAAGGCAAATTCATTTGAATCTCTCAATATGAACACATACTGTTCCAGCAAATATAGTGACTTAAAGCCCATTTGATTCAGATAAACAACAAAACACACCTCTGTTTTGGGGGTATGAACTTCATTATTGCACTCTATCAAATTATTGTTGTGTCAAAGATAGAATACCCTACTAATGTCTTGTGAAAGCTGTAGCATATATATATTTGAAGTTTTAAAACAACCCAATTCAATCTACAGAGCCAGAAGCTGATATCAAGTGAAAATATTGAGGCTGATGTCAGGAGAAAGCCTCGAGATTGCTGGTAGCAGCAGATGAAGAAAACACAAGAGGTCAATATCAGCCAGACTCCAGACTCTACAGGGCGATGATAATAAGGAGTATTTTCATACTTTTTGCATCAATGAGCCTTTCTCGTGGGGCTGTGTCAGAAGAAGACAGCTGCTCCTTAACCTTGGCTATGTCCTTGGGGTGAAGGTAGTCGAACAGACTCTGACCTATCAGATCATTCTGGAGACAAAAAGAGAGGAGAGGGAACAAAGGGAAGATGAAGCATAACACGTCCAAGAAAATCAAACATCTGCAAACAGCTGTGTTCATTTTCACTTTACTCAAGTCAGTGCTGAAGCTTCAATAATTCACTCTATTGTAATCCTGGAAACTAAAAAGAAACTTAATTCTTACTTTAAAACTGAACCGCTGACACAAAAATTTCTGTTTGTGTAACAACGCTGCGATGAGCTATCGCTTCTTCATGGCAAAAATATACTGATATGTAATACTTCTTTTTAAAGAAACTACTGCTATGTACCCTTATTTAATCTGCAGTGACTAACAAAGAAAAGTTTGAAATTAACAACAAAACACTCTAGCTTCACAGTTATTAAGGATGAATAAATAACATATTAACTCCAGCCTTTTCAGCATAAATTAGTCAACAAATAGTCTTTTTTTTAATAGTGAACAAAGACTGAGCATACCTGGCTGTAGTTGAGAATCTTGTACACAGATTCAGAAACAAAGAGGATCTTTCCACGGTCACACCCAACCACAAACAAGAAACCATCAGCAGCCTGCAATGTTGAACAGAAACCAATAGAATTATTACAGGGTGGTTTTTACCAAAGCGTGAGTTGTCAAAAAATGAAAAATACTGTTGTGCAACATGACAATGACCAGTATGATACACAGGAATGGTAAAAACAAGCCAAAAACGCGAGGGCATGAGTGAATCTTCAGGGTGAAAAGGAGAGGAAAAGTATGAATACTAAGCTTCTATGCTAACTAAAATTTCAAAGCACAATTAACACTGTTATGATGAAGTACCACACTCACCCTAAGTATTAAGTGCTTCAGTTCATCATCTGAGAGGAAGGAAGGCTTGTAGTTGGCCTCTGTGTATGGGTTGGCAGCACCTGCACACAACAATAAACACACTCTTCACACCTGAATTCATGCAGACAGCAACTGGACAGGAAAAAAAACAATACACTTTTCAAGTCCTGAGGTGCAGAAGTAGCAGACTGCTTTATGACTGACTTATGCTGATCACCTCTGGATAGGACCTGCCAAGGGACTGTGGATGCAAACTAGCTTAAAGCTAACTTTGCGTCAAATAGAAACAATTATATTTGGTATTTTACATGGTCCCTTTACAATTTCACGCAATGCAAAAACTAATCAAAACAGCATACAACATTTACTGTTAAGTTCATCAAGGGAAGAAAAAAAAGCCGGATGCCTATCACTTAAAAGCAGCTCTATTTCAGGCTGATCCTCTTTTATGAACCTGTTACAAACCAAACATACAAGCTATCCCTAAGAGCTGTGATATGAGCGCATTTTAACTATGTCGCCTGTATAATTTTCAGGCTATCACCATCCATTCCCAGACAGGTATAGACGCTCATATACTTGTTAAATCAGAAACAGTTTCACTGTTAATATTGATGTTTGGTGTTTCTTTCACACAACAAACCGCAGCTTACCTTGAATCTTGTTCACAAAGGGAGCTACACATGATAACTTCTGTTTCTGGTTGGTACTAACCTCTGAGTGTCTTCATGTGCTGGACAGCCATGCGTAAAACCGTCAGCTTGTCAAGCTTGCGGGACATGGCATTACAAGTGGGCACCAGTGACGCAAGCTCGTCGATGAAGCTGTTCATCTTGTCCCGGCGCCGTTTCTCGATCTGGCTGTGAGCCTCTCTGTGAAGGAAGGAGTAACAGAAGGTTACCTTACAGGGAGTATTCTAATATCCCTACACTGTACTCTTACTTAACCAGAAAAAAAAATGAAAACAAGTTGGAGAAAAATAAAACTGCACAAAATAGAGATTCAGCAGTCTGCACAGCTGAACTACAGATGATCTCTCATGTCAGTCCATCATTGTACAAATCAGCTCGATAAGTGCAAAGAAAACACAGCTCCATTCAGTTGAAACATGACATACCACTCCTGGTCTTGAGTCTATCCTTCAAAACTGTGAGAATACATCTATCCAAAATATCTATTCTGCATCTGAGACTTCTCCCTCACAAGGGAAAGAGAGCTTGTCATTAGCTGAAGGACCGCTTTTACACTCCCCTAGGTCCACATAATGCTACGACATTTAGACTTTAATGTCTAAAGTTTCTTATCATCAGTGAACACAAAGCTCCCGTTGTCCCTGATAAGACAGAGTGACATTTAATTCATGTCTAAACGATGAGGAGGCAGAGGAAGAGGAAAGAGTTGAAGTACCTGGCATTCTTAATCCGGCCCTGTTGGTCACTGGAAAGACAAAGACAAAGAGTAAAAAGGGGAATTAGACAAATGAACTTCACCGTCTAAGGTTGAATCATAGAGGGCAGTAGGTGATAGAGAGAGGGAGAAAGAGGCATGGAGTAAATGGGGCAAGAGTGAAACTCAACGCTTCTGTAACCAACCTCATTAGCTGGTTTCAACAACTTGAAAGCTTATGCAACAGCGGCAGAAACGCTCCGGGGTAAGATTCAACTGTACGATCTGATGACTGATCGTAGCTCCAAATATGACGTGGTTTCAATTAAACCTCTCTGCATTCTTTCTCACATGAACAGTTATGTAAACGTAAAACAAGGAGGATTTTCCACCCCACCCACTCCACAACACTACACTCCACAACACTACACTACAGAGCGCAACACCCAGTACAAAAATCCACTTCACTCAGAACTCTAAATATTCAGATTTTGAAGGTGGTTTGTTGAATGAAAACACTGGTTTAAGGTTTTAATTCAGCACTTTCCCCTCTGAGACTCTTGACTTTAAAGAGTCAGACAGCCCCCACATTACAAAAGGAGGACAATAAAGAAGTATTTTATGAATAAGCCACCTTTGACCTTTCTGCTTTAAACCAAACAAAGAAAAACAATATGATGTCACTAAAAACTTGCGGCCTGCTTGTACCAACTAACCCAATCAGGCTCAGCCGCCACTGCTACGTAGAAAGTCTATATATTGATTGTTATGTCAATGATGAAGTCTTCCTCTCTAAAGAATGATCACAGCTCAAACCGTCTTGCAGACATGTTAGAGTACAAGGTCCACTTTATTTCCAAACAAGACTCCTGCACAAATATCTTCAAACTCATGAGTGCAGAACTTCTACTCCTGCTGGCTGGAAACACACGGAGCTGCAGCCGAGACTCCAACTACAGCCTTGGTTTCTGTGTAGTTGAATGCTTTACCATCATGCAAAGATGGTTTCTTTTCAAGTCTACACCTAGCTTTAGGAATGCACATACAGTTAATTTAATGTATATTTCATGCACTTCTTCGTGAAATTAAAATGGCTTCTCTTTCAAAGAAAAGCAGGAAACTTGACCATATTTCAAATTTCAATTGCTCCAAATAGAGTTTCCAAGTGGTCTAGTGTTCTGTCATTCAAAGTTATCTGTGAAAATGCCTCTTGGTTGTTATCATTTATCCAAAAAAAAAAAAAAGGGTCTGCAAGTGGGTCAGTAAATTTCACAGCAGGAATCAAGTCCAAATCCTCTTTACTGGCCCAGTCAAAAAAGTCTTTAAGAGATAACACTTGCACAAATGAATTTGATCTGGTAAAATAAGCACTTTTGAGGGGAGAGGAGATTTTTAGTACACCAGTCCTGTCAGGTTTGAACTGCTATGCAAAGTAAACAGGATCACTCCAGCACCAGGATGGGATAGAACAACAGCAAACACAACCACAGTCAAAACTAGAGCGTGGTGATGGCGGTGTTTCTCACCTGCCCAGCTTGTCTTTGTCTGGGTCCATATCACTGAGGAAGAACAGACAAAGATATTGATTTGAACATCACTTTCATAGAGCATTTCATAAACCATAGCACAGCAGTTCAAAGAAGAAGAGTTCATTTGGTTCAGTAGGTTTGTTTTGTAATGAATTCAATATTTCATGGTGCAAAAAAATCAATTCAAGGTCACTGATGTGTCAGATCTGGACAAATTGAGCGTTGTGCTAACACCATCAAAAAGAGCCATGGTTGAACTTACTCAAATGAGAAGCCATCAATCCTGCAAAGAAACACAAATTCAAGTGATCAGTTTTTGTCATTGTGCTTTGGAGGAATGTGACAATTTACAGAGGAGAGGGAGGAAACACAACAAGCGATACGAACTACAGTTCATGACTTGACACATTTTTAATAGTGACCTGCACTAATAAAACGATTACAAGCCAGACCAAAATAACTGTTAACCCTGGTGCATCCATTATTTTCCTCACACTGCTCCTCAGATCCCCTGATCCCCTCATTTTTGATCTTATTGCCTGACACCATTTGACACCTTGGTGGCCTTTTTTCTTTGCTTTTCCTTTCTTTGATTTATAATTATTAACTTGATATTATTCCTTTCACTCCTTGTCTTGTCTTCCTGAGGCCCTTACTGGTAGTCTGTGGTGCTGCCCTTCCTCTTTCGGGTGTAGTCCATGCCAGGCGTGCTGATGGAGCTGGAGATGAGGTCAGTGGAGCCTGGGGACATGAAGTCAGTCATTGTAGACGAGATGTCCATCCTTTGGTCTGCCATCAGGTCATCTGAAGAGAAAAAACAAAAAAATCTAAGATTATTCAGGTGCTCACAAGTATTGTTACTGCACACAGGTAAAACAGTTATAAAAATTCTGATACATCCACAAAACTTAAAGTGATCACTTACAACAAAAGGGGAAACTTCATAAGAAGGTGACTGTTTCCATAGAAGCAGATCAAAATGTTGATGTAAATAACAGAAAAGGAAGTCACCTGACACACACTAGAGGGTTTTTGCTCCAGCATTAGTCATCACTAGCAAGACAGATGGTGTTGATTGTGTACAGATATGTAAATAAACCACCCCCTTCTGCACAAATCATGTTATTCTATTTACTGCACAACTTTGTTACCAAAAGGAAAGCCTGAAGAAAAGTCAAGACCAGCACAATGGGGTAAGAAAAATCCAGCTGGGTAAGTTTCAGGTGGAGAAAAATACCAACAAATCACTGAAAGATAAAAGGGAGTGTCCCGGCTGAGAGGCAGACCAGGATGAAGTCACTCACCACAGATGTTCATCACAGCCTCTGTGTTAAAATCATCTCCTTCCATCCACTCTCGAGCCCTCAACTGTAAACACACACAGAGACATCACATGAGCTGTCAGACCTGGCAGGAGAAGAGTCAATCTGAAACTGAGAGAAGCCTTCAGCGCTGAAAGAAAACACAGTTACAGTTGCCTGGATACATAAAACCATATATCAGGCCATCGAGACACAGAGGTCAAAACACACAAGAAGCTCCTATTGTCTTTGTAGCTGCTGCCTGCAAAGAAATATCGTGTCACTGCAATTATTGTCCTTGAAGAATTGGGTCAAAGTGTATCAATTACTGTAGAGACAAGAACCTGAGTCCTCATGATGTTCATCATTCAGTCAAGTCTTCTGTGCCTCGACTAGATGCGACATATTTATTATGAGCAGAATGATCATTTTAGGAGATCTTAACAAGATTGTCTTGCATTCACACAGGCACCCAGCTAAATAATTCAGTCACCTCAACCAAAGAGTTACTAAAGCATCATCTCACTGCCCTCTCTGAATGATCCTTTAAAACCCGTTTCTACTACAGGTGACCTGTTACACCTGAAACTACACCCACAGGTGATGTCACAGCGTACTCAAACACTCTGGCATATTTTCACAGAGAAAGGAATATAAGGAGGTGTTAGGTTAATGATTCTTGCGCTTTATCATATATGGCTCTTAATCCATTCATGCAAACGTAAACTACAATATCATTGGCTGCGACTTTATTTAAAAAGTCACCAAAAATATATCAAGTACTCCAACATTTGCCCAGTTATTTCAGCAGGTATTTCTCTTGTGGATGTTATTTGACAAATGTTAAGAATAAATTATCTTGTTAGAGCCTCATGAATGAGTCAGCGGAGAGATCCCAGCCTGTCAGAGTTTGTAAATCTTAGCCAGCAGCAAGGATTAACAACAATGAACTCTCACAGCTTGTTAGACTTGGATAGATGGCTGTATAATAAAGATGGAAATGTATGAACAAAGCCTCAATCACACTGACATCAATTATGTATGACAGAGGGTGACTGCAGTGACAAGGAGGAACTTATTATATTCCACTTTTGAATAGTTTATCACTGTGAACGAGGCTTTACATGATCAGGATTTCTGGGGCAGATCACCGATCAGTCAGTTTGAATGAACCGATCACAATCTGATCATGTGAGGGAACAACATGTCTGTTAAAATAACCTATTTACTGTATAAACCTTTGTACTGTTTACTGAGTCTAGAAAAAGTATTTTTACACATTTTTTGCTAGTGTTTGACAATTTTTCAGTGTATCAGCAAAAAAATGAATATCAGATGATATCAGCCAACATCTAAAATCTCCGATATCAGCACTCAAATACAAGCAGTCGATTCCAGACTCCACTCCATCTCTTCTATCTAGCAGCACTTGGATCCAGCATGCAGAGCCCACATGATCACAACAACAGTGTGTACTCAGGTACTAACAAAAAAACAAGGAGTAGGAGTGATGTTGGACATGTAGCAGTATTTTTCGTTGAAGTCTGAAAAAGACGTTGCAACTGAGTGCAAAATTTGTCATGCACAATTTTGTGCTATTATCGGATCAATATCGGTATCGGCCAATACTGAAGGCTACAATATCGGTATTGTATTGGAAGTAAAAAAGTTGTATCAGGACACCCCTTCTTGACAGCACAAAAAATTTGCTGTCATTGATAGCTGTGTAAGTAAGTAGAGTAGAAGTAGAATTGACCGGTTAAAAAGGAACAAAAATATACATGTTCTTCATGTTAATGTATTCAACTGGCAGATCAAACATGAGTCACACTGCTGCATATGATCAGTAGGCAGCCTTCCTTGGTTCAAATTCAGCTTTCTGAAATATTATTAGTGGGTACATTTTACATAAACAGAAATGCATGAGTTACCTGGATAGGAAACTGGAACAGGTCTCCTGAATGGGCCTGGTGTCTGGATCAATGTGGTCCAGTCTGGTCTGTTCCGTTTTGATCTGATCTAGTGTGGTTTGATTCAGTCTGACCTACTTTCCTCCAGTTTGATGCAACGAATCTCGTCTGATGTGATAAGATCCTCAAGCTGCTGGTGCAAAAGGTCTATTTCTGTAAAGGGACAGAGGAAAGTTTGTGAGACGCACTGCTTATCTTTGCCAACTTCAAAAGTCAACACAAAATCAAATGCAACAGGAGACATTTTAAGGGCTATACAGAGATGTAACACAAACTCCATAAACAACAAACAAACAAAATGAGTACTGGAAGATGTCATGCTGCTTGGATACACAGGAGACGTACAGCACATTTTCTTTTTTTCTCAGTTGAACTTGCATTCAGATCTGGATCTGCCTTAAACACTTTAAAGCTGTATGTCATTTTTTAAGAAGTTATTACCCAACCTCGATCTTTGTGAATATTTTATCAACTCAAGTTCCCTGATAGGGAATGAGTGAACACTTTTCTTATACCCCTAAAATTTAAAGGCTGATTACAAACATTTGTCATTCATGAAATTCACTCCAAGACTACAATACAATTGCAAACAGACCCCCTCAAAGCCTTGGACAGGTACTGCTGACAGCTCCGCTGGTTTTGACAGTGATGGCCTTTACATGGCTTACTATTATTGTCAAGTACTACCTGAAGACACCAGAAAACCATGGTTTTCGCAAAACCATGGTATTTACACTAGATGGGTGTAAATACCATGGTTTTGCAAAATTTATCAGTACAGTTTCAGGAGTATTGCATGACAGTCAACAGGAGGCTGTTGCTCTATTAGGGGAGACTGCTCTTCTCTTCACGCACCAAGATACACCAACTAATGCTGATTTCTACACCTGACAAATGAGTTGAAGAAACAGTCATGGTTTAAAAAGAATATTCCTCAGGCATGAAAACAGGTCAGGGGGGGAAACGGTGAGAAGGATACAACCCATCTAGAGGGGCCGGGGGGGCATGCTCCCCTGGAAGAGGACATTTCAGACATTTTGTATTTAAAAGCATCACTCTGGTGCACTTTGAGAGAAACATCAAGCAGAGTTACAGAACAGTATGAATGCCCAGCATTTTTTTTAAACTATGGGGGAGGGCTCCCTTCAGGCGGGCGCACATGTTTGCAGCTCACTGTGGTTCTGCACTGCTCTTTATATAAAACAAAAGTCCTAATAAATCAACTTCTGATAAAAAAAAGAAAAAAGAAAAAAACAAAACATTATTTTCTCAACTTGTCTACAAGATTGAAGTATCTCTCAAGCTCTCTGCTCTTAAATGGAATAAGTTAATTTTAGAAATGCCCTGATCTCGATCTCAGTTGTATGATTATAGCTAGCGTGGGCAAATTTAGCCAATCATATCACCCGAATCATTTAGGATTTGTCATGTGTAGAATTTGAAGCAGAATGCAAATGTGTAAATAACTTAAGCAGCCCAGTGCCAAAATGACGTCAGTTATTGTTGTAAATTTTGGTATCTGTAAATTATCACCCAGCCCTACAAGAGAGTGAAAATGATTCAACAGTTACTTGCAATACATGCAATAGAGGTTGCAATACATGCAATAGAGGTTTATCAAGGTGGTGGGGATGGAGCTGCAATTAATCCCACCGTAACAGACTTTCCTGTGTTTAGAACAAGGTTTTAACCTTTTTGAATCACCTGTCTGAGGACCCATGGTATGTCCTCATGTCCCTGAACTACATTTCAAAAACCTCCTCAATGGAGCTGTACTGTAGAGGACAGGTGCTTGGGATGCTGTTGGCCGAGCAGTTTAAAACACAAGCCCCATATAAAGAGGCTCTGGTCCTTGTTGCAGCGCTCACTAGTTCGACACATGGCCACGACCCTCTGCTGCATGCCTTCCCCTAGTCTGCACTCCACCACATCCTGTCTCTCTTCAGCTGTCCTTTCTAAAAAAGGCACAAAGAAAACTTAGAAAGCATACAAGTTGATTTAAAACAAGATGAGACCTCTGTTTGTTTAAAGAAGGGCTATAAAAGTATATTGTTTTCAGACTATATATTTCTTTTCTAAAACCTCTTTAATAGCTTTTTCGTGATTTTCAGATAAAAAAAAAGCTTCCTGTTTCTTATGGTGGTGTATTGAAATATCCTTTTTCTCAGCCGCAGTGGACACACTCCACAGGCCCACTGTCTTCTGACTGGACACCTCTCCAGACGCCAGCTTATGTTTTGCCCCTTCTATTGTGGTCAATCAGTAGAGCAGTGGAGCAGCATTACCCCGCTCCGCTGTGGGTGTCACCACACGTGCAGTCGGAGGTCCACTGCTCCGCTTTGCTGGAAACTCATATGAACCAGTAAGAACAGCAGATAGTACCTACGTGAGTTTTTAGTGAGTCTCAGGTCTTTGTATAGACTCTGGTTTTGATCGGTTTACATCTATAATGAGATTAGATCATGACAACATACTTTTACCAAGTGATTTGAAACTTTGCAAAAATCTAGTATGGACAAACACCAAACATTGTAGCAAAAACTGTAACGTTTTGATATGGAAAGGCATTATTATAGTATAATATAAACACTGCTCAGCATTTATATTATACTATATATCGTATATAGTATGATATATTTTTATAATACCACCTCTTTAACTTGAGGAATTTTGAGATCTGATATTGATCCCATGTCATTACTCCGACTCACAATAGACTCATCATCCACATCTTATTTTGTTCACTTTAGTCATTCATGTTGTTGGTTTACATTGCACCTCTGCTATCTGGGCATATACAAGTATTGAGTTGGGACTTTGTTCAGCAGACACTCAGTACTCAAAAAAATATTATTTATCTACTTGATTAGGACAATGCACATTAATTGACATATTAGCAAAAGCATCAATGTAAATATGCCAAAGTTAGCATAAATGCTAATTATCAGGATTGGTGGCCACAAAACAGCTGATCAAGAGATCACAGATAAATATCATAAATAATCTGTTTCATGAGATTTTTTTTAAAAGTCAGAGAAAAGCAACTTCATTAAATGCCAGACTGGTACTGTGACTTTGTCTAAGAGCTCATAAAAAAAGACTCAGGGGTGGGCCATCATCAGTTTAATAGACAGTGATAAAAAATAATGCAAACTCAAGAAGTGCTGTTAAAGTAGCAAGCAGCAGAGTACTAGGTCAGGACAGGCTCTGTAAGCTCGTTTAGTGGAACAAAGCTTTGGGCTAGAAGGGGAAAACCACTGTGTCATGATTAAACACTGAAAGGAACTGGTGCTGGAGTGGAAACTGGGTCAGCCAGTCTCCATGGTCTCCAAACCAGCCAGCCTCAATTTCCATCCACCACCTACTTCTACTTCATCAGTGAGTCAGCAAGCCATTCAGCGTCTTCCCCTCTTCTACTCTTAACACCCACTCACACAGCCGGCAAGCCTGTTCATGAAGCATGGAAAGATCCAGGTGGTATGTCAGACGTCCAATCTCAGAAATTTCAGATCCAATACGGACCAGTGACAGAGATCGTTTTGCAAGAGTCAAAAGACTTCAGAGTGTGAATCTTTAGTATAAATGTTAGCTACAGTTCTTTAAGAGAAATGGAGAAAAAAAATGTGCCAGGAAATGTTTGAAGAATGGACAGACCTGACGCACGTTTGCCTGCCTTTCTAGATTAAAAGAAAAAAGTTGCATTTAAAACGTTTCTTCCCTTCATACTCTCATTGATTAGAACCAAGAGAAAATGAAAGGCTGTAAAACTGCAGCTACTGTAATAACAAGTCAAACACGGGTATGGTAGGTCACCATTACAAGAGCACATCCTCAAGTTCAAGATGAGACAATGGCAACTGCACTAGTACCTAAACCTAAAGACACTTGAATCTTTTGGAAACATTTCTACTTTCAGCAAAATGACAAAAAAGAACCAGCTAATCTAGATGAAGTACATCAAATCTGGGCCAAACAGATCACCATGAAACATGAAAACACTGTGAATTTAAGGTCTCACATAGCAAGTCACCATTCAGCAACCAAAGTGAAGGTGCCTTTAACCGAGTTGCTAAATACAACTCTGGAAGTGCCACACATAATTATCTTACAGGTGTAATTTCACTGTATCTCAATCAGAATGAGTGGCCTGGAAAACCTATTTTAAAAAATGAAAACCTGTTGAAAAGTCTAATGGTCTCCTGCACAGAGAAACCCTTTACAATCCAAGTCCAGTAAAATACTTAATCCAAACATATTATATCCATAAAGATCCATAGATGATTTATAATCTCCAAATACTGTATGAACTTGTTCAAGTTGTCTGCAATCCATCTTACTTGGTTAGCATTTGGATCCATCTTTTTCAGGTAATCAATCTCAGCGTAAATGCAACTAGTGAAGGGAATTCAGGCTGTTAGTAATCCTGCTCATTAGGGTCAGTATGACCTGGCTCCTTCTGCTCACAAACAGCTCCTCAAGCTGGTTTTGAAAGGTCAGACCTGACACATACGCCCCACTTTAGCATACTGTCTTGCTGCCACAGTGTTTCTTCCCAGGGTAAAGTCAGGTAATGTAAAACTGATAACAGGGTTTCCATAATCTTTACATTATCTATGCACCCTTTTACCTCTGTGCTGGTAGAATCTGTGCATCAGCATGCCTTTCAAAATGCAATGCAAAAAGGCTGCTGTTGCAAACATTAACCCCAGATGCAAGTGGCTGGTGTTCATTTAAGTGACTCCAAGTTCGAAATAATCATGCTAACTTGGTTTTTGTTTCTCCAAATCAATATTACATTGAATGAATGTTGTGATATTCCCTGTATTTCCTTATATTGCACCAGGAGTCTCATAAAGAAGAGAGCACAAAATCGGTTTTGCAACATTATCTAATGCAGCACTAATCACAACTCTTGTTATTTTTCTTTTTTTTTGTGAGTTTTTGCCTTTATTAATAGGTTAATTTGGAAGTATGGGGAGAAAGAGAGAGGGGGGAGGACATGCAGCATATGATCGAGGCTGGACTTGAACCCGCCACCACTGCAGGGACCGTGGTTCCCATAAGTGGGGCGTACTAACCCGGCAACTCGTGTCATTTAACAAGTTTAAAAGCCCATATCTTTCGAATAAAATGGAAATTTTATAATCTAAACTGCCTCTAAAGTACTTTGTGGAAAGACAAACCCAAGAACATTACACTGATTTAGTCACCCTAACTTGGTCAGCACCACATACTGTCCCCATTATGGCTGTGGCATTTTTTTTTAAATGGTTCATATTTTTGTGATAGAGCAATGCTATTTCATTAAAGTTGGCCTGACTTTACTCAAGGTTGCCAACACTAGTATGCTTAAGCACTTATTCACAGCAGGTGCAGGATGAATACTTCAAGATAAGTAGGAGTGTGTTTTTAAGTGTTAATACTTGAAACTCTAATGACTGCCCTTCTTACCTTTATTGGCCTTAATTTTGGTTGAGCAGTATTTATTCTCAAAAGGTCAAAATTAAAATCCCAAAGATAAATTTAGGATTAAATTAGACATTAGATGGCAGACAGTAAGCAAAAACTGTTAGGGAGCACATACTTCTGTCATGGCTATTATCCTGTTGGTCCTGTCTATAACATGCAACTCTGCAGGCACAACCACTACTAACACACAGGTGACAAGTCTCTTTGTGAGGTGCTGCTAGATCATTTGACTTCATTACAGACACAGCACCTAAACAGTCACTCTAAAGTTCTCTGCATATCATAATTCTGCTGAAATACTTGGTCATTGGGTGTTGTGATGATAAAAACTGCTGCATAACATCAGTCCACGCGCTCGCTTAGGTGTTCAATAAGAGTTTGAATACAGTGACTTCAAAGGCAAAAGGGTATGAGCCGTTTAATTTGGACTGAGCTGGTTCAACAGCCTGCAAATGAATGTAGTTTCTACAGATTAGACTATCATTAAAATGTTTGACAGTTTCAGAGAGCAGTACGTTTTTCTGTTTGAGAACACACTTAGTGGTGTACAGAGCAAGAGCAGCAAAGAAATACGCTGAAATACCTAGTTCTCAGGAGTTGCCAAAACGTACAGAAACTTCCCTTGAGTTGAATGTCTTTCTCTTCTACATAAGCAGCAGGGTTGCTCTCAACCATGTTCTAAGTGTAATTACTGTGCAAGGCAGCCTGATGTTACCTTCACACCAAATACTATTAAACTTATTTGCACAAGTGAATTCCATTTAAAGTCAATGCAAAAACACGAGACTCACGTTCTATTCGGGCGACACAATTAAAGCTTATCATACACGCATCACACCCAACGCGCTACTCGTTTTGAGCGCTTATTAATTAGAGAAGAAAAATCTGAACTCCTGTGATTACTAATCAGTATGGAGATTCCCTGACGAGTTATGTCAGCAACAGACCAGCAGAGAAAGATAGATTAGCAAAAAAAGACTCCACTCCAGCACCTCTATCTAGCAGCACCCAGCTCCAGCATGCAGAGCCCACTTGATCACAACAGCAGTGTGCACTACGGTACTAACAATGGAGCAAGGAGTAGGAGTGATGTCGACTGTGTGGCAATATTTTTCGTGAAATTCTGAAAAAGACGTTACAGCTGAGGGCAAAACTTGTCATGCACAAATTTGTGCTAATATTGGATCAATACCAGTACTGGCCAATACTGAGGGCTACAATATCGGTATCGTATCAGAATTAAAAAAGTTGTATCAGGACACTCCCAATGGCTGTCATCATTTTAACTACTATTGGGTGTACTTTTTGGATTTAGATTGTGCTTTTGATGTATTGTTAACGAAAGGTTAAGCACACAACACTCCACGTCCAACCTTCATCTGGAATAACCATGCAACAAATTAGGGAGGAATGGGAATTTTACAAATCCATCTTCTCAGCAGAAGATGGATTTGTATGTGTGTTTGTGACAACTTTCACACATTCAGTCTCAGAACCAACCAAGTCACATGTCTTGCTCAGCTTTAGTCTGTGCTATTACAGCAATTAAACTGAACAGCTTACAAGAAACAACCAGAACCCCACAGCAACGAGCCAAATGTGCAATTTGAAATTACTTTGGTTTAGTGTCTGCTGAAGATGTACAAGTCACGTTTGTTTCTGATGGAGAGCCGAAGAGGGACAGAGATCTCACCTGGACACTTTTCACTTCTTTGTGTCACAACCAAAGGAGCAGAGATTCCCCAGACGTTTTAAGTCAAGAGCCTAAAAATAAAATGTGGTGTCCCCCTCAAGAACCAAATACTTTTTGTTTAAACAAATTACATACAGCTAAATGAAATGCTTTGGGAAAAGCTTTGCTGTGGTTAACTTCAGGCTTGGATAAGGTCTAAACAAAAAAAAAGGTTCAGGTCAGACTTGGGTTTGTCACAGCTAACGCTAACTGGTAACATTTTTCATGTCAGTCAGTAACTAACCAATGACATAGTGACTGCAAAGCTGAAAATTCAAGCACAACAACATGTTAATTAATATCATTAGACTATTTAGAGACTTTCCCACAATGCAGTGCTGCTATGCTGCCCCTGATGATTTTCTAAGGCAATATAACACGAATGAGCTTTACTCCAAATCATACCAGGGGCCTCATTTATCAACCATGCGTACCCACAGATGTGTGCGTACGCATGGTTGATAAATGATAATGCGTCGTGAGTGCGTACAAACATTCCTGCGCAAGGTATGGAATTTATCAACCTGTACTTGTGCTTAGGAACGCGTGTACATTTAAGCACAACTCTGACCATGCGTACACACAAAATCTAGTGGTAGAACAGTGAAACTACAAATAGAGCCCAAGAAAGGAGACGAAGCGTTCAGCAATCTCAAACTTCACACATGCTCCCCGTTGCCTCTAGTTAATGTCATTTATCAATTAGTTGTTTAGCAGACATTTTGAAGAATTGGTGTGACAAGCTATAAAAGACAGCTGTGACAGAACAACCTCAAAAGAAGTCTGACAAGTATGAAAATACAATTACCATGGCTTATCTTGCGCTATTGAAGGACTTGAAGAACCGTATGCTCCGCAGGGAGCGCGTTTTCAAAGAGCGTGCTGATCTGCTCAGTGAGAGCACAGGGTGGCTTCTTAGCAGGTACCACTTTCCCGAAAATATTTTAATGGATTTATGCCGTGAGTTACAACACGTGTTGGAGTGAGAGACAAAACGCACCCAAGCCATCCCGGTGCACATCCAGCTCCTGTCCACCCTGGGACTCTTGGCCACCGGAACATTTCAACACGAGATTGGAGACATTTGCAGCATTTTGTAGCCAACACTGAGCAGAATCATGCCGGCATTGTTGAATGCAACAATTTCTCTGGCCTCAACTTACATCCAGTTCCCATACACACATCACCAACAAGCTGAAATAAAACAAGGATTTCACGCCATCGCAGGATTTCCAAACATAATTCGAGCCATAGACTGCACCCACATCGCAATAAAAGCACCTTCACACAATGAATTCAGTTTTGTCAACAGGAAAGGATTTCATTCAGTCAAACAGTCAAACAGTTAAACGTTGTTGCCCGGTGGCCTGGAGGAACACACGACTCCTTTATTTTACAAAACAGCTCTGTGGGTGTGCACCTCCAAGCAGGAGCTGTTGACGATGACTGGCTTATTGGTGAGTGTTACAACATTTCAAAATTATGGTATGGTTTACTATAATATCTCTGTAGGTGATCGTGGATATCCATTAAAGCCGTGGCTGACGACCCCCGTAGCCAACTCAAGGACCCCGCAGGAGCAGCATTACAACAACGTTACAAAAAACACATTTTTACAGGTGTGGCTGCTTTTATTTAGCCGTGGCGGTGCGACACAATCAATTACATGTAGGGGAAACCCTGAAATCCCTTGACACTCCCTTTACAATGGTTATTAACTATGCACAGAAAAGCAACCATGTTTACAACATTCCATTTTCTGCATAACTAAAGCAACTATACTTAAAGGTGTGGTCACTGCAATACACTATGAAGCTGGAAAGCTGAATGAGGACAAAAGTCAACATTTACGTCTCTTCTGAAGACCCATTCAACCTTCTCTATCATTACCAGTTTGGTGTTAAAAATGTGCCAGACAGGATCCAGACCTTGACGTAGAGGTTTTGGCTTTGTTTGTTTTATGTACTGTTGTTGTTTGTTGTGTTGGTGCATGACTGAAAGTGTTGCTTATGCTAGCAAAAAAAGAGATCCTTCCACACTTAGTTTCTGCTTGTTTGAATCATGTTAGCTGATACAAGCCATGGCAGCTACCCAGATTAATGGTTTAAAGGCTGTTTAGGCTAAGACGAAAGTCCAGATCATGAGTATGTGCAGCAGTGGAACAGTCAAAATAGTGACAAAGATAAAGGACTGTAACAGCAAATTATTGAGTTATGCTTCTTCTTTGTAATTTGTTGAAAAAAAAGATTCTTTCTTTGTGTTTTAACCTGTCTAAAACACATAATCAGCTGTTCTCAAATTAGTCCAGACCCGTGTGAGATCACACAGTGAACTGACGAGTGAGTATAAAGAATTTGTGCCTGCCTGCCAACTAACAAGCACGCGACATGACACGGTCATAATGAGTGTCACCTAAATAATAAAGAGCACACCCTCAGGGGTGTGAGTGTTTTCCTGTTATCAGTGGCACTTTGTACTGCCATACTGGTAAATTCTGAATAGCAAGAGCAACACTGAGGACAACCAGATCACACTGAACCATGACAATCTCATGTCAGTATTACGTGTTGGAACTTTAGTAGATAGCGGGGTAACAAACAGAATAATAGAAACATACAAAAACACCCTGCATATTTCTGGTTTTATTTCCTCAAATTGTTCATAATACAAAATACTGTATGCTGTAGGAATAAAAGATGTTGCTATGCCGTATTACTCAAACACCAAGCAATTCTTGCTCAAGTTGTTTTACTTTTCCAATTGCCTTCAGAAATGAGCGTATTTGAACTCACAGTACAGGGTCTGACTGCACTTTGACAAGGAAATAGATTTTTTTCTACCATAATTTAATTCCAGATCAGATTTATTCAGCTGTCCCAGTTTAGATCTAATATTCGGTTTGTATGGAAACACCTGCATAGATTTGCCGGTAGCTGCACTTGCCTTTAAGTATACAAAGGAATCAAAGTTTGCATCCCGAGTGGAAGTCATTCAGGCAAAGCCATAGAGACAGAAAATGGAAACTACAATACTTATTAAACCACTCATTAGTTGTAGCATGCTGCCAGGATGGAAACAGAAATCTATTTATTTTCAACACGTACACCTTTTGATACATATTGAAATATTAACACCAACTGCTGTGTATGCTGCTTCAAGCTCTACACAGGACTCACCTCGCTTCCAAACCAAGAAAACTTTGTCATCTATAAATAAGACACACCAGTCGCCTCACCAGTCGGTGACGTTGAACTTGAAGGTCTTTACACTTTACAAAAACAATGAATTTTCTCTCCTTTTTCCCCCCATTTTATTGTTCTCACATTTAGTTCACCAGGAACAACAGGATTTCTTGGAATACTGGTGAGTATTTCCTTGGGATACACTGAAATGAAAATTCTTGGCCGAAACTGGAAATGAGGAAACCAAGGCTGAAAACTGAAACTCCAAAAGAAATTATTTTGCCAATTATTAGAATCATTGCATTTATGGCTAGGACTGTGTACTAACCTTCCTAAAATCAAGACATTGCAATTGCATTAGCTCGTATTAAATTAATATCAATTTATGACATTGCAATGTGAACTGCAACATCGTTAAACAGCTCAGGTCGTGGGGCTCAATGTGCTGGATCAACCTACGAAATCCACATCCTCTTCAACAGACAACGGCTGATCATCTAAGGCAATGAATTCCATAATTTTTTTGTGTAAAGCACTTTGTCTTGGCACAATCACTGGAAAAATGTCCTGCCTCTAAAAAACAGAGGAGTGGGTGTGCTCTGAGGGATTTTCCTTTTTTGTGCTGTGTTTTTCTCACATTCAGAATGGCAATCGGATGATTTCAGGTGATGAATTAAACACGACATGAAGAAACTCTATGCAGCCTCTCTTCAAATGTTAGCATTACACGCTTTGCTAATTGCTATCCATAATTCTCAGATACACTGAAATACATACACACTGCAGACATGTTGGCCCTCATCTAGACAAGCCCATGCTGACTGCGGTTTTTGTCTGTGTCATTCCAACATCTGTTTCGGCTGGGTTGTTTCACTGATAAAAATCTTTTGACCAAAAACCAAAAATGCACTATTGGGTCATTTTCAGTCGAAAATTTTTGGTGGCCGAATTTTCAGTACATCCCTAGTATTTCCCATGGTTATGCTGATGGTCTAGATATTATCCTGCCAAACCATCACACAACTATACAAGTGCTTCCGCTGTTGCTTTGATGAATGATCATAAGCACTGGCTACCTGTATGACTTAAAAAATAACACCTAAAAGTTTAGGTCTGAAGTTCACATTTTCGTTTCCTGTCAAAACATAGTTAATACTTAAACTACTGATAACACTACTGTCAAGGCTGTCTAATTAAAGATGATGCAAAAAAACAAAACACTAGTTGCACATTAGCAACCCAGCCAATAAACAAGACCATTACAATCTATTTATCAACCTTATAAGGCATGTTGTACTGCTAGTCCACGTTTCCTGAAACCTTTGCTCAAGGCTGCTGAAATGGATTCAAAGCTGACAGAGTGCTAAGGGAAGTCTGCCTCAAGTCTCAATAATTATACTAGAGTGCAAGAATTCATGCCTGTCTGTATGGACCAAATATTGCCAACTGCCCTGTAGTGGCTGGGACATCCCATATTTCGAACTTGACTGACTGACCTGAACAGGACGCTTCTTGTGCTATATACTAACCAGACTTCTCGGTCACCACAGAAGAACACTTCCCTGATCCATGATCAAAACTAGAACAGACAGAGGCACATCACGTCTACAGATCATATCAAGTCTACCCAAAGACTACCCCTTTCACAGGCATTAGAGCATGACTAAAGCATAAAAAGTGCTAAATCCCACTGAAATAAGTTTGGTTCATTGATCGTGTTGTTTAGTTGGCTTGTGTTGCACAAGTGAGTATTATTCATCTCAACTTTTTGACTACAACAAGCAATGGGGAGCAAGAGTGACACTGTGATGAGGTGATCAGCAATGACTCAACAAAAGCCCATCACACTTTATGTCATCGGGTGTTATGAAGAGGCTTGACCTTACACAGCACATGATGGTGCATGCCCTACATGCCTGAAGTATAGCACAGAGAGGTATAACTCAAAGCAGCTGGACTAGGGGGGGTTACCAAATCAGGTGAACTCCATCAGATCCTCTTAGTATCAAGATCTCCAAATTACAACAATGCAACAGTGTGCTAATGAGAGGTTACCATGCCTTTTCAAAGTTGGTTTACCTTTAATTGGTTTGGTTCGCAGTGTATGTCTCAGATGTTATCAACACTGAGCATTTTCCAGTTATCTATGACAGTAGCAGTGTTGGGACCCACATACATTTTTACATCTACCATCACATGACATATAGACAGACTGCACAGCACCAGTTGATGTCTGGCTGTATGGTTGTCTGACTTCTCCACCAGCTCTGTTCAACTTTACATGGTGCAGGCTCTGTCTGTTGAAAATAGACTTGGTGGATATCTTTAGAGGAACAGGGCAAAGATATGCTTCTGATACTGAGCTCTGATGTGCAGTCTCTACTAGGGATGAGCTGATCCAGGTTGGTAAGTTCTGATACTGGAACCAATAACTGGGCTTTAATGACTGTTGATACCAATATCAATCCAACACCACCAGTTTTAAATTAATAGCCAGCTTGGAACGCTGCACACTGTTGTGTAACTAGTGTCTAACCGGTTCAGACTCAAGAGTGACAAATGTCAGAGCTCCTGATATCTGAGGCAAAGCTTATCACTGAGAAATATCTTTTCACTAAGTAGATAATAGTTTGCACAGTGTCTCATAGAGTTTGGTCAGAGCAGGGTCTGAAAAATAGTTTAACTTAACCTGGACCCCAGCGTCTATCCAAGCAGCTGAATCCACTGTTTTCAGCCAAAAGCAGGCATTTCTCACCCTGAACATTCAGTCCAAGAAGTTTGTCTAACCTTTTACACTTGCAAAACATTACTGGGAGGTTTTTTGTTGCTAGAAGACAAAACTAGTAGTGACGTCCACTCTGTTGTGGTACTTTTGCTCATCTAGCTACAGCTCTTCTCATGATGTAGCTTTTGTTAACATGGCAAGTGCTACAGCAGCTCATCACTGTCCAAAGAAGCCAGCCTCTGAACCGCATATTGTGCTCAGTAACTTGGGGCTAAAGGATTGGATCAGAAAGTTTATTCTTTATTTTCTAATATCCAATCCGGCAATTTTGTCTGGTATCAGACCAATACTGATACTGAGAGTAAGATTGGAGCATCCTTACTCTCTACACAAAAGAACAGACTAGAGCAGTGACAGATCATCTCTGGAGTGTGCTGACAGCATGTGTTACAAACACACTTAATGTGGAATCAAGATGTAAGAAATTTCTACAAAATAAATGAACTTAGTCAGCCCTGCTTGTCCTTTTCAATTGTGAATTTATTTTTGTTATTTTTTTTAGGGGCTGCCAGAAGTCAAAAAGGAGGCTCTGTACGATCCCAGGTTAAGGGTTAAACAATTTATTTCCACACTATTAATTCAACCTTAAATTAACATAATGGCAAAATACAATACTTTTGGTGACTGCTTCAATTAAAGTCCTTAATGAAAATTTTTTATGATTACTATTGGATGGAGATCTGTCACATAGTTTGTCAGTAGTAGGAGGGATCTTTTGGGGTGATAAAAAGAGGTTTGCTGATATTGACTTGCATGTTGATACCATTTTAGAAAATATATATATTTTCTTTTTTTGCTGGAAACTATTGTGCACTGAACTCCAAGCTACATAAGTTGACCCTCATTTGGTACAGCAAAGGTTGGCAATTCTTATGTGGATCAGACTATTCAGGTCTAATGAAAAGCAAACATAGACAAACAAACAAACAACAAACAAAATCACTTGTGTTCATTCAAGTGGAAGCCCACATGAAAAAACCAAATAGCTCAAATGTAGAATCCCTTCTAACTAAAAAAATTATACACAGTGTAAGCAATACCAAAGCTTTTCCATGATTATCTTTTGGCAACCACTGCAGAAACTGAATGGTCGCCACATTTCCGCTCCCAATGCCAACAGGACGATATTTCATAACCAAAGAGAAGTGATTCAACAAAGCCACGGTCCTGGTATGTGTTGTGCCTGCGCGTTAGAGAAGACTGAGGACATTTGGGAATGAGCTTTGGGAATTATCGCAGCAGGATGTATGCTGTCGAAGAAACCGTGAGACAGATACCCATCAAGATACAGAACAAGGCCTGTTTACATCGCTAGCATGCTAGCACGGGTTAGCACTATTCCCTCAGTCGCCTGTACTCGGGTCACGTCAAGTTAAGGTACAGTTCCGCACTTACCTGAACGATAGCCTCCCCGGTGGCTGCAGACAACCCTAAGAGCTAGCGTGACACCCCAGTGGGGCGTTTTACCGCATTTCATCCACAACAACACATTTTCTTGACTAATATCAGCGTACAGCTGCTAGCTTGGGAACGCTAACTGTCAAGACTTGGCCAGCGAGCTATCCTCCCTCCTCCTGCTCTAGAAAACCACATTGACATGACCACGGCGCTGGGAAAACATCGACGATAACCACCACGGCTTAAAACACAGCAACGGCACCGAGATGCAATACAGATAATACGTGTTATATTCAATTAATACTTACTGTGGATCCAGTGAAGTGTATCTATCCATTAAAAGCCGCTGTTAAAATGAGATGGCAACCCACAGAACTGTGACATAAACGATTTTCGATCGGTGACCCAGTTTCTCTTCACCGTCATGCCCGTCGGACCACTAACCTAGTTTTTTAACCAATGGCGTGTGAGCCATCGCCGGATGTGCGCTTCTCGCCAATCAAACACAAGTTCCAGCTGGGGGTGAATGATTGGCGTTCTGTTTGGCCAATTAGAGCTTGGGTAACACGGAATGCAGAGGCTACTTATGTATGAGTGTGTATAAGGAGAACGCTGCATTACGAGTCACCAACTTGGTAGGTTTCCGACTCAAGGCAGACCCGTTCCCTATTTGTTTCTGTATTTTGTCTGTTCAAAATTATTCAGTAGTTTGAGCCTGAAAATCCAGGGCTATTTTTCGCGACTAAAGAACGGCTATTTAGGATTAAAAAAATGAAGGGGACCAAGTAATATCAACAGTTGTAGTGATGTAACCATTGGACAACAGGCGTCGCTGTCTTCGTTCCTCTTTTGTTGGTTGAAAAGAATACCTTAAAGAATTTAAGCCAAAGTAAATTGATGATGCAAGCAAACTTTGCCTCATGATTATTATGATTATTGTTGTTGTTGTTGTTGTTGTTATGCACCCGAACAAACAAATTGGTGAGGCTATGTCTCACTGGAGATATCTGCTCGTATTTGAAGAACCGCCTCCGAAGTTTATTGTTTTCTACAATAAAGCAATAATCATGCACAAACGAAAACTAAAGACGTGAATCACAGTGTGTTACAAAGATCTTTAATATAAATACACAACACAAGCACAAAATAACTATCTCCAATAATTTAGTGTGTTGGGCCTACGTTTAATTCTTCTGCTTTGTGTTCAGTTCAATTTAACATACCTGAAAGCACTGTTTATATATATGCCTTTGTCTATCTTACTACAGCACTTTATCAGAATGTTATTATATTATTTAGATAATAACCACAGTAACCCTACTACATTTTGATTTCATAAAATATACTTTTCAAGGCTCAATGGCAGAACAAACAGGCATGGATCTGAGGAGTTACCATGCCTGTGGTAATTTGAAAAAGACATGTTTACTCACAAGCATGTTAACATGGACACAATACTGCTACAGGCTCATAATAAAGCAGTATCGTGGACTCAAAGAAAATAAAAGTGAAAGCACAAAAAAATTAGTCAAGAAGAGCTGTCCATGGGGGTTCTTTGTTGTATTTTATTACTGTAACTTACATAAACCATCTGACCAGCACTTATTGTGCTTGTCTTATTGTTTACATTTTTTACCACTGCATTTTGTGACTTTTCATTTCATTAGATTTTGGTAGACCTTATTTGTGCATTTATAGACACACTACCAAAAAAAATGATGAAAAGTTAGATTTTCTACGAAAGCAGTCTGTACAACAAATACACTGCTTCTATCAAGCCTCAGTGACCTGACTTCCTTTAAAGGGGCCATTGTGGCTCAGTGGTATAAGTAGTTACATGGATTTACACCACTGTGCATTGTCATTTAAAGCGCAAATGACAATATAGTTGATATCGTATTATGAAGTAATGAATTAAAAAAAAAAAAACATAGGTTACCCTGATTTTATTCAAATTTGTTCAATGATGCATATTTCATGCTTTGTTATTTTACTTAAATTTACCTTTCAATGCACTAATGCCTCTCCACATGCATTTGTTAGCATTTAATAATAGACCATCTTCCTTATCTTGAAAACAACAAATCTGATGCAATGATTGTTTACTAAATAACACTTACACATCTTTGTCACTTATTTAGATATCATCAGGAGAAACCTGCCCCTGAAGAATGTTCTTGAATGTGGTCTGACTTCATACTAACAACTTCTGACCCTGTGCCCTGGAGCACATCTTATATCACACACCTAATTTGTAAGAGCTGCTTAACCTGATTTTGCTAATGACGCATTGCAGTCTGTCTCCAGATCCAAATTATTGAAGAAGTTAACATGGATTTACAAAATAGAGGCCAAGAATAAAACAGTTTTGAATAAAACTGTCTTTAAAAGGATTTCTCTAACGTCTAATCAAGACTTATTTTTTAAAAACTTATAATCATCATAATGCAAGTTCAGTGATTTCATTATAATGGAATCAAGATGAGAGTTAGTGGACCTACAGGGCACAAATATGTATCTAATGGAGTTTATGACAAATAGAAAAAGGTGGAACAAGTGCAGTGTTCAACACAAATGAAAGCTCATTACAGCGATTTCTGTGTATTGCAAGCATTATATTTTGTCGCTAGATGTCAATGTCGAGTCATAAAATAATATATATTCACACCAGTCTCTTGTTGTGTGGAGGTCTTTACACTTCTTGTTTGCTCCCTTCTTCTTCTTCTGCTACTTTTTTCCTTTCAAAGACTGACGTTTCCCTTTCAAGATACAAATTGATGTCTTAAACTGAAAGCTGAGAAATGACAGAATAGGTTTCGAGTAGTTGATGGACTGTGAGGCATTCAGGTGAATTTAGAAAAAAAAAATTCCTAAAGTAGTTTTTGTGTGGATAAGCGGCAATGTTTTTTTGGTGTCCTAAAGTGCTTGTCCCCCCTCTTTTATTTATTTTGTTACTATTATTATTCTTTTTTGTTTGTTTGTTTTTTTGCATAAGTGCAGAGATTCGCCTATATCGCTCGCAAACTAAAGGAAAATGGGGAGAAGTATGGAGGCTAGAGTTGATGTTAGCTGCTGATTGACCATACATTTAGAATTATGGCTCTTCTACAACTGATGTCGCAGTTAAGTCGTTATTAGAAAAAAGGTTTGTCGGATCTTTATAAAAAGTCTGTGTTGACAACCAACAGAGTAGAATTATGCAAATAGATTTACAAATATGTAGACTAATCTCAAATTTATTTTATTACCATATGTAATTATTGCTCGGTAAACTCAGAATACTTGAAATATCAGTCATTCATTTTTTTTATTTTAACTTTGATTTCTATCAATCACTCTTCATGGGTGTCATAGGAACATGACAGGGACTTGAGCGCTCGAGACATTCCGAGCAGCTCGTGAAGGCATCGTGCCTATCACATGGCAGGTGATAGTAGAGGAAGCTCGCTCTTCAGTGTAGCGCTTTATACAGAGCAGGGACAACTCTCTCACCGAGCACCTTGCATGTGTGAGTGCGATTTGGGTGTGAGTGAGGGGTATGTGTGTGTACGAGTGTGTTTTTGCGCGAACTTTATCCTTAAGTGTCTCCCGCACGCAAAATTGGAGGATTTCACTCGGTAACAGCCACAGGAATCACCTTTCGTAAGTACTACAACTGAACTAAACCTATTGACTATAACACTGTTGTATCCTTAAGGATATCACAAAGTGTATTTTTCTTTTTTATTAAACACAAGAATTTCATTTGAACTGTAGCTGTAAGCTTATTCCGAGGCCACCGACAAGTTAGTGGCGTAAATTTAAACGACTTCGGTGTGTTTGTTTTAGGATGAAAAAAAAGTAGGCTATGTTTTTTTTTAGCTTGTCAATTTATTATTTTAAGACAACAGAGTTTTTGTGGACTATTTCCTCGTGTAAATAAAAGTCATCAATAATATACCCCATCTTTGAAAAATAAGTCTGTATCAGGACTGTTGAGTTTTGCAAAAATAGGAACCCAATGTTACATTTCATCTCCTGCTCAGTGGCACATACGGGTGTTCCTAAAGTGATCTGAATCCTTTACCAATAATAATGTCCTGTTGCATTTGCAAGAAGGCTAATATAGTGCCGCATTTAATTTACATTTTTATTTTGAAGGCTTCACCCCATAACACATCCTAGCTGATGTGGCAAACAACATGCTCCAGGGTAGAAAACATGGGACTTTAATTGTGACTTGTGCTTCTCTACTTGTTCAGCCATGTCCTGTCAGCTTGGAACTATTAAATGATGTTTAGCTGCAGTGACACATGCTGTGTAATTGCAGATCATCAATTTCTGACAGCGTGGGTAAAGTAGGGAGGGAGGGAGAAAAAGAGGGGAAGCAGATATGCAAATGGCAGAAATCAAGGCTGATGTGAGGCTCCCCTCTGCTGAAGCATCTGCTATATCTAACGCTGGAGCTCGTGTGCATGCACGACATCATAGACAGGGGACTTGAGAGAGCTGAAGGAGCCTCCTGCAATTGAATACAAAGGCCCGGTGTTCTCTTTTATTGCAAATCTCATTTAAAAGGGAGAGAGTTGAAAGGCATCATTGCCACTGACAACAGTGAATTGATTAAGGCTGCTTTGGTTGGCACTTGGGTGGCATTAACACTTGGAAACAACAAAGGAAATAAAATCAGCAGCTGAAGTGGTGGTGAGGATAAACACACTCAATTTATGTGAGATTTATCTAGTGAGACAGTTTTTGAAAAATATGTTTTGACAGTGTTATTAACCTACTTTACTGTAGTTTTTAGAGCCCTGTCTGTGCACAAAAGTATAGATGAATAGAGCGCGCACACACACTGGATCAGCAGATGATGGCACTCATCCCTGTGATCAAAGCAGCTTGTTTAATACCCAAACTGGTGGTTTTCTCTGCAGCCATATAGGTTTAGATGATTGCACTGTCATCTCAACTACTGCTGCTAATCACACTACTATTGTAGTTCACAGGAGGTAATCTACTGTTCCCTGTTGGTGTAAAGAGTCTGGAAAAGAGAGAGAGATGAACAAGGGAAGAATAAGAGATAGATGAGATTAAGGCAGAGAAATGGCTATAACAGAGCGTTGAGAGCGGAAAAGCAAAAGGAGGAAAAGAGAAGAGACCAGGAAGACATAGAGGCTGTTAATCTGGAATAATCCTCTGCTTGCTGAAGGAGAAGAGAAAAAAAACATAAAAAAAGAACTAATATCATTGGATTCCTTTGAAGGAAAGAAAATGGAGGAGAGGGAATGAGAAAAAAGGTGGTAGAGAAGGGTAGAGGATGGATGTGACAGGCTGAGGTCATATTGCTTTCAGAAGAAAAACAAATGAAAAGACTGCTTCGTGTTCAGTTGTGAATTCCTGGTAAAACTAAATAGAATGTTCCACATTTTAGCACAAGAGTTTAATGCAGGGTAATGGAAAGAATACTGGGTTGGTGGAAATACAACTCCTTATTGTTATAAAAGTTCAAAATATCTTTTATCTCTTTCACAAATGCATTTATTATGCAACTATAAATATTTATTGAACCCTGTCATACAACATTTGGTAGACTAAGGTAACATGGGAAAAAAGATCAAATGAAAATCATTGCGCTTTGACAAGACCAGCTGCAAGGTTTTGAAATTTGTCCTGGTATTGAAAGCCAAACTTAGTTGCAGGGAGGAGTTGTTTGTTTGTTTGCTGCTGAAGTTGCACTTCTTACTTTGTTTGTCTAGTACCTGTGCGTCTTTGCTCCTCCCTCTGTCACAACCACTGGTTTCTATCAGTTGCAGAAAGACTGGTAACAGAGTAGAGGGATAGTCCTGTTACATAGTTCCTAGCCTATTTGTTTTCTTTGAGTTCAAACCTGTTGGCTTTTGACAGGGAGCTTCACCACCCCTGTAGAATGATTATGTCTATTAAGTAACCAAATCAGTTAGAAACACTGAAATCATGGATACACACCACCAAGTATCTACAGTGTAATGCATGATAATGCATTATTGTAAGGATAAGATGTTTTATTTTACCTATCTTTACAATCAAATATAGTATGGACTATAAAAATCAACAGAGTTCCTGTTTTTGTGGCATCAAAAAGCAGGTAATCATGTTGCTTTATTTTAACAAGTCTCATTTGGAAGTTAAAATTCCTGGTATCATAAAAACTCTTTTTTTATGTTTCTTTCCAACAAAGAGCAGTTTTCTTAACTTTACAGATATTCAGCTGAATTTTTAGGAGTCTTCACGAAAAGACTGTGGAACATGTGGAAAGTTTGAAAATATTCATGGTCGACTGATTGCAGTTTTCCAACAGGCAGTGTCCACACTGATAATGAGAGTGCAGGATGGCTGATGATGGCCTATATATAAAGTACTTTTGTAATCACATTGTCATTTTCCAATATAATAATGTTAACAGTTGAGAAACTCAAGTGAATGTTGAATTAAATACAGACAGAAAAATGTAGTCCAGCCATCTGAACTTGGTTAGATTAAAAAAATGTATACAAGGTAAATATTAATGTCATTATTATTCAACTGCATTATCCTGTACACCATAACCATCAGCATTTATATTAAACATTAGACAGTCTCAGATTTTATATGCTCTTATTTGAAAAGATAACAGTGATATTGGCCTTGTGAGGACCGACACTGATTACGTAAAAACGCTATCAGTCGGCTGACTAATTAATCACTCTCTCTAAACAAGATCATTTTAAGAAGTCCAAGTATTGTTAATCATTTATTATTACTATTAACAAATTAGGGATTGGCATTTTAAGAAGGTCCCTCAATTGATTAATCATATAAATTAATAATCAATCATTGATTTGATTATTTTGATAGGCGAATGGCAGAAAATACGCAAAAAACAAATGTATGTGGTTTAAGTGGTACATCACTGGTGTCGTTGTTGTGTTGTACTTGTACACGGCATTGCAGTGTTTGCAGCAAACCTCTTTTTTTTTTTTTAGAGATGGTCCCACACCATACTTCGTCTTGCTTTCTTCATGTTTTATTTTCGACTTCTACTGAAGCCCACTTACGCTGTATCACCCCCCTTGTAAAATGTCAAAATCCCTCAGCGTGGTGATAGTCACTGCATTGCTTCAAAACACAAACAGTGACTGGACAAAGAGGGTATCCCTCCCAATCAGCAGAGTTTGATCTTTGCTGGAAAGCAGCTGGAGGATGGATGCACGCCGTCAGCCCTGTTTAATAACAAGATTGATCAAAATTTTGCATGATCGACGTAATTCTTAACAATCAATTAATAGATTGCGCAAATGCCCAAATGTAAAACAAATACTCATACTTTTTTTCCCCAAACAATCTTTCTTAAATTTTCACTCAACTCTACTTGCACTGCCTTCTTTTTCTTGCTTGATAACGTACAAGGGTGCACTTCATTAATACTAAGACCTGGATCAATTCACGTATGATACAACTGTCAGACCTGTAAAACAATCAAAAAAAGGGACCTATATCTTTGTCCAGTTATGTCGCAAAAGCTTGACACAAGTGTGAGACAAAAAAGAAGCTGCAGGCTCTGAATGGGCAAGTGTTGAGTATCAAATAAAAATGGAAGGAAGAGCAATTAACTGTGACGTTTACAGCTAAAAGCTTGTATCATTTGATTTCCATTAGCTCTGAGTCTCCCCTCAGAGAACAAAAAAGGATTGAATGTGAGACTGATAGATTATGTAGCAAATAACCGTCCCAGTTGTTAAGTAAGGGATAATGTACACTGAATGAGTCGGAAGTTACAGATGGAACCCTGATAGGGTTATATAGCACAATATCATAGATTTGTCTGTGATATGCTGCTGTCTGTAAGTTTTCCTTCTGTGTCCTCTGGTCTGGTCACACACCAGGACTTACTCTTGCTCTGTCTTTAAAAGTGG